TTCACCAAGTGGGCCAATGACTCCAATACATCTAAAAAAATTGACAGGACTACACTTTATGGTCCAAGATGCAAGCCAATTGATCCACAACAAAGATGCTGTCTCAGTGCCAAGCTCTCTCTCAAAGGCAACAACAATAATTTTTAAGCCAAGATTTTTGCTAAACCCAGTAATACCTGCTAAGCCAAAAGATGAGTCAGCCAGAGCCTTACACAGAGTCAGATTATTTGAGCATAATTTATCAACTTGACAGGTATCAGCAACTGGGTCATTGATAGTGACTTTTTCAAATGGGTTAGAAACAGCAAGCTCTGACTCCTGAATGGGCTTGTTATGGTCTCTAAGGTTAGTGCTAGTTTTAGTGCCAGCCATGGTGCAATTTTATAGTTAATATAAAAGAAGAGAGTATTTTGAGATTTTGGACCAATCAATGGACCATTCCACAGCACAGCACACTAGGACTAGCACCACCCCTCACAATACACAACCGTGTACTAATTAACCCTTTCGTAACTACAATGTATTCTACAACTTTTTATTTGTATTTTTCTACAGAATCATCATGAACTTGGACTGAATATTGCATCTCCGTAAAAAATAATCAAATATATGTCAATGATAAAAACTATATAAATGGGACTAGAAAATCCCAGTAGTATATGGTTCCAACTAAGGTGACCCAATTTGCAACATCACTGATTTTGCTGAAAAAAAATTTTTCCTAATATTTTTTGTTAGTACCGTAAACTGGGGTAACTTAGACTCCCGGGGTAACTTAGACCACTTTTGGTTTTTTTAACAAACACCCCCAAAACTCAAAAACTATTTGACATAGAAAAATTCTGTCAATGGGCATTAAAGGCCTAATACTGAGGCTACGTAACACAATAGAAAGATATTTGCATGTTTCAATTTAAGTTTAACTTATCTAGTAAAAAAATGGCATCATTTAAAAAAAAAAAAGTGGTCTAAGTTACCCCAGTTTACGGTACTTGAATAATATCACAGACTTTCTTTGGCAAACGCATGTAATAGCTTATAATAACATATCTCAAAAAGAACAAAAAATAATATTCCTTTAGATTGGACATATGTAGGCACAGGAGTGTTTCTTATATGTCCCTGTAGTTAGCTATGCCTTGAATTTAGCTCTACATGCAAGTTATAGAGTAAATCATTGGGCGGACGTCTGTCGACATCACAGTCCTGTCAGTCAATTACTTTTGAGTTGACATAGGCGCAGGAGTGTTACTCATATGTCCCTGTAGTTAGCTATGCCTTGAATGGTATGCTGTATGCAAGTTATGGAGTAAAACATTGAGCAGGATGTCACAGTCCCGTCAGTCACAAAAAGGGTTCAACAAAAGACAGTATCAGCCAACAATAACTACAACATCTCAACCAACAATAAATTTGAATTTTCTTAAATACATAATTAATACCTATTGAAGTCAAGTTTAACCGCGCACTAATTAAACAAAAGACAGCATTAGCCAACAATAACTACAACATTTCAACCAAAAACAAATTTGAATTTTTTTTAAATACATATAGAAGTAAAGTTAAACGTCATTAAATGGATAAAAAATATAAAAAATTACCTTTCCACCTGTAGAAGTACCGTAAAATGGGGTAACTTAGACCACTTTTATTTTTATAAATGATGCCATTTTTTTACTAGCTAAATTAAACTTGAATTGAAACATGCAACCCACAACTCAAAAACTATTTGACATAGAAAAATTTTGTAAATGGGCATTAAAGGCCTAATACTGAGGCTACATAACACAATAGAAAGATTTGAAAAGTTTGCATATCTAATAGGTTAAAAAATTAAAAATGTGACCCACAAAAAAAAAAGCTATTATTTAAAGCCTGTCAGAGTACCCCCTCCAATTTTTTTATTTTTTGGTTAAATAACTCCAGGTTTTGATTCATTGTAGTAGAACTCTTTTAGTTACATATACAAATGACAAATTTTAGGAAAGTGTCATAGTTTGCAAATGGGGGGCGTCGCCCCCAAATGGGGTAACTTAGACCACCAAATGTCAGCCCTGACAGGGTAACATAGACCGGCTTGGAAGGTAATATAAAATTACCATATATAACATACCGTATTTTATGTTTGTCAGCCTATTTATGTTTTTTCTTCATGTTTCAGACTCTACAGAGTCTTACATATGGTAATTTTAACTTAATATCCAAGCCAGTCAATATNGGGTTTTTGTTAAAAAAACGAAAAGTGGTCTAAGTTACCCCGCCGGTCTAAGTTACCCATTTTACGGTAGATATATTCACCTGGCAGAGCACTGTATCTAACAAAAGCTTTCCACCTTGAGTGAAAAGCTTTTTTACAAATGAATTTTCATTTTAAGAATTTCAGCCTCCTGATAGTGATAAGTGGTATCCATGAGAGTGATGACTGATGAGACTGTGATACTTTGCTGTAACTGGTCTATTAATAGGACTCAAAAATGAACTTGAGGGTCTCTGAAAAAGTCTCTGTTTTGACACCATGTTCAGTCTCCCGTCCCACCACTGTGCAGAGAGTGGATGAATATTGCAAGATCTTTGGCGACGCTTCAGTAGCAAAATTTACGCCTTCAGAAGACCTTGCCGACACATTTAGATTGAAATTCTTGCATTTAATATATTTGTCAGTCTTCAGCCAACCATTTAAAAAAAGTAAGGTTTCTGATATGTTGGATGGATCAGGATGCAGTGAAGCTTGCCCGGAAATCAGTTACGATGAGTTCCCGCCAAAAAAATGTAAACATCAAGCTTACGATTACTTGGTTTCGGTCACATTAGAGCAGTCAGACTGCATTAATCACATGTTCAGTTGACACTTGCTGCACAATCGGACTGTTTTTAGGGTAAAATTAGTTATTTGGGGTAACACGTGCATGCAACCTTGTAAATAAGTTTGTGGCTTGTAAATAGTTTTTCATTACTCAGCGTAAATGGCTTTTCATTAGAAATTACCTGGCGACGCATCTTAAAATTACCCGGCAACGCTTAGGGCTTTAAAAACATATATTGGCAACGCTGCATCCACCTTCTGCACCCTGGTGCTCCTAGAGTCCCAGTCCTAGTCAGCCAGTCTCAGGAGTCATTCAAGTCAGACCCATGCCCAAGCAGCCCAATAATAAGGCCCCAATTGCCCACCTGATGTTTATTTGGTTGCTAACTTGCTTTATCATACTATAGGAATGGGTAATAGATACTAGATAGTAATAATTTTACTTCAAATTCTCAATTTCTTGAAAAATTTTGTTCTTAACTGGTTTTTCACACTGCACTTTCATCTTCCAAGTTCCAACCATGAGTGGCCCCCCTCCCTCAGTGAGTCACTCATGCAGAAGCAGGCAAAGCAGAAGAGTTACCTAGTTTAGTGACCCGATGATTATTAGCAGTCTAGCGCTTCAGCTGCTAAGCTATCTCGCGCCGGCAAAGCAGAAGAGGCGGCATCACAGTCTGAAATCTGAATCAGGGCTATTATCAGGCTAGTCTGGAAAAGTCTTATTTTTGTCTGAAATATCGCGGCTCTAATATCATATAATTTCAGTAGGTATGAAATCTCGCGGCTCGAATGTCATAAATTTTTGTTTGATTAAAAAATCGCAGTTTGCACTTCGCAAACATGTCACTGTCTCTTATACACATCTAGATGTGTATAAGAGACAGTACCGTTTCCGCCAAAAATATCTTGCAGAAAAAACATAAACATCGTAATGTAAACAAATAAACAAAACGTTTGTTGAAGATCGCGCATAGTTGCGGTCATGTCAAAGCGGTCAGACTGTATATTAACACGTGCTGAACTTACAGTAGAGACAAATTTTATTGTTGCCGTTTGACTGTTTAAGGGTAAAATTAGAGATTTGGGGTAACACGTGCATAAACTTTGTAAATAAATTCGCATTCGCACCTCGTAAATGGCTTTTCATGGCCGAGATATGGAATTCACGGCTCGGTGAAATAGAATCACGGCTCGTAGAAATGGAATCACGGCTGGCAAATCCATAAAACCACGGCTCGAAAAATTCAGTCGCGGCTCGCCAAGTAGATATATTCCATACTAGTTATCAGGCATCGACCATTATTGACGCGCTGCCTCTTTTTTGCAGTTGCTTAGGCGGCAGGCCGCTTTCGGCAACACATTGCATTGGTCATTGCCTCATTGGTATTATGGTATTGGTATATATTCTATATTGGTTTCAGAGTTTGTTAGGTGTAGGCCTCTGGCCTGTCGCCGATTCTTGATATTGCAGAACGTCCACAGCATGTTGCGGGCTCGAACTCGCAACTCACTGCTTCAAATTTCTTTGCTTAACCGCTCGGCCTCCTTGCCGATTCTGACATGAAAAACGCACACAGAGCTGTGATCGAACCCCAGAACCCGGCACCCGCAGTCCCGCACCTCTCAGCTACAATCTTGGTACTGATTAACTTTAACCACTGAGACCCCTCATCCTTGAGACAGACATAAAGATAACAAAAACTTTATCTCCTCACACCTATCCTAGTATGTACATTGTAGTGATTGTACACTTATGAGGTTGAATATCTGACAGTCAGGAATCAGGCACAGAGCAAAGTAACGACGTCCGCCTTCGTCCGTAGCGTCAACTCAATAACAACTTCAAACTTGTCGCGCGTTCCAACACTTTGTCCGATGTCCGATGTCACAAAATAAATCACAGCATTTAATGTAATTTTATCTATTGACTGAAAATTATAATTTACCTGGATGTCAAATTGTTGAAGTATGTTGAATTTAAAATGATGTAACTTTTTAATGCTCTATAGCTATATGTATTCAAAAGTTGGTCGTTAGCCTAAGCTAAATACTAACTGATATTTCAGATAAGAATTACAAAATAACAAATTGTGAAATGCATGAATGATGATTAAATTTGAACAAAGTATAAGCATATGTTAATTAAGATTTCGTTATTTTCCTCATTACGCGTTTATTTGAAATATGGATGAGAATCAATCTTTTCCGCCACAGCGGACGAATACGTTGCAACGTAATGGCGGAATTAAATAGGGAATTAAAGGAATATCTTTCTAGGAATAATAACGATGACAAGGAGACATTGTTGCCCTCAACGATTAAAGATATTAAATTACCAAAATTGAGTTCGTGGTTTACACCTAATGGGTCTGTAGTCGATGAAGAGGCTGGAGGAAGTCCTGCTCAAACGTCAAGCTCATGGTTCTCAAGCAACAAATCTGAATCAATATTTCCTTCTTTGGTGAGTAATGAGTACCCATATAATATGGTATTGATTCCAGATAATTAATTTTGCAATATTTTATAAAAGCGTGATTGAAATGTTTATGAAGTACATTTAAATTTCCTACTCATTAAATTTCCTACTTGCAGGGAAGGAAACAGCGCATCATTGGTTTTATTTGTTGCGTTGTTATGGGCCTCATTTGCTTCACGTTGTCAGCAATGTATGCTCCTCTGTTGCTGCTGAAAGCTCGAAAATTTGCACTTCTCTTCACTCTTGGAAGCCTCTTCAGTTTAATGAGGTGCATTATTTGAATCATTTGTATTTGTGCTGAAAACTATACCTAGGTATATCACAAATAATCACATGTTATCAATAATAATTGTAATAGCCATAAGATTTATTGTATTGTGAGGTATGATATGAAACATTTTGATTTCCGTATCTTTTGCTGGTTCTGGAATCTCGCAGTAATTTTAATGCAATGTCGATTGTCAGTTGTCACAATAGCAGTTTGCAGTCAATTAATTCCTTAGTTTGTGATCCAAGTAACCGTATCTGTTAAATTTATGTGATGATCTAGGTCATAGTGACAAACCAGAGATTTTTTAGAATCAGTTGAATTTCAGTTCATTTTTAATCTCCTCATTTACTCAAGATTTAAACCAATTTCTTATGTATGATAATGCTGGTATCCATGATACTTTGCTTGTCTACTTATAGGACTCAAAAATGAACTTGAGGGAGAGTCTAAAAAACTCTCTGCTTTGCCACTATGCATGATACTTTACTGGTCTACTTATAGGACTCAAAAATGAACTTGAGGGAGAGTCTAAAAAACTCTCTGCTTTGCCACTATGATCTAGGTAGACCATAGCCATATTTTAACCTGTCCCAATTATCAAGAAGTGCATTGTTATATATTGATTATTAACCTAATAAGATTATATCTTTTATCATATACATTTTTTTGAACAGTTTTTCATTCCTTTGGGGTCCGGTATGCCATCTGAAGCACTTGTTCTCCTCTGATCGCCTCATGTTCACCTCAGTATATCTGGTGTCTCTTTTTGGGACCCTGTACAGCGCACTCAGTTTGCAGTCCACTATACTCACCTCTATTGCTGCTGTACTGCAGGTATGTGCTCCTGGAAGTCTCTTCTAAAGGTACAGCCAGTCTTATTTGTTATTTATTTAGTCATCGTAAATTGTTGTATTTATAGTTTCATCTTTTTTTGTCATCTTAAAACTAGATCATGTTTTTGACAAAACTGTATAAAAAATTAAGGGCTAAATACAATGCTAATATACTGTACAATATTCTCTGATTTTGAAAATGTTGCATTATATTAAAAAAATATTTTCCATCATGTTGAAAATGTTTTCCAGGTGCTGGCACTGCTGTGCTACATTGTATCAAACATACCAGGAGGGCAAGCAGGGCTCAACTTCTTCTCCAGCATTTGTACATCAGTTCTACGCAAAACTGTTTCAAAAGCATTGCCTGTTTAATCAGCTGGCTATTTTACTACTATTACTACATGGCTACTATTACTACATGACCAAGATTCACTGAACAAATCAATAATTCTGTGTGTAGACTTTAATCAGCTTTGAAGATGACTTCTGCTTAAAAACTTCTTTATTCATGTTATATGAAATTAATGTTTTTAGGTCTCATACTTCCATGGTAGTTATCTTTCTGAGTGTATCAGAAGTTCTATTATATTTCTGATTCCTAGAGGATTGTACCTGAGTGCCCACAGCCTTTCTTGTGGTATTTAATTCAAATTTTTAAATGTGTCATTAAGTTGTCATATAGCTAGGATTCCTTTCATTCCCTTGCTCGTGTAGGTGGCCGAAGCAGAGCAAAGCTTTGCATAAGCTACATTCTGTACAAGGGTATTTATTTTTGTAGCTATCCATTCATATACCTATATCATCTTATTCTGTGAGATCAACACTGTTGTCTCCTCCCTTCTTCATTTTGTTGACCATTTGAGCTCTACCACCTCTTGTAGGCCTTAAATCATTTTTTAATCTAACAAGTTTAAGTTAGTAAAGCTCTACCATTTATCAACTATAATTTGGTTATTTTGGGGGGAAAAATTGTCTTAATGCTGATATGTCAGTTAACCATATGTCTGTTATGCATCCATTAACTCACCTAAAATGTCAGTATAATATTTCTCTTTCTTTTTCATCAGTTTAACATATAAGTAAATAGTTTATTTAGCATGTATTTCATGGCATTAATTATTGTTTTTATGTAAGGAAAGATTTCGTGTTCTATACTTTATTTATTTTTGTTGCTGCAATTGCAAGAGTTTTTTAAGATTGTACTGGTTAAAAAAATATTCATGTGTTATTTTACTGTGATAAAATTGCATGTTGATCTGATTAGGAAAACGGTGAATGAATGTTTTTCATCAGAACCAAGCAAGGATGTTGAACTTAGAAATTTATTTCAAAATGTTGCTCTTTGTGGTTAATTCTTTAGCATTGCTCTGAGCCCGTAAGATTAAGCACATTAGTTATGGCACATTTTTAATTGTCCTGTTTCTATCCATTGCAGTTTTTAGACATGGAAACCTTTCTAATGTAGTATCAAACGCATTTCCTGTATTCATAGAAGTGCAAATGTATACAGATGAACAGGTTTGAAATTAATCCAGTATTATAATCTGTATTAATCACGTCTCTAACATATAGATTTCATTTTGATTTTTGTCTCTGATCCATGATTTAGCAAAATTGTTTAATTCCCGTTGTTTTAATTTCCTTTTGGAAAATAAAAACCACCCTTATATTTGCTTTGGAGCTTTGACCATTTTTGCTAGCGAGCTAAAGCCTGAGCACTGAATTTTAGAATATCCATGTTCTTCTTATTGTTTGATGATTATTGGAGCTTGGGAGACACGTTCTTGTAGCTCGACGTCTGCACGGGGTATTCAGTTGTTACAGCAGTCCAAACAGCTCCACGTCTGCCCGACAATTCAGAGGTTGCAGCAGTCCCAGCAACTGTCTACACATAGAATAGAAGTGTCGGCACTGAAGAAATAGGCCCATGGCCTGTTGCCGATTCTTGAAGTTTTCGTGACTTGATTCACAAGGGATCCGGCCTTTGGAATCCGATCTTTCCATAGCTGACGATTGATTGAGATAGCTGCTGTACTTATTGCCTGGTCCGTAATTTGCTAGGCATTTTAAGACTGAACATATGTTCATGACGAATCTTATTAGCAAAAAGCATCGTAAACATTGTGTCAATTGATCAACTACCGGTATAGCTCACAAAATTGGGAAGTTATATTGTTGGTCGGTCAATAACATAACAGTGATGTCGGCGCTGAAGAGTAGGCCTGATGTGGCCTGTCGCCGATTCTTTTCCTTTTCGTGACTTGTTCACTGAAGATATAAAATCATGCCATTTGACCGGATCTTTTAAGGACTGACGATAGTTTGAAATGGCTACTAGACTTCCACCGGTTTCGATATGGTGCTAAGCATTTCAAGTCTGAACATATATTTTTCCATTGCTTTATCTAGTCTGTTATTGAACGCGTTCATACTCGGAGCGCCAACGATGTAATCGGGGAGGATGTTCCACAACTCTGTGAAGGAAATATTTTGCAGAGCGCAGATAATATCCAAGTTGATGATTGCAGTTGGGGAAAGAGTCCGTCAGCGTCAGGGGTTTATGCTACTCTGCGATACTGAGCTCAAAGAGCCTTGCAAAATACTGTTATAATTGTGCGACCGCATGTAAGCATGACCAGTTGTGGGTAAGCATGACCAGTTACTTTACGTTTCGATGTCATTGAATCTTCTTCCAACTTGGAGAGATGGTCAAAAGTGTTATCAAGTGGTTTCATCCGATATAATTATAATTGTTCAAGTTTGCTGACCTATCGCTTATGATCAGTTAATGAATGATATTCCTATTCTAATTTTTTTTTATTTACCCATCTATGCAATTTGCCTTATAACGGGAGCCTATATCATTATGCGATATCAAAATATGCTTCACCAAGCTCATTATTATTGCTGTTTCGCGTATCATATTTGCAAATATAATTCGGTAGAACGGTGAGCGCTGCACGCGGTATTTTTCAACTACAGCAATCCCTTGATTAACGCGGTTAATAAATCCCCGAGTTTTACCGTGTTAAGCAAAACCGCGCTAATCAAACTTAAAAATATATGGGAATAATTATAATGAATCCTCAAAAATATCAAAGGAAAGGAAAATTATGTAGTTTGATAAAAGTGAGCAGTAGATATGGCAGCGATCTTGACCAGTTGAAGGCTAACGAGTAACTAGCCCTCTACGCCCTCTACGCACTAAATTATGTTTCGAAAGTGAAAAAACAATCTGAATTACTTTTCAGATCACGCGCAGTCTTTGTGTTGTACTGGCAGTAGCGGCGCGCCTACTCCATCGAACGTCGTTCGAAAAATGTGACGCTACCGTCACACTCGCGGCTAGACTCCAAACATGTAATTACTCTCGGTAGAAGCTTTTATTTTCTGTGTGACGAATTCGTCACACCAGGGCTTAAAGGGCTAGAGCACCGGCATGGCGCACTTACCGGCGAACGTTGCCGAACTCGATCATTCGAGTTATGAACGAGACAAGGCGCGGTTAAACCGACTCTGCAGTCAGCACGAGTGCCTACGGAACGGGACCTTATTTAAAGAATTATTGGCTGAAATTCATAAAGTAGGCGGGAAAATGATGCATTGTGAAAAAAAGTCGCGCTAATCAAAACTGGCACCGCGTAGATCAAGGGTAGGTCGCAAATTTTTTTTCCGCGTTAATCAAAACCGCGGTATTCAAAACCGTGCTAATCAAGGGATTGCTGTAATAGAGGGCGCCACGTGGAAGTTTGGCATGGAAGTTCCATTTGGCGCCACATGGAAGTTACTCACGTCAGCGCAGGATAATTTTTTGCGAGCAGTTTAGGGTATTCCTAGGGGGATATTTTGATCACCCCACAGCTGAGCTCGCGGTGTCTGACGACAGGTATCAGTTGTGGGGTTAAGTTATTATGTAGGTAGGATTCCTTACATATCCCTTCTCTGTCTCTCTCGTGCAGGCGGCCGGCGTCCGTATAAGCGACCTCTTGTTCGAGTGTCTTAGTTTCTGTTGCTTTTCACCTGTCCCTCATTGTAACTGCGTCTCTTTGAGATGCTAACGCTGCTTCTTTCGAGCCAGCTTCAGCGGGCTGGACATCTGAGACCTTCCGCCCCTTGTGGGTGATGATTAACTTGAGACTTTGAATGATTCAGACCTTCCGCCTCACTGGCGATGTTATCTTCTGACCTCCGGTGCGAAATAGCTTTATAGCTGAGGCGCTATCAAACCATTCTACTAATACTACTACTACTTAAGGGTATTCCTCATATTCTTCGTGTTTGAGGGCGCGGAAATCCGAATAATTTGTAGTAAATAACATATAATTCGACTTGGGAATTTAATTACATTCCGTTTAAAATTCTGCATTTTTCAATATTATTTCCGCATGTAGCTTATCGAAATGGCTGAATTGCAATAAAAATGTAAAAACAGCATTTTTATTACACACTTTTGCTAGTTGCAAGCTGACTCTAGATTTTAATATTATTTTTTTATCTGCGGACTAGTAGCCCTCATCGAAACGGGGAAATTATGAGCTAAATTGAAATTACGCAACGTACGCGGAAAATGAGCGTGTTCCAGCTATTCACTCCAATGCGAAGATATCGCTATTATTATTGTCATCGGTGTTCAGACACGTCCGTGGGTAACACGTCGGTGTTGAGACACGTCCTATGGTAAACATAATAAACTTGATCGCCAACATTTCGCATTGTCGTTGACCAGAGACGTCCTATTTTGACACCAGAGCAACTAATCATTACTGGACCTGACTGCTAAAGGTACATTTTGTTTAGTCTCTCTTAATTTGAGATTAGGAAAATATTTTTATTCGTGCTTAGACCTGTTCGACGTCTTGATTCATTTGCGTAGTTGTCACCTATTGGACCATTTTTTAGAGAAAATTTCCACTCACTGCGTTTAATCTTTGAGGTGGTTTCAACTTATAGGACATGTCCGTCCGTCTCTTGAAATGGATTGACTCTCTGTAAGATCGTCCGGCATTTGAAATTTTCGCTGTAGCCGAGGTATCTTCGTTTGCACCTCAGCCACTTTTTCTAATGCGAGGAGCAGTTTGTTCAGTCTATCACATTAATCAGTTGTTCAGCTGTGTCAATATTATTAGCTTTTGCAACTCGTTCAGGCAGTTACTCAATGAACTGGAAGCAAATGGTCGTCGTCACAGAAGAAAATTTTCAGGTTGCGTAGCCTAATTCAATTTCGTAATTCCTTATGGAATCTAATACCTTCATATTTATACTCATAATAATAATAATAATACCTGATTCAACGTTTATTAGAAGGAATTTAAAAGCAAAGAAAACACCAAGCAAATTCACCATATCGATATTGAAAACGTTTCGGAGTGCAGCTCCATCATCAGTTCGGAAAACTAAAAATGAATAAAATCAAATTATTATATCAAAATTCTAAGACAGACATTAAACCTAAACAAGACCTAACATTATATCGGAAAAAAGCCTCCTCATTCTTCCGTGCGCCTCCATGCTGAACAGTGCGACGTGGCTGTATCTGAGAGTGTTTTCAGGATACTCGGTTCCACTTCTGGCTGCTCGGATTTGAGAATATTGCAGTCTCTACATATCTTCAAACGAAAACCGTGTCTCAATAATGCGTTTAGTTCATATAATCTGGAAATAGTGAATCGCTAGGCTTTTATATTATATTCGTGAACCCTAGGACTAAGTTGTTTCAATCGAGTCCTGTTTTTTTTTTCGATCTAATGCTAGGTCTTGTTTAGGTTTTATGTCTGTCTTTGAATTTTGATATAATAATTTGAATTTATTCATTTTTAGTTTTTCAAACAGATGATGGAGCTGGTTTCCGAAACATTTTCAATATCGATATGGTGAATTTACTTGGTGTTTTCTTTGCTTTTAAATTCCTTGTGAACTTGCTGTATAAGCAGACTGATAATATAAGCGTTTATTAGGCCGTAGGTCTGTCGCCGATTCTTAACATAGCAAAACTTTCACAGCTTGTTGCGGTCTCGAACTCGCAACTCAATGCTCCAATTCTGCTTCGCTAACCTCCCGGCCTCCTCACCGATTCTACCAGAAACTGTCACACAGAGCTGGGTTCGAACTCGCACATCTCTGTTCTAATCCTGATACTCTGAAATATAACCACTAGGCCATGCTGTAAAGTGTAACCATATTTGTTTCAAATTAAAACGAATCGTGTATAATTTCAATTCGTTGAGAAATTCTGGAATTCCAGATGTTGGGAAAACGTCAGTCGGGCAGGGCTGCCAGATGGCCTAATAAATATAACTCATTACTCACTGCAGTGAGTGGCAGAGAGCGCATTTTCTCGTTGCCGAGTGTCATGGATACTCGGCACGAGAAGTCACAGACGGACGGACAGACGGACGGACATGACGCCCACAATAGTGCCTTATATCCCTTAAATGAGAAAATGCGCTAAAAACGACAAGTCAGCGAACAAAAAAGGCTTATAACTCAATATATACTAGAATACTTGTAGGTCCCGATGTACAAATTCCATTTCTTTTTTTTTTTTTTAATCAGGAAGTACCCCTATCGTAAATTTCAGCCGGCCAACGCTTTAAAAAAACTAAATCGCGAAATTTGTCCGAAAGAAAAGACCGTCTCGCAACTCTGCAGTCGGGTCTCGCAATGCGCTTCTTGCGGCAGTCGAGACCTATAGCCGCAAAGGCAACTTTCATTAACATAACATAACATAACATAGTGATGTCGGCTCTGAAGTGTAGGCCTGATGTGGCCTGTCGCCGATTCTTTTCCATTTCGTGCCTTGTTCATAGATCTAAACTCGTGTCATTTGACCGGATCTTTTCATGACTGGCGATAGTTTGAAATTGAACCTTTCACTGAAATCGTTTCGGTACAAAATTCGCGAGATAAGTCAAACCGGCATAGTAAGAAGTGAGAAAGTTGGGACCCGCAAACACTACGTGCGTCCTCGATCACTGCCAGAACTCAACATTGAGCTCGATGATGATACCGAGTAATTCTGACAGGCGATAAGTAGGAATAAGGTCCTTCTCATCCCGCATAGAATAGTTGTGTATCTTATTTCGGTCTTCTCAGATTTTCTGACACGACAATATGTATACTACATTCAGTTGATTCTTCGTGTAAAAAAAAATGTTTTTATGCATGTTTGGAGATTCTCTGTCGAAGTTAAACCGTAGGAAGGAAATTCAGTGTGAAGTTTTCGTTAGATTACTCTTGGTCCTCAAAGGAGTGCTTCTGTTTTCATTATTTATATTCTAAATCAATGGCGGTCCTAATGTTATTGTCTGTCCATCAGAGCGTTGCCACTCGGTTGAAGTTGCCAGTTTTCGATCAGTGTGCACTCGCGTCTAGTGGTGTTTGGCACGAAGCTGCGCAGTGTTGCAGCAGCAGTCCAGCCGGTATGGTGCACAGAGTAGGTGTTCGCTTGTCTTTTCTCATCAATTGAAGATTTAAATCCATTAAAATGAATTCCTAATTATTTATTTTCCCCCTAATAAATTGAATCGTATATCATGAACAGTGTCTTTCCTAATTCTGGTTATTTTTATTTCTTTTCTAGTTGATTTTTCGATATATTGGTGCATTCTTTAAGAGCTATCGTAGAGCTCTCTGCCGCAGCTTGCGTATGCGGCAGCGCTGCAGCATCGCTACAAGCTAAAGGATTAGCCGCTACTACGTGATTTACTCCCATAGTTTTCGTAAGTCAGCTCAGTTCACTTAGTGGAGGAACAAATGCAATCGCTCTAAATTTGAGTTATTTAGCTCCTCAAAGTCATTCTTTTCAGTAGGAAGACGAAAATTGAAATTAAAATCTCATGTGACTTGCTGGAAAAGATTTTCAACTGTTAGTTGCGTAAAAGTGTTGTTCTAGTCTTTCTAGTCCATCATTTTTTAGATTTCCTCAGCAAAAATCAAATCCTGAATTAACAAAAGTTGGTCAAAATTCGTAACCAATTCATAGTCTTTTATTAAGTTCTGTTATCTGAATTCATTTTACTATTTACTACGGTCGAAACCTCCATATAATAATTATAATTTTAATTATTTATCGTTTTAAATTTTAGGCAAATACACTGAAATTTACTAGATTAAGAAAAAAAATCGCTTCTAACTCTGCGGAATATGAACCTAATATTTGAATATGCCGTAGTCAAAAAACGTTCTCAAGTTCAATGAAGGAATTGAAAAAGAGTTTATATCAATCAAAATGATTTTGTATTGAAATTATTATCGTCAATAAAGGGCCTGTTCATTGGTCGCACTGGCTCACGCAAAGAGGGTGTATGTTGACTGAAACTTGTTATATGCGTGGCAATTTAATTTGCAACAGTCGTTATTATGGTCTTCACCCTTCAAATATTTACCCCTTACAAATTATGAATCAATCAATTGCGAACAAAATATTGCTATTTCATGGCAGAACTTTTCTCCTACTTATAGTTTTTTGTATAATTATTATGCAAATGTTTGATATATATTGTAATTATCATTTTCGTATCGAAAATTTATAGTAAATAAAATATTAATAATTGCTTTAAAACGTAAGATAACGCATGGGAACGTAAGAATAGAGAACGTAATACATGTTATAGATTAAAGGTTACGAGTGTTAAATCTGCGATGTATCCATTTATTATTTTTGTTATCTGTGAGTGATAGTGATATACAACAACAACATCGACAACTAATTTTAATGGAATCGATTCGCAAATAAATAGAAGAATAGTTCGTTGGAGAAGATCGCCTTCTCGAACGAACAATGCGGTCGGCTAAACTGAACGACACCAAACTTTGGTTCGCTCTTTTCTTATATTTGTTGGTACGACTTTATGTTCCGTAATGCAAATAACCGTAACTGTTGATTTGTTATACCGCGTAGGTATTGTTACAGTGATATACGTCTTTGGTCTTGTTATATTGATCACTTTTAGGTAATGTTATACCTCGTAGGTCTTGTTACATTGTTATACTTTTTAGTTCGTCTTATACTTCGTAGGGATTGTTTTACTGATATACCTCTGTGGTCTTGATATATTGCTTACCTTTTGGTAATGTTATACCTCGTAGGTATTGTTATATTGATATACCTTTAATGTATTGTTATACCTCATAGGTATTGTTAAATTTATATACCTTTAATGTATTGTTATACCTCGTAGGTAAAAATTTCTCGAGGCGCCTGACGCTTCATCTCATCAAGGCGCTGCTGCAATCTCGCGTCGAGGTTCATAATAGGCATATGGAAAAAAATTGTTGTGGCGGGAACACTTTTATTCAGTATTAATTAAAGGCTTTGTCCTGAGCGCGTTAAACAAATTTGGTAATAAAGCTCCATATGCTGAGTCTTGTTCAGATAATCGTTGGCTAAAAGATCTACCAGTATAAGATCACATAATGTGGATAGATTAGGTTCAGCCGGGATTAATATTCTGTTGACTGATTAAGTTCTCAGTAGTAATTAGTAAATGATAGAGTACTATCGATTGATTAGGTTCTGAGTCGTGATTAGCGAATAGAAGATTATGCTCTCAGAAGAATTCGTATTGTTTTAGGATAAAATAAGTTTCTACGATCATGAAGGCTCAATATTGAAGGGCGTATGAATTAGCAAGGCAGGACCCATGCATACCCAGGTGTATGATCCGCGTCTGCACTATCAGAAATAGTTAATGCGAGTCCGTTACTTCGTCAGCCAATCACTGACAGCTTTTATAGCTATTTCCCACCAATCACAGAGGAGAAATGACCCGCTACGCGTAATTAGGCCGCTACGTGTACTTAACGAGTTTTAATAGTACGGCCCCAGGTGACCAGGCCTTCAATGGACGCAATGGTCTGCGTGAAATGAACGACTTTGCTTCCTAAAGATTCGCTGATATTACCGCTGAATAATTTCCTGGGTGGATGGTTCGTGGCTGAAGATTTAAGCGAAAGGGGTGGCATCGTTCATTTTGCAAATGTTTTTGATATGAAACGATGGGGGTAAGTATAATTAAGGCTAATAACGACTTAGGAATATGTAATAAATTCTAAAGTGATAATCTATACTTCGGAATGTATAATAAATTCGAAAGTGATAATCTCTAGGATTGGGTGACTTATTTATAATTATAAATGACAAAAAACGCGGAATCGTATTATATCGGGAATTTGGTATAATTATTTATTGAAAGTTGATCTTAGGAACGCGAGAATATATGATTATATTAGAATTTCAACACTTATTTTACTTCTCACTTATTTTTTCTGCTTATTTCTGAACGGTATCTCTATACTTTTAATTTTCAATACGCCCTGACGTCAATATAATTTTAAAGGTATTCGGGGGGATTTAGTGTTCAGTGAGATGACTGTAAACATAGACAGCTGAGAACTCTTGCCAATTTGCAGTGCCCCGTGCAAACGTGCAAATATTCTCAAACATTCATTTCGGGCTTTTATCCATATTTGGTCGTAAACATTGTTAACTTTCGTAAACGAAGTTCTTGTTTGTTCGTAAACATTTCGTCGCTGACGTGGCTGCTGAATGAGGATAAGCGAATGTATATTTCGGAGTTACCCTAATAACTGATAAATTACCCTTAATGCTTTCGCGGCTGTGTGCAAGAGGATTAAAGTGATTTGGGTAGTTCTCGAATACCTGGCGAATTAACTCGTAGGAGTAAATTCATCTGAGTTATACTGATATCTGAATTATTTCTCACAAAACAACATCTATTCATGTCCATAGATGCCAGTATTACATGTGTTAGCAAGTGAATCACATAAATATAATCCATTGTGAGATTAAAAGGAATTGAGTTAGAACATTTTAGATCCAATTTTCAAAAGCGACACAACGTTGATATTACATTATAATGCGTTAAATTTTAATCTAAAATTTTGAAGCCTAGCAGACTCTTACGAACTCAATATTGACTTGAATTTCACGACCGTGGAAAATACAAAAATTTCAATGTCAAATTTCTGTCATAGCGCTTTGCTCCAAGTGTTCCAGCCACGTTCTAGTGAACTCATTTTGCCCCGCTCGGTGCAGCATTTACATGCACGCTCATAAAAACAACTGGATAATATTGTCTAAATATTGATACTTATTGCGCGGATACGCCCTCTTGTCGTGTCAAGCTGTTTGTGTATGACCCACACATAGGGCAATAGTTCATCGTAATTTGGACAAAGTCTCTCTCATTTCTCTGAGTGTAGGTACTCAGAACCCGTGTCTCCACCAAGGAAATATACTCGGTCGTTTAGCAGCGGCTGTGAATGGCTCTAAAGCTTCCCTGATTTTCCTCGACTCGCCTGCTTTTGTTCGCAGCATTTTCCGAGTTTGTCGTCTAATTAGGCGGCTTGAATTGTTTCTTCTCTTCTTGAGCTGCAAATTCATCAAGCGTGGCTGCAATATTCAGCTTTTTTGTGCTCCAGCATAAACCTTCTCTAGTATGCTTGCATTTTGCTGTAAATGTTCCAAAAAGAAATTTACCTGTATTTTTAAAGTGATCTAGTTAGTCGGTAAGTTTAACTGAACTGCAGAAATATATATACAATACAAATCAAATTTTCTAATATTTTAACGTGACTTACGTAGCTTCGTTTAAACAAAACGGCATATTAACACAAAACCGCACATTTCTACCACAAAACAGCATTTGCACAAACCAAATGTCAGCCCAAAGTACACGTTAACACAAAATCACATGTTGGCACAAAACTTAACGTCAACACAAAACTAAACGTTGACACAAACTACACGCTAGCACAAAATCTCACGTTAACACAAACTAAACAGTAGCGCAAAATCTCACGTTGGCACAGAATCTCACATGGACACAAAACTACACGTTGACACAAACTGCACGTTAGCACAAACTACACGTTAGCACAAACTACACGTTAGCACAAATCTATGGTGGTTTAATGTGTCCCTTATAATTGAATAATTTCATGCCAATGCGTGGGCGCTTGCCAGCTTCACTATAAAGTGAATGACTTTATAGGAGTGCTTTATAGAAATGAATGAAGTACTCGCTATAAAGTGAGAGTACTTTTCCTCATCAGACGATGTATTTGAAATAAATGTGCATATCTTAGTCTGAAATCTGACACGAAAAAGATGCCTCATGTTCAAAACTATAGAGTTACTACAGGCTTGGGAGACGCATCACGCAACAATTGCTGCGCTACTGCGATGAGATGGGAAAGTAAATGGAAGCTTGCAGCCAGAGCTGTGAACTACTTCAAAACAATTCTCCTCCTGGCGTAACTTTGTTGGCCAGTTAGAAAGCATTTTTGGAACATGCTTCCGCATGATAAATTTTTTCAACGTTTTAGCAGTAATTCTTTTTATTCAACTGTTTTCCATCCAAGTATTTATATTAAAAGGTTTTATAGAAAACAATATTAATAAATATATTTTTTATAGTGGTATCGGACTCGATATTTTTTTAGCATCAAGGGACGCTGTACGACTAATTTTAGTGCCATGGAAGGCCCAGTAGTTAAAGTTCAGTGTACCAAGATTGGAGCAGAGAGGTGCGGGTTCGAACCCAGCTTTATGCGTCAGTTTCTGGTCAGAATCGGCGAGGAGGCCGGGCGGTTAAGCAGAATTGGAGCAGTGAGTTGAGAGTTCGAGACCGCAACAAGCTGTGAATGTTTTGCTATGTTAAGAATCGGCGACAGGCATACGGCCTAATAAACGTTAAAACCGATTTTATTATTATTTATATGACGGTTTCTGTTCGAATTTGAACATTGTTTATATATGAAGTTATGAACTGATGCCAACGAAGTTATCGCTTAGATCTTGCAAGCGAAACCCGATCTGACAATAGTCTTTCCTGCAGTGATAGTCGCTGACTGTTTCCTACTCCACTATAGTAGTTCCTAAGCCAGTATAGTGATTCCCAAGTCAGTTTTCTAATTCCTACTCCAGTATATTGATTCCCAAGTCAGTTTTCTAATTCCTACTCCAGTATATTGATTCCCAAGTCAGTATTGTAATTCCTACTCCAGTATATTGATTCCCAAGTCAGTATTGTAATTCCTACTCCAGTGTAGCAGTTCTCTTCTCGACGCTCATAGCGATAGACTAATTGAACAGGAGCAGCAAGCATGAGCTCCTATGTCATAGGGAGTTTTTACGAGCAACATTCGCTGAGTTTTTTACGAGTCTTGTGACCCTCGACTGCTGCAACGACCGCTCGCTTTTTCAGCACGGTAATTCTGGCGACTGCCCGGGACGTTCTCGTGAGCTGCGCGAGAGAGCATGCACTTAAAGGTTTTTCTTGCGTGATGGCTTCGTTACTCTCTTTTATGGTCAGTGTCATTTTTTTTTAGCTCTTGGAGATAATCTTGCTCGAAGGACAAGTGGCAAAATGCATGATGCAGTGCATTAGTCGCTCGACGCAAGGCGCGCATGGTTCTCTTCATTGTATAGCCGTCATTGCTATGTTAACTAAAGCCTGGATCGTCGTTTATAATCCGCGGAGAAAGAAGAAATCCTACCAAGGAAGTATTCTCGAGGAGGACATGTATAATATGGCTTACATTATTCACATACATTGCCCGTGAGATTGCTTCTGCCAACGACCTTATAAGGTGCGACCAAATACAACGCAGCAGTTCAGCGTCGGTTACAATAGCAATTCATCATAAAATAAGCGTACAATTGTTATTATTTGTTCGAATAATTAGCTCCTGTACCGACTTTTCAATGAAAATAGCTAATGCGAATATTGCCATTAATTGATTTATTTTCACGGTACCCTTTTCTTCTTAGATGTCAAACGCCATGACAATAACAAACCGTAAGTAATCTCATGAATCGATATTGAAGATTTCTTTCTCGATATTTGCGACACTTGGTTAGCTTACTTAAAACACAAATTTCGAAGGATCTTGAAAAGGGAGGGGCTAAGAAAATAACAAATAGGTTAATCTTAATACCTAAGTCCTGTAAAGTTAATTACTGAAGGCATTGCGCGAAATTATAGCTGTTCATTGCGCGATCTGTTGCAGCTATATTTTTTATACACATTTATTAAAACTTGGCACGAAACTGTACTTTAGCCCGACATTTCAAGTGGAAAGTACTTGCCGCCAATACTATCGGCTAGAACTCTCCTCATTGATTACCAGTTGTAAGATGAAATAATTATTTATTTTCGCAGATTATCGCTGTGAATTTAATTGAAGGAAGTGATTTTGTTTGCAGGTTATCTATGGTTTACGGGGCTGGATCGCATTCGTGTCGTTTCTGGACTTGGGCACAGCAGTGCAGTGCTTCATAGATACAGAGGCATACTTGGGCACGCTCTACACCGCCTCGGGCGTCGCTGAACATGGTATGTGCAGGCTCTTCTTCTATCAATTGCTTAAACTTTTTGTATTATATACGATAATTCTGATTTTTTTGTTATTTGTATTTTTTATATTTTTCGTACCATTTATTCGTACGAATGTTGATGTTCCAGTGAACCCGGCGATGGCGCGCCTCTTGGGCACGCATAGGATGTTGGCTGCCATCATCCTCGCCCACTGCGCGCTCTGCATCCACCATCCACCGTGAGTAGTTGTCTCTGTAGCCATCATCCATCTTGAGTAGTTGTCTCTGTAGCCATCATCCATCTTGAGTAGTTGTTCCTGTAGCCATCATCCACCGTGAGCAGTTGTCTCTGTAGCCATCATCCATCTTGAGTAGTTGTTCCTGTAGCCATCATCCACCGTGAGTAGTTGTCCCTGTAGCCATCATCTACCGTGAGTAGTTGTCCCTGTAGCCATCATCCACCGTGAGTAGTTGTCCCTGTAGCCATCATCCACCGTGAGTAGTTGTCCCTGTAGCCATCATCCACCGCGCAGAAAGTGTCCCTGTAGCCATCATCCACCGTGAGTAGTTGTCCCTGTAGCCATCATCCACCGCGAGTGTCCCTGTAGCCATCATCCACCGCGAGTGTCCCTGTAGCCATCATCCACCGTGAGTAGTTGTCCCTGTAGCCATCATCCATCGTGAGTGTCCCTGTAGCCATCATCCACCGCGCAGAAATTGTCCCTGTAGCCATCATCCAGCGTGAGTGTCCCTGTAGCCATCATCCACCATGAGTTGTTGTCTCTGCAACCATCATCCAGCAGCACCACGTCTGGCACCCGCTATTATGTTGGACGCAGAGCTGTTTTCAGTTGTGTTGCGTAGGTAAATCACTTCATCAATTAATAACCTGTAACATATGCAATTGCTTGAGCGCGCTGCGTGCTTCAGAGCGTCCAAATTTAATTTTTCCAATCAAATGAACTAGTTACGGCGAATTGGATATGATAATTTCAAAGAATTTTTCGCATTCAACATCATGGGATGTTATTTCGCTGCTTGTTGCAGAGTGCTGAGTTGGTTTGAACGCTCTGCGTACGAACATAATTGTTTCTAAATAAAATTTTTCCAGTAAAATCAACTAATTTCAGCCAATTATAAATAATAATTTACAACAACAAGCCACATGAATCATCATTAATTCGGTACGTGTTGCAGAGTGCTGAGTTTAGCAGTGTGTAGCTGCCTGGTTACTGTGGTGACCCATGCGTCCGAGTCTCTATGGTACTGCACCACACCCATCAACTTCTACACGCTCTTCCCTGTGGCCACAGCAGGTCTGATGTGCATCCTATTAGCGTCTCAATTACTTAAATAAGTAAATTAATATAGCACTTATCTGTCAAATATATAAGCACTTTTAAGTGAATTAAGCTTGCATTTCAGCGTGGTAAACAGCATTTATCATTGATAAGTGTAGATATCACTCCTGCAATTTGCGGTAAAGGTTTAAAATTTCTTCTAACTAGAAAGGCTAAGGATGGATGTTGGTACCTTTAAAATCATTTCCAGGTGAAGTAATTAATCTTAGTGATGACGCATGAGATAATTATATCAATATCGGTATTATTATATTAAGGTATAAATTCTATTTGCCACATCATTCACGTAACGCCTGAAAATTGTAAATAAAATCAAGACTGCTTTTTTCATTGCACCTAATTATGAGTTCGAAAGAAAGCGATGTTGTGTTATAATGTATCATATTATTCACTTATCTCCTTATGTTATCAACAAACCATTACAAAAGTTCTATGTAGCAGTGTTGACAATGTGATATACTCTCATATTATTCAATAATTTCCTAAATGTTTTCAACAACCCATTAAACAAGTTCCGTATCGCAATGTTGACAATGTGATAGTTTGTCATATTATTCGATAATTTATTTATCTTATGAAGAAACCATTAAAAAAAATTTCTGTATGGCAGTGTTGACGATGATCGGGCTGTTCGTGGCGCCGTCGTTCCTGAAGCCGCCGGAGGTGGACGACGAGGAGAGTCATCTGCTTAAGCTTGGTTTACCGCGCAAAAAGAATTGGAATAAAAAACGAACCTGATATCCTGTGCCTAGCATCAATTCTGCTACAACTGCTGCTACTGCTACTGCTACAACTGCTCCTACTGCTACTACTGCCACACCTGCTTATGCACCTGCACATTTCCCTCCATCTGCACCTCATGTCGCATGTCTCTGATGTGTGTGAAACTTAAGTCCATAAATTATATGGCCCTTTAAAGACTATAATTAACTGCAGTGATGATAAACTGAACAGATAAAAACTCCTTTTAAATCATGTGCTGGAGTGGTGTTTGAAAGTACTCAGTGTGAGTGTCTTAACAAATAATTATAATAAAACAGTGCTAAAACAGTGCCCTTAACCCCAAAGTGAGCCTTAAGGTTCCGATAAATCATCTACAACTATTTTATAAATATTTAGTTTCTACTTCTTTATACCATAGCTGTGCTTCGCTGTCCAGTGCCCTGCCTTTGCAGTCACATTGCTTGCTAATCTCCCGGTAATTATCAAGCCACTGAACCATAATTTTTAGTCACTTTTGCACATCTTTGAAATTTACTCACCCTTTTTTCTTATCTTGAAATTCTATCTGTTTCTAATCTATAGCTTTCTATGCTAGTTGTGTATTTCTTGTCATACCTATATATACCACATAAGTTTTTCTTGTATTCCTATTATTGCATTCCAATCGTACGTTCACATCAATCACTTTAATACAAACGTTGGTTGAAGACTCAACTAAATTAAAAATTTATCTCCAGCTCAACATTTACTTCACCAATCACATGGCGCACTAATTGCTTAGGGTGCATTTACAATTCGCATTGTAGGGATAACAGTTATATCGTCCTAATAGCATCAGACGACAACTTTAAAAGTAAAAAGTCTTCTGATCTGAATAGGATTGGTTGCAGCGGACGAAATAATTTTATTATTGGAATCAGCCCGACATCAGAATAGACATGGCAGCCCCTATGATAATCAACGAAGTGCTGGACGAAGAGCGTCTGAATGAAGTACAAGAACTCATTTCAAGCTACATGAACAACTCGGCCGTTGAGAAAGTCGTCCAGAGGCATGAATCATCAGGGGATGACTCATCAAAGCATGACTCATCAAGGTGTGAGTCATTGGGGAATGACTCATCGGGGTACGACTCATCGAAGCGAGACTCATCAATGCATGAATCAACGGTTTGTGACTCATCGGGTGCGCGCAACTTTACCCCTGCCCTTGGAAAGGGTAATGCCCCCGAAACTGAAAATTCACCGTGTCGTGCTCCCGAGGAAATGTCTGCTCTGAGTATCAAATACCCTGATGATGGCCTCAAGAAATATAAAATTTGTATAATTGAAAATGGTACCATTATCATCCCTGAAGACCGTAGTAAGTTCTACCTTGATGAAAAAGAAGATGGCTGCGTTATCAAGGAATTAACTGAAGATTGCATTGAAGAAACTTCTGGAGCCAATACCTGCAAATCTGGTGATGCTTCCATCGAAAATTCGTGTGCCGAAAACCCTAAAACAAGTGAAACCAGGAATGAGACGTCCTTTCAGAATAAAGACTTTCTACCTAAAACTGAGAAAGCCAAGAAGAAAGTTCCTGATTCTCAGGGCAAAGCGCCCGGTCCGGAGAAATTTGACAACGACGTTATGAACAAACTGCTAGACTACTACAGGAAGTTCAATGAGCGTCAGCTCGGTTTGGCTGTGAATGAAGATCAACCTGGGTACCGACCGAGCACGGAGGCTCCTACGCCCGTGGTGTGCGATAACGACATCATCAAGGAAGCTGTTCTAAGGGTGGGCCAAAAAGAAGAAGCTGGAGAAGCCATTAAGGAACCAACTCTTGTCGAAGACCCGGATGAGGATCTCATGGAACCTGAGAGCAAGCCGCACTTAGAGATCAAATTCGACGAAGATTACGAAGACGAACAAGAACAATTGAGACAAGCTGAGAAAGCCGAATTCAGCGCCATGTTTGATAATCTTAGTCAGTCATTCGACGAAGACTTCTGGATGTACGGCGCAAACTTTATTGAAAAAGCACTCGAAAAGAAAATTGACGGCGATAAAAAAGAGAAAGCTCGACGAGACAGATGGGGTCAAGATGACATACTCAAGCTTGTTGATATGTTATCAACGAACTACGAATGTGTTGATTATCAGACAGAAGGGAGTTGGAACAGCGGAGCATATGTTGCTCATTATGAAGACTATCGTGATGATCTCATGTATCAACTTGAGGAGCTTTACGAAGGCGATTACAAGAACCATGTTTACGAAGAGACACTTTTTGACCGACTGAAACGCGCGCCTGCTTCGGACGACCGTCAGGAACTTAGAGCCCTTGTTGCTGAAAACAGCTACTTCCATCGCACGGGTAAACCACTGCCCCGGGTTTACCAAGGGGGAGACGAGCTTCTTGTGGTCACTGATGCGATCAAATATTTCTTTAGCTTTGAGTGGCTTTGGTCTGTCTACGAGCAATGGTTTGGTAGGAAAATGCATCACTGTAAGAACTCGAGCGAAGCTGCTAGTGTCAGCTGGCTTACGTGGTTATTCAGTTTCCCAAAAATAAGATCGTTGACGGGGTGGCTACAGAGAAGTTTCAAATTAGCTGGGACAGGGAAGCCCATCTACAAACATGTTGAGTATCAAAGTACAGATTTCGTGGATTGGCATGAGAAGTATGAAAATGAAGCGCAAGATAAGCGAATTTTGAAGAACCGCAAGGGGAGGAACGCCAACGAAGAAACAATATTGGCTGTTGATGAGGAACACGGATTGCCCAGAAGCGGTCTGTCAACAATTCAAGTTGATGATTCGTATACAAGATATCCTAATCCTGATATCCTTAATGGCTTGGATGGAAACAAGGACGATTGTATTCTTTATCTGGACGCCTAATGGAACTGAATAGTAAATTGGATGCCTGACTTTACCTCATCAATTTTTAGGAATCGCACTGTTACATCATACCATTCATGTTTTCAATGTACATAGTAGGATTTGTAAGAGTTGTATTGATTCAATTCAGGAATTTAGGGTAGTGACACAATTCAATTTAAGACCTTTATAGATGATTATGTTCATCTTTCATTAAATCGAACAATCATCAAACTCTTGCACGAGGTAATTTTCAATTAGTTTTTTCAGGAACTAAAGAAAAAATCGTTCGAAATGTTCTGAAATATTTCAGTCATTATAAGGTTTGGCAATAGTTCTTCAGCAAGTGCAATGTGACTCAAACATCTGCAATGTTATTGATGTATTTCATGAAACTTCCTGTGCGATTGTAACATCAAAATAGCTTTAATAAATTTCATACTCGCGATTTTCTACTTGACTTTTGATTATTTTGCTCTCGAGTCGAAACTGATTAATCCCATCTGTTCATTTTTCGTTTTATGATATGTCGCACACAACGTTCATTGTGATGGAATTAGAGAATTTTTATGCAAGGCCTCCTTTTATACGACCATAGTCTGTGTATTGCGAATTAAAAAATGGTTTAAAAGTAACATGGATACCAATTTGCGGTTGGCTGTTTCTATAGTAAATTACAACTGAGTATTTGGTACATTGGCCAGATATTTATAGGTATTCTACTGTACTTGAAGTTGGTGTTAATTATGAGCGGTTTTTTCCTCAGTGTAAAAAATGTGTGCGCAAGCGTTTGATGTCATTTTGTATTGTTACTACTTGATATTATTACGAGTTAATAGCGTGGTGGATTTTACAGTTTGTAGGTAGTTGGCTGTGCATGATATAACGGTATTATTGCCGTAGCGTCTGGTAGAAAGGTATCTTTAAATTCCTGATTGTTTTCACACTGAGATTTCTTACTTGTTATTACGGTATCTCATCTGTGGCAGTTTCCGTTTATAATTTCAATAACTAGATAACTAGAACTCAAGCGAATTTTCCTTTTAAAGAATGATTATAATTTTGCAAATATTTTCATTAACTACACTTTATCTAATGCTTGAACCATCAAGTGTTATGTAGTCGTGGCATATAACATTTATGTATATTCATGAGTTGGAAACAGCACTCTTAACTCTAATGACCATCTGTTATTCATTGTTTTGCCAATCCTTCCGTTTGACGTGAAGGTAAAACCATGGCAAAGCTCACGATCAGAAGGGCTCTCAAGATCTTGTAGCTAAGGTATAGGGCTATAGGTACGGCAATATAAGAGGTGATGCAGTTGATGAACAATGGACGGTATAGTGTGTCTAATAACACAGAGAGTGTATACATTCTGCATTCATCCATTCATTAAAATTCAATGCAAGTTTTAACGGGCTTCAAATTTTCTAGGTTTTATTGTTACAAGGTTAACTCGTCAAAGCTAATCGCAGTAGACTTTTATATAAAAATAATAAATATTTCTATCATTATTTAATTTTTATTTCGAGAGCTAGTGTGTGCACCGAGTTTTTGTAGTTTTGTCTATTTCGCAACCAATATTTTTTTTTTATTTTCAGTTCTTTAATGGACAGCGACGTGCGTTACTTAAAACTTACAATAAAAATGTCAAGAAGCGATGCCCAACTACCGTCTCATTGTTGTGATGGAAGTATATCATTTCCTTTTTGTTGTGGTAGAATTGTTGTGATAGAATTGTATAATTTCCTATTCAATAATCAATATGTTACAGTTATCTTTTAGCAGCAGCATTGTGTGTTCTGAACTTCTGAAGTATTATTTGTGTACGAATTACATCGCTTAAATTTGTGATACCAACGATTACCCACAATTTCATGCATTATAATTATAACAAATTGGAGCTAACATCAAGAAAATATTCAATAATTCTATCCCAAAATAACATTTAATTTTGAGAGTTACTGTACTATAGCGCATGGCATCTTACTTGCGTTATCCCTTCGTTTTGTACAATCTTGCACGAGCGATAATCATAGCAGGAATAGGTAAGTATTCTCTTGTAAATACTAAATTCCCTTTTAAGCAGGTAGTGAAATCTCTGGTAATGATATAGTAGTCTAGTCTATGTCATTTGACATGCAGGCATTAGCATCTAGTCAGTTCACATGCAGGCATTAGTATCTAGTCATTTGACATGCAGAAATTAGTATTTAGTCAGTTGATATGCCAGTTGAAGCCTCTGATCCCTTTAGTTATCTCATATTTAATTACTTGAGCCGTATAAAGTTGATCCTAGAAAGACGACCTTTCCGGAGCTCGAAGAAGTCGTCAAAGAAAGAAGAAGAGGAGCTCGAAGAAGTCAAATCAGAATTTCGTCAGAATCATTACTGAGCATTCGGGGGAAATTCGAAGGGCAATGCAATCCGCACGCCTTTCGCAACCCACGTGCTTTTAGTAAACAAACACATTTCCACATTCAGTACTCATTTCCTGTGTATTTTGCGTCATTCTGTTTACGTTTTTGTAATTTATAAAAAAGAAGATTGGTGCTATGACTGTTTGAGTCATTTAATAACAGGGAGAACAGATTAATTGCCTACCCGTTATGTATCATTGAACAAAACTGTTCGAAAATTGACTCTTCTTCTGTAACGGATTACTATAGGCTTCCGAGTTGCCACTGTATATGAAACTAACAGAACTATGCGGAGGATGAATTAATAATTTTAACACTATAGTCATCTACTAATTGGAAGAATTTTAATGCGTAATTGTTTTAATGAATATACACTGTCCATGTATCAGTTATTCAGAGTAATGTGACCTTTGACGGCCGACAAAGAATAAAAAATTCCATGCCCAAAACCGGGTTGGAGAATACAACCATTTTTAAGAGTATTCGTCTATTCAGTCTTGTATGGCAATGTTATAATGTGTCAGTGCTCAGTTTTGATCGACAACAATAACTCGAATATTGACATGTACACTGCACAGGCGTATTCTTGCTATTTATTGTGCATAAACGATGAACGTTCGCTAGACAAACGTAGTAAATGAAATTTCTCCCATAATATTGTTTAGCAGGATTTTGCTGATAACTGCAATACTCTCTTAAACTAATAAACCGATAAACTTATATGGCTATTCCTATTTCCTATCATTATAACCGTGACAGCATATTTTATTTCTTAATTTATTACTGACCTGTAAAAATCCATTTACGAGATCTTCCATTGAAATTATGATTATAAAAGGTTCACGTTAACATCTGTTAAACTGCTCATTCGCAAGCCGTTGTCACATTTTGTAAGCCATTGTTAATTAAAGTTCACACGTCAAAGTCGAGATCCGGATTTGAATTCATATTGGAGTGAGCAACACGCTGAATTGCTTTTAGGCTATTACCATAGTTACTGCTAGTCGTAAATCACTCAAACTAAACGATCTGAATTACTAGGGTCAATGCAGAAATGAAACGTTAATGCGTCCGCCGCCGCTATCATCAAAATAGCCGGCAAATATACGTAGTGTTCAATTAACACATGTTCCTCATACTCAACAATGAGGCATCAACAAATCAATGTCAGAGTACACGTTATCAACGCGGGAACGGTGGTAACCTTTTGTTGGATTGATTAAGCGTTCACTTCCTCTCTGAATCAGTTATATCTCGTGGGAATATTCAATGTAAACCTAGGTTATTATGTTTACGTCCATATCATAAAACACATCCAATAAAATACAATTAATAAAGATCTTCATGAATATACAACATTATTGGGTGTAAGTGAAAAATTCGGCCGGTGGAATCGACATAATTGTTACGGTTGAGTTGAGTTGGTAAAATGAGATCTTTTTTACAATACTTCTCTTTAACTTCACTTCTTGATGTTTGTTTGTTTGTCTGTCTGCTACAAATCTTATAATTGACATTTAACACACTTCTACCTGTTCAATCGATCTGAAATTTTGCACACTTGCGTAAAATCGGAGATTATGCGCAAATCAATTGACAGAATACATAATTGGAACATTTATTTACTTATATTACAAAAATTATAAATAATTTTTTAATATATGAAAACAAAATTAGAAATTCATTGTGCATGTGTAACATCGGAGACACTGGATTCTTTAGAAGTCTTGTCCTTAAAAAGTAATTTTTAAACGCATATTTTTTAAATTACTATTTACCTAATTAGTGTGCATGGTATTCCAAATAAATAGATTTATTGCCCGTGAATTATTAACACATTAATAATTCGCATAAACGTTTAGGTGCTACGTAGTTGTTATCAGTTTCATTTCGTTTGATGCACAGCTGAATGACCATTTGTTTGGAGCTGAATGAATTCCGCTCACGTGGATTTATTTCCGTCTCCTGTAATATCCTTCACACCTAATGATCCTTCACACCCTGAATGGTTCATCAATGGAGAATTAAATTAATCCAAAACATTCGTAGCAAGGACTTCACACTATTATTTCTTAAGAATATTGCATAATAGCATTCATGTGCATCGAACTGCACTGTTATTAGCATTCAAGAGAATAGTCATCCGATGCGGCTGGCTGCTTCTGCTCTACGAACGTGTCGCTGCCAATGCCAGTGTTGTCTTAGCCGTTGTGTTGGTAGGTGAGTGCCAGTAATGAGAGAAGCGCGATGGTTTGACTTTTAGAGGATTATATAAACTTCAAGTGAAATATCTCACTGAGGAACAAAATTCAATATAACTGCCCTTCATAAGTAGTTTAAGAACTTCATCAACAAGTGGAAGCTTGAAGTTGTTGAATAAAAGGTAAGAATAACCGTGAGATGGCTCAGCCCAAAATTCGTGAACTTTGCAAGGAAATTTTAATGCTCAACTGGTGAACGGGTAACGACGTCATGTTTATCAATGATTCATATGGTGTGGTGTCGTTTTGCATGGGTTGTTGAGACATTGAAAGCTGAATTTTTAAAGCTATTCGAGAGATTTTTGTAAGTTTAATCACACTGACTGTTGATCTGCAATTGAATAATTGTCATATTTATAGCTATCGTGAGTATATTCAATCATTGTAGTAATTTAAAATATCTGTGAAAAGGGACATAATTTTCATTTGCTGTTGATGCTTCTCTCGCATTCAACTCTCCAGAAATTTGAAAGGTAAAACTTAACTTTTGAGTACGTTGGAATCCACAGGTGGATCGTGGAACGATTGCCACTACTGATTGTTGACATTTTATACTTCCTAGTTTCTTGTGATGTACTTTGGGATCGGCATCGGAAAAAAAGCTTGTTTAGTTACTGAGATAGCTTGCCTGCTATTCGGTCAACATCCGTTGGAGTTGGACGTATTCCTTTTTCTTTAAGTTTAAATCGGTAAAGGAGTATGATAGAGCGCATTTCATTTGGATGCCGATGCAAACAAAGAAATATTATATTTAGGAATATCTTCCTTCATTGCCTTCGAATAATTGCCTGTTCCAGGAAAATAATAATATGGAAAGCCTGTACCCATCAAAAACGTGATGCGGTTTGGGTTGCATGGATGGTGCTGTATAATATATAGTATCAACTCGCTGTCCGCTGCAAGTCTTTGTAAGAAAACATTTTACAACACCTTCAGTTGATGCCATTGCCATTTAATCTAATGAAAAATGACTAGGTTAATTATGTTTACGTTCATAACTTTTCATAACTGTATTAACAGAACTCCACAGTCTGAACTTGAATACTGATTAACTGGGCGATATGTGAATTTTATATCTAACTGTATGACAGTTAATATGAAATTTTCTTGTACATTTTCTTTTTTCACATTAAGTTAATGTGAATTTTTATTTCTTTTCAAAAATATTCTCAATACACTGCCCGTTCGTGCCGTTTATTCACTGCAATCCTCAAAAGAAAAACCAAAACGCTCATTTATTTGGCAACCTCTTCATTGTTCTCGGCCACAGTGTGGGGAAATTTTTTCACCAGGATGAGTAGACATTTTATTCGTTGTGGGTGAACAAAAACTAGGTTTTCCAGCCTGCAGGTCTCCCTAACAGGTACTTATCCTCATTTTAAAGTATTTATACTCAAATGCTATGATTAGGAGTCCGCATGTTGGACTGCACACTTACACGCAATTCGCTTTCCACATTCGCCAACATTTCAATTTGGGCCCCACTCGCCAACATTTCATTTTGCGGCCCACGCACCAACATTTCATTTTGCGCCCCACTCGTCAACAATTCATTTTGCGCCCCACGCGCTAACATTTTGCGCTCCACGCGCTAACATTTTGCGCTCCACGCGCCAACATTTGAGTTCATTTTTCAAAAACCTGTACACAATTTTTTCCTTGTACATTCCACCGAGGAGTTTTTCCTACGGGTTTTCCTAGGTGCCAAAAAACCCATGCGCGTGCCCTTACTAGGGTTATGGTATGGTAAAACCCAAACGGTTCGGATCATCCTTGCACGACCGTTGAATATGCCTTGAAGTGATCGTCGCTGGTTCAGTACCTGTAGTGCTATTTCAAGGCCACTATTATGTAATACTTGGACCAGAGTTGGGCCCGTGCTTTCGTCGCGGATACGATGTGCTACGGACGAAATCAAACGATTTTAAACAATTTTCCTGTTTCTTTTTTTGACGAACTCAAAAATTTTTAAACGATTTTCCTGTTTTTTTTTCGACGAACTCAAAAGATTTTAAACGATTTTCCTGTTTCTTTTTTTGGGGGATTTATAATTTTTGGTCGTGAAAAGTTTATCTGCTTAGTTAAGGCTTTGACGAAGTAAACGTGTTTGTTTTCCCACTATGAGTGGATTTCAAGTTGATGTCATGCTCTGAGTTTGTGGTTTTTATCTAAATTTATTTCTAATACGAATATTTATTTTTGCTCTCGTTCCGAATGATCATTGAAAAATGTTCGACCAGTTGCATACATCGTATAAACTTGGTCAACTTATTACTGTCACGGCTTGAGAGGCCTGCAAATGAAAGCTGAATTTTACTTTTCAATCCGAAATGTCCGTATTCAACTGCAAGCAAAAATGTTATGCATATATGACAATAATTAAAAAAAATAATCATTGGAACGAATGCTGACAGATTTATTTATTATGTACAAATGCAACTTTATGTGTAATTGTTCACTACTTTGACATTCACGACGCCGGAAATATAACGTTCATGCAGGATCTAATTAAATAGTGAGATAAACTTTACACTACGGCTGCTACCAGCCACTTCGCCTGCAACCTCCGGAGCGTTACCGTATTACGAAAAGGAGCTCGGAATGAATTTACGAATAACAGTCACGGAAGCGTAATTTTGTCAGGCCTATATAAAGTTTATGTAAAATTTAAAATAACCGTATAAAATGGGTATTATTTTTTATATCCTGTGAAATATCGTTTTTATTTAAGTACTTGGTCTATAAATGACACGTAGAAAAATTTTAACGACCATTCAATATTATTCAACCAATAGCAAATCAGTTTCCAAGAACTGATCGTAAAAGTTATTCTTACCAGAAAATTAATAACAACGAATATATTTAATAAATAATAAATTTCGACAATAACTTAATCAGTAACTTCTTCATGTTTTATTTTTATCAAACTTTTACATTGATTAATACGTTTATTATAGCGTACGCACGCCTGATTAATTAATCGAGATCTAAATCTGTATTCCTTTTATAGAGTAAATTATTCGCTCGAAGTGAGATATTTGAAGAGATAAATAAGATTAATTTAACAATAGATAAAGCTAAATAGAACTAAACTGAAGAGAAGTTCGAAGTTCAGTAAGAGTGTTGGCCTTCGCTTGACCTGACATGGCGGAATCCTTTCGCCGGATCTTGCGTTCAGTCGCGTATACCTGATGCAAGATGAGAGGGAAAGGTTCCTGTTGTGAGCGAGCGACGTGTTTGGTGACGACGTAGCTGCTGCTGCCACTACATCCGGATACATGGGACAAGTCCCGGCATACGAATGTTTTGAGTGCAAAAAACGTTTTTGGAGCGAAACTGCTGTGTATACAGATTATGGAAGATTAACTCAGGTTTATAAACTAGTTGCAGGATTGCACCGAAACTCAAACATGATTTATCTAACTGAACGGATCTATACGCGATGGTGTATTAAATTTACAGGGTGGAACAGATTTTCATGCCGAATTTGTTGAGCATATAACTAATGTTTGAACAATATCTTTCGGTCCAACTGATGTTTACACGCGCTTTACAGCCTTAAAATTGTATAGAAACCTTATCCCGTTTCAAATATTCATCATTTCAACTCTTCACCAGCTAAAACAATATCTCAATTTATTTTCAAATATTTGCTCGTTTGTCGCTAATTTTGCAATACATAGCGTATACTGTTTGCTCCAAAAAGTCACCGAAATGCATACGTGGATAGATTTTAATCGTATAAATAATTTTATACTGCAAAGGTAATAACTCGTGCTTCGTCTGTAGCAAATAAATTATTACTATTGCTATAGGCGTTGTTCTGTGGACTGCATACACCCTGGGAAATTCGCATAACAGCTTTGTGCCTCTGTATGTTATTCCCACGAAAATACGCAGACTAACCACAGACCTAACTCAATGCGGGCGCACCTCCTCCTCCCAATGATTGTTATGTACTTGGTACTTCTAACATTTCGTAACCTGGGGTTCCTATCTGACCTGGAACCGTACCTGGGGTTATTATCTGACCTGGGACCGTACCTGGGGTTTCTATCTGACATGAGGCCATACCATATGAAATATTATAGAGTTTGTAACTCCGTTAGCGAATCACTGACAGTTTTTAAGCTGAACCCTCCAATCACAGTCGAGAAATTAACCGCAGCGTACGTGTGCTTGGGTCGCTATGTGTACCTACTTAGGCAGCTACATGTAGGTACTGTTGCGAGTTTTGCTAGTACGGCCCCCGGGCTGGTTGTGGCTCTGGTGAAGGCAACGTAGTCATTGTAGGTTCGTCGTGACGTAACATGTAACGGTAAGCATACAATAAATAACCGTATAATTGATTAGAGGGTTTTCTCGATGAAAGCATTACTTCTTTGGCCTCTCTGGATGCATCTATAGTTAATAGTCTATATATGCTACTTTAACCTTTTGGAATATTGTTAGAATGCAATGATTATTTAACAAGTTGGCAAGTTACCATACAATTGAAAATTCTAGTCGGAATCTAATTGTTTCATCGAACACTACACCAATGCACTGCACGCTAATTGCATTCTGTTCCGTTCGATGTCCTCTAGTGTGCGCGTAGTCGGTTCAAGGTCACGTGTCATCGATTACTTTTCTCAGTATCACCAAGTTATTAGAAGTGTTGTCGTGGTGCTCGATGGTGTTCATACGTTTCGGCACTGCTGTTGCGGCCATATATGTATAACTCCAGCTTCTCCAACCCACATTCATCCCTTGCTTCTGAGAACAGAGTTCAGTGCAACCTTAGCTGCTCAGCCTGCCGTCGCTCTTATAAGTAGCAACAGAGAGTTATTGTGGTGCCACTCATGTTATTGTGGTGCCACTCATGTTATTGTGGTGCCACTCATGTTATTGTGGTGCCACTCATGTTATTTTGGTGCCACTCATGTTATTGTGGTGCCACTCATGTTATTGTAGTGCCACTCATGTTATTGTAGTGCCACTCATATTATTGTGGTGCTACTCATGTTATTGCTGTCTCTTATACACATCTAGATGTGTATAAGAGACAGCTGTTACATCATACCATTCATGTTTTCAATGTACATATAGTAGGATTTGTANACTCATGTTATTGTGGTGCCACTCATGTTATTGTGGTGCTACTCATATTATTGTTGCACCACTCATGTTATTGTGGTGCCACTCATGTTATTGTGGTGCTACTCATGTTATTGTGGTGCTACTCATGTTATTGTGGTGCCACTCATGTTATTGTGGTGCCACTCATGTTATTGTGGTGCCACTCGTATTATTGTGGTGTCATTCATGTCATTGTGGTGTCACTCATTATATTGTTACACCACTCATGTTATTGTGGTGCCACTCATATTATTGTTGCACCACTCATGTTATTGTGACACCACGCATGTTACTGCTAGACCTGCGTTGGTGATGTCAGTGATAGTGTAACTTCTGCGTAACGTTAATAACATTTTAGGTTTTGTAACCTATAATATCATCATCCAGTGTTGATGACGCCTTTACGTTTGTGTTTCATGGATGTCACTTCAACTTTATAAATAATATCTGCGTCTTTGTTTGTGTCACACCAGTGTAAGTATCACCCCAGTATTGGTGTCACCCAGTATCAAAAAGTGTAAGCGTCATCGAAAGAATTGTGTCGTTTCGTTGAACGTTAGGGGCTCCTTGATCCTAGCGTCATAACAGTGTTGTGTCACTTTTCAATGTTGGTCTAATCACAATGATGCTCTCCATTATTCACATTTATTGCATGACATTACTGCCAACCATAGTCATTGCATTATTATATATTGCTGGAACTAATCAAAATTGAAACCATCTAATTTAATCGATGTCCGAAAAACAGGTTCTGTCGTTATCGCAAATAAATAGTCAGACTGCCATTGCTTCTTGTTAGCAAAAGATTTTTTACTTCTTTCTTGGTTGTTTTTAATCGTACTGACCAGTCATGCTCGGACGGGATTTGGCCATTGTTCCTTGAATTCACAGTGCGAACCAGAAATTTTTGTATCTAACAAGTTAAACTGCATATTTTGATTTTTTATCTAACAAGTTAAACTGGATTTGTTGAACGCGAACTACTTCTGAAGGTTACGTAACTGACGGGGTAGGTGAAACTGTCTCCAATCTACTTTAGAATAGAATTATGAAGTAGAACACTTCATTATACGACATCTATACAGAAATTTTCTTCCTCGAATGAGATATTATTATATAATTATCTACTTAGAAAATTACTGACCGCACTTTTTTTCTATGATTACTTTTTCTATATTAAATTTTTATATCATGATATTTTAATTATTTTTGTTTATCGTTCTTTTCCAACGATTGCATAGGAAAAAAGTAGAAATACGGGTAGCGGTTTAGCATCGTCATGAATTCGCAGAAACTCTATTCCCTTCAATGATACATAATTGAATGATTTTCTCGGTGCATAACCTTATTCAAAACTGCATTAGTAAGTTCACTCGTGTATAAATTGTTGCCTTCACAGCTCTTAACTATCATTACCAGCTTCTGACATAGGAAGTCCTGAAAATGAGATAACTTTTTCGGCTGAAAAATATATATTTTACATTAATGCATAAAGACACTGTAAATATTCTATAAAATAGTAATTATTATTACCTGCACCTGCTGTCTTTCGCTAACTGGAAGCGCTACCGCTGTTTTGCTGGGGCTGTAATGCGCTCACTGGACAACGTCGGTCATATCTTGGCATCTTGGTGATAGGCCCAAGCGTCGAAAAAGAAGCTGCCGAGCTTGCTCCTTGAAGGTCACTTTTTGCTCCTATTCCTAGTCAGTACAGTGCTCCGTTTTAATATTTGAAGAAGTGAACTTCTGGCTCAGCTATTATTTCAGCTTGTGCGCATGCTCTCTTCAGACGTTGGGCGATAAATCTTACCGGATGCTTTTTCAAGAACATGCGATTACTAGAGGGAAAACAGTTGCTTTGGTTCGAAAGCTGGAGTTTGCAGGTATAAGATAGCAATTTTGAAATCGCTACAACTGTGTTACGTCGAACCCTTCTATTCATATATTTGAAAACGTGAAGAAACGTTCGAGAACGGTATTCTCAGTGCAGAATTTTTCGGTGTCACAAAATATTATTTTTTATCTGCCTCGACCTCCTTAGTTTTAGGATTAACATTGATTTTTTTTCATTGTGCAGAGACCGATGATGTGACGGAACCATGGAAAAAGCGCAGCGTGAAGGTTTATCATCGAAATTTCGGAGCGTCCAAAGTTCACGCTAAGGATGCTGAGAGCTGCAGGCCAGCGCTGCGTGCCGATCGCAGCGCTCGTGGCGGTGTTGTGTGGTGGTATCGCCGCGGCGTCGGTGAGATGTGGCTCGTGCGAGAGCGACTCAACTTCCCTCACGTGCCCTAACTCATTCAATATGCAGTATTCGCTCTCATTTTATCCATTTGATGATAACCTCAATCAAGCACTGCAACTCACTTGTGACTACATGTCCCCGGTCCTAAACTTGACATGGATGGAAAAGTGTAGTTTCCCAAATGTTGTCCACGTCAAAATTGAACTGTGCCCGCTTTTCAAGGAACCCTTGGCGAAGGTGTTAGAGAAGGTCGGTGTTGTACCTCAGAATGTCCTTCATTTGGTATGGGAGACTTCACACACTCTGGAAGATGGGGTCCAGTCCTGGCATTTATCTGGTCTGGGTAATCTGACGTCGTTGCAACTGCAGCACAATGAATTCACATCTCTACCTGAAGGCTTCCTCAAGCACACTCCTAAACTTCAAAAAATTTATATCAACGGAAACCTTCTCTCGGAATTACCATCTGATATTCTTTCTTATACACCCGAGGTAAAAATTTTAGATTTAGGAAATAATATGGTGTCCAGTTTAAGAGAAAATCTCTTGGAAAATGTTAAATCACTGGAGGTTTTAAACTTATGGAAAAATAGTTTCACTTCTATCCCACCAAGACTATTTTCAAAGAATTCTGTGCTAAATACTATCGTTCTAAGTTCAAACAAATTGTCGGAAATTGATCCGAATTTATTTGCCAACATGAAAATGCTCCATACACTTGATATTCAAATCAACGAGCTCCTAACCTTGCCGGCTGGTGCCTTCAAAGGATGTGCGAATCTAACGACAGTGTCGCTTCAGTTCAACAAAATTAGCTCTCTGCCAGGAGATTTGTTCAAAGGAACAGCAGTCACTGTGCTCAATTTGGGGTATAATAGTCTTAGCAATCTCACCACTACACTCAATGACCTGCCTACTATTGAAAACGTGACTTTGTACAAAAATGCGTTAGTTAGTTTGGATGCCAACATGTTTAAAGGATCAGCGAACATCGTCAGGCTTGATTTGCAAGCAAATTCAATTCAAAATATAAGTGAAGGAATATTTGATCATTTGACAAAACTAAAAGTGCTTCTCCTTAACAGCAATTATTTAAAAGAGCTTCCTCCAGGTTTACTTCGGAATTGCATTTCGTTGCTGCGAGTTTTCATGCAAAAGAACGACTTGGCATTGATCCCTGTTGACACGTTTCCTAATCGAGCCAGTATCGTCAAGTTAGACTTGTCTGATAACAAGCTGGCATTCAATGATGAGGATTTCGTTACTCCTCTCAATCCACTCACTAACATCGAAGAACTATTCTTGTCGAACAACTTGATGCGTAACATCTTTTACGATGCTTTGACCATTTTCACGCGTCTCAGAGTGCTTGATCTGCGAAACAACTCATTGACAGTGTTGTCAGATCGAGACATAAATTTTATTTCCCAAAACGTTACCTTATTGCTTCAAGATAATCAAATCGTGAATATTTCAACGGACTTTCTTGGAATAGAAACTGAAGGTAAATATATTTCACTATCGTTAGCCGGCAATCCACTAAATTGCGACTGTCAAATGGAAACCTTCCTGAAAAATGCTCAGTTGATTCCACATTTTGCAGTCAATAATGTGGACGGGTTTAATCTAATAGTTACAGATGCCGACCTTACCACATGCTCGCAACCAAGAAAACTGCAAGGCATTCCAATTTCCAAAGTTGACGCGTCGAAAGTTGTATGCGAGTTTTCCTGTTCCCTTGAATGTTCGTGCAACATCAGACGGCATGACTCTTTCATACTGATGGACTGCAGTGACCGTGGTATGTCAGTCTCTCCTACCTTTACTGAAAGATTCCATAAACTGAGGAAAAACTTCAAGCTAAGTCTTGATCTCTCGAATAATTTGTTCGAGAATGTTAGCTTCTTGAGTGAACTGGAGTTTGGGAGGCTGGAGAACTTGGATCTATCGAACAACTCGTTGCAAGTAATCAATGGGACTGATCTACCCCCGACACTACGATTCATCGACCTAAGCTTCAACAATTTCTCAATGCTTTCTCAAGACTTTGTTGATTTCCTCAACCATACAACGATTGCCGTGCACTTGAGTGGCAACCCATGGTCCTGTGACTGCGACTTGAGAAGCCTGCATGAGTTCCTGAGGAACAACTACGAGCAGGTAAGTGATTTTTAGCACGTTTTCTCTCATTTATGAAAAAAATGCACTATTGTGCTCGCCATGTCCGTCTGTCTGTCTGTCCGTCCGTCTGTCCGTGACCTCAAGTTGTCGTCGACGAGAAACTGCGCTCTCTGTCACTCACTGCAGTGAGTACTGAATTGTATTTTTGTGAGACATTTCAGGACTATGGTGAGTGCATGAGCAGGCGAGCGGTTGCCTTACTGCCGGAGGTACGGGTTGATCTGCGTGTTGACTGGCTACATTTAGAATAGAATAGAATAGAAGTGTCGGCGTTGAAGAAATAGGCCCATGGCCTGTTGCAAAACAACTGCTTCATCGTTTCTAAATCTAGGAACTCGAAAGAGCGTCTGATCAGTCAAAGTCGTTGATTGGCTTTATTAACTTGACCTTCAATATGCTTAGAAAATTTCGACATTTAGGGGGGAGAGATTCTTCAATACTAGCTTATCACTCGCCGATTTCATTTCCATTTTTGTCAGTGTGTTTTAAGGGCATTTTCCTGTCAAAATATTCCTCCATTTTTACCACACTTCTATTTAACTTCACTTCCTGTTTTTGTCTGTCATCTACAAATCTTATAAGCTAGGTATATCTAACACACTTCTACCAGTCAAATCGATCTGAGATTTTGCACACTGACGTAAAATTGAACACAATGCTTACATCAATTGACAGAATAAAAAAATTATTTGAATTTTTTTTATAATATTTAAAAAATAAAAGTAAGAAATTCATTGTACATGTGTAACATCGGAGACACTGGCCTGTTTAGAAGTGTGGTATTTAAAAAGTACTTTTTAAAATCATATTTTTCTTGTCGTGTTAAATGGAGGTTTTTTTCAAATTCAAGGTGTTATGTGGCATAGTTCATAGGGCTATTTTCGCATACGGGCGTACAGCTAAGCCTAAGCCAGTCGAGGGGCGTTTGTTCGGAGCTAATTACTGTTGAGGTGCCTGCTTGATGCCATCAGACACTGATGCTGGCCTTGTAATTTTTTTTATAACCGTGTTGAAGACTTGTGGTGTCAGAAGCACCTCCCAGCCTGATCTCTTTTAAAGTGCTGAGGTATTGAAGCAACCAGCGAGTGCAGTCTATGAGAATGAAATGCTTGTTCTGCAGATTACAAATCAAATTAATTAAACATTGTTTAATCACGCTTCAAGTGTTGTTTCTAGAATATAACTAGATCATTTCGTAATTATTTGTTGAGAAGTTGTTGCTGATCACGCGAGACGTTTCAGCTAATGCGTAGGACTTGTCACCGATCCTATTGCTCCTTATGTTGGCTAGAGAAGCAACATAAGATGTGAACGACCCACTGTCAGCTGTCTCTTGAGACGCATAGATGTTGTCGTACTCCCTTGTGCTCTTGTATTGGTAATGAGGGGCGGTTACGCTGCCAGACGTCGTAGCGAGTGACGTCACTCACAGCTAGTCTAACGCGCGCAGGATCATTTCCTTTGTGGTTCGCCTTCGCTGCATCTGACGTCTGACCTTGTGGAACGTGTATACTGGTACTGGGGAATTAGAATCTAGTCTTTGTATTACGGACTTATTCTTTGGTGATCTATTAAACTAATGACAATTTTCTGCCGCCCTGGGATTCAATCCTCAGTGTTAGAATCGAATTCTACTTGTTTACTTGTACAAGCATTGCTTGATGGTCTTCGTACTCAACGAAAATTATATTCACATCTTATTACATACCGTACTAAGAACATTAAATACGTTTTAAATCGAAATACTAACGGTATTTTAACGTTATCTAAGGCCAGAAATTTAATTGCCTCATTAGCATCCTAGGTGTCTGATAGTATGTTACAATTATTTTTTATTAATATAGGTTTTTAAAAATAATTCTGTTGATCTATCATTTAATTGATAGGATATTACATTACAAGAACTGCCCGACAGTAAATCATGTTAGTTATGATTACTGACTAGAATAAATACAATGTATTATTGAGATCTCTTCAACATTGTATAAATAAATCCCAATAAACTGTTGAGATCTCTTCAATATTTTATAAATAAATCCCAATAAACTATTCAAATCCATTCAACAGTTGTACGTATGATCTAGCTGACGATGTTGTGACATTGCAGGTGGTGGACCGACAGCAAGTCGTGTGCTCGCACAACGGCATGCCGGTCGAAGAGCTTCTCACCGAGGTGCTCTGCCCCTTCCTGTACCGCGCCAAGACGATTTCTGCTATCGCTATCGGCACACTGATTCTCATCGTCGCTGCTATCTTGGGTGAGATACTGATTCTCATCGTTGCTGCTATCTTGGGTGAGATACTGTGATTCTCATCGTCGCGGCAATCTTGGGTGAGATACTGTGATTCTCATCGTCGCGGCAATCTTGGGTGAGATACTGTGATTCTCATCGTCGCTGCTATCATGGGTGAGATACTGTGATTCTCATCGTCGCTGGTATTTTGGGTGAGATACTGTGATTCTCATCGTCGCTGCTATCTCGGGCGAGACTCTGATTCTCATCTTCGTGGGTCTCTTGGGTGAGACTGGACCAACCGTCACTATTGTGATGCAACTCGCGTGCCTCCGAAGCTAGAATGATCAGAACGTCTAAATAACAAGTGCTCATAAACTTCTCGCGGAACTATGGCCTATTTTTTATTTATAGATGTTTTTGATTAAAATTCCAGAATTGCATCGAGTGGTCAATGCACTAGAAAGTTCGTAAGCCCGGGGTTTTCTAGGGAATCTTTCGCAGACTTTTTTTATGTCGATGATACATGCGATGATGTTGAAAGTGAACTGGATTTAGCTACCCAATGAAATCCCTTTCCACTTTTAATTATTCTCCTAAATATCAATGTAGGCTGAATTACATGTAAATTATTAAAATTCTCAGTATGGAATCACTTGTGGTGTCTCGGTGCTGCTTTTACTCGTTGTTCTGACCGCAAATAATAATTACGAAAAGAGTTAGTTTGTGTAGCGGTAGTTTGACTGGCGAAGTCTACGGCTTGAATTCGTGCAACGTGTGTTACAATTTCCGCTCAGTAAGTGCTTCTCGTAACTCGTATGTACTAAACAGCACAGTGTACAACATATTTACCTTCAGTATTGCAATACGCACATTTATCATCTGCATCGGTATAGATTGCGAGTAATTACCTAAGTAATAGGCATAATGAATCCCTATTTATTTTCTAGGGATGGGCCGTCAGGAAGTTTACGCGCGTTATTTATGGCTTTTGCAATCAAAAGTCCACTGATTATATATAGCTAGAATAGTCGACGTCACTCCGGTCTGCAGCCGTGGGACTTGTTTGCACTGCAGTTCTCTTGTGCAATTTCACTTCGCAGCTTTGTTTATCTTTGTATTCCCTCTACTGGTGAGCAGCTCATTCCAAGGTCAAAGTCTCCTTGCCTTTTAGCTTAATGTTTGTCGCTATTAAATGTTACGCACCAATGGATATTTTTACATTATGAGGAAATAAAAAAAATTGAAAATGGGTACAAAATCTGATGCTACCAAGGCATCTCAAATAAGGCACTATCGTAGTTTAATTTCAACCATGATTAATGATTGGCCATGTCTAAAGTCGACTCGGTTTTTATGAGGAGTTTAAGTTCATTAATAGTAAGTTAATTCCGGAGTCTTTATGTAGTAACTTCAATTAAATAAAGAAGGATCTTATTTATTTATCTCATGGATTGTTTTTCGTACGTGGCTGGTAAACTGTGATTACTCTGTCCCGCAGTTACTGCAGCTTGGTTCAGGAACAAAGAGATGATGAAGGTGTGGCTGTACTCGCACAACATGTGTCTATGGGCGGTAACTGAACAAGAAATCGACGCTGACAAGAAGTATGACGCTTTCATCAGCTACTCATACAAAGTTAGTATTTTTAAGTTCATGGTGCAATTGAAATAGAACATGTTCCTAAACGTCGAGTCTTATATTTTTAATAACGTTATATATGTTCTTTGCTGTTTTCAACATTTTCATTGTCGGAAATTTGAAGTTTTTGTTTATCGTCGTACACAAATTTTAATGATCTAACTGGAATTTAAATATATAGTTTTTCTTATAGATGAACACACGATTCCTCGTAGTATGCATATTGCAAATTTAATAAAACAATGCAATTTGTTCATTGACATCATTGACATTTACACGCCTCCTGTGAAAGTATCGGTCCAAATTTGATTTTATTTTGCTTTCAGGACGAAAAGTTCGTGAACGAAACTCTAGTTCCTGGTCCGCTTCCTTTGATAATATCGGTCAACATTTGATTTTTTGTTTTGTTTTCAGGACGAAAAGTTCGTGAACGAAACTCTAGTTCCTGGCCTGGAGTCTGGCGACCCTAAGTACCGCGTCTGCCTCCACTACAGGGACTGGATTCCTGGCGAGTACATCCAGGAGCAGATCCTTACTTCGGTCAAAGCCTCCCGTCGGACCATCGTTGTTCTCTCCAAGAATTTCATAGAGAGCGTGTGGGGGCAGTTGGAGTTCAAGGCTGCTCACTCGCAGGCTCTTAAGGACAAAACAAATCGAATTATCGTCGTTGTGTACGGAGACGTGAGTTTTTTAATTATTCTCGGTAGGATTTCTGATGCTTCATATGTTCCTGTCATCATTCTGAGTGTGTTAATATAATTATGAGAAAGAATGAATCAACCATAAATATCCAGGTAAAGATTACATAACCTTGAATCTATGTTATCTTCTTGTGCTTGTTGGTTGCGTCTTCCGGTACCGATAAAGGTAACGGTGGTAAAAGTACTACTCAACTATGCTGCTCGATCTATAATTAGAGTAAGAATCTGCCTAAGGTATCATTCCTCAGTATCGTTATTAATTTTACTTTCAATTTTTTGACATCTGTAAGACGAAAGTTTTTAAATAGTGCAAATGTCGTGTCCTTTTCATTTGTCTTCATATTTTCCAGGTGCCGCCGTCCGAGGAGCTAGAAGGCGAGCTCAAGCTCTACGTCTCCACGAACACGTACCTGAAGTGGGGCGACCCGAAGTTCTGGGAGCGCCTTAGGTATGCCATGCCCCATGCAAAATATCAGCGGCCGCGCAAAAAATCCCAAGTTGATAAGCTGGAGCTCGTCAAACCTGCGCACGAGTCTGCAACTAAAACACTGGACGACTGAAATTCTAGACTCTCATCGAGGGCTGAGCTGAAATCATCGACCTCATCAATTTCACTTTTTCTAGTTTCGAAGTGCATTCCCAAATGTTCAAAAACTGACATGTTTGTGATGTAAACTCGAGTGCAAGACTTTTTATGAATTTTAGGCCGTGAATTTGATTCGAATTGCTATTAAGTGAATAAAACTGAATGCAAGCGAATCGGTGATTTGACAAGTGCAATAAATTTGAGTGACTTATTTGAATGCGGTCCATAGTTCGAGGTTGCGTGTATTGAACATTATAGGATTTGGTCGTCACATTTTTTGTTTCGTGTATTTTATATTCGGAATAGCTAATTATGTTGCTTTTTAACCATTGTCACATCAGGAGTCTCATATGACTACACTATCAACTTTCGTGGCGATGTGATTTAGTTAACTGATTGAAACTGAAACTTAGTTTACGTAATTGAAAACTATAATTGTACACGATGACTTTGCCCTCATCTTGTGAATGAGGTGGAGATGCTGTAACGGTTCTCATTGCTGGCTCCATGCGCGTACGCGAGCTGTGATAAAGACAACAGAAATATTGTAGTGTGCCAGATAACTTCTAAGGTATGATAGGTTTAGTTTATACACCGTGCAGCTACGTTATCGTCTGTACAAAGTTAAGTTCACAATGTAGCTTGTAAGAAATCCTAAGCAATATGTTCTGTCTCGTGTTTTTATGTTCAGTAAGATATATAATGTTACTTTCTTAACTGAGATAAGGGATCATCTGGGCGAGAAATAACATTGCTCTGAAAGAACTCTTACATGACATATATATTGAGATAAGTTAACACCAAGTGCAATAAGTGTTGCAACGATTTGGCACGTTAGCTTTGCGTTTTATTATATTCTTATGATAGGTGATTGGAATTGTTATAATCGGTGACCTTTTCTATCAACGGCGACAATTATGGTTATTGACTACTATAAATTTTTACTCACTTGAGAACTTGTATGCTAAGCAATTGTCGAGTTTTAAGAGTTTTCTTAATTATCTTAGCGCAATTATTGATATTTGTACAGTACAAGCCAGATTGTATAGATATTAATCTATGAATCGTTTGTATAGAATTAAGATGTTTCTAGAGGTGAGTACAAAATCACAGTGAGTCTTACATCATTTAACACCATTTTTTGTTGGAATCAACTTTTCATACTATATTTCGTCGCGTTTGTCGGTTATGGACAATTACACTTAGACTTTACGATATTTTTCGTAATTCAGACGCTTCGGGAGGTTGGAATAAAGTTTATTTTACTTTCTCACTCTTAACTATGAGAGCATGCCCTTTGTACTTCCGGCTTTGTGGTAATGCATGCAAACATTTGTCACCCGGTGCGATGCTGTTCATAATGAATGCAAGAAGCGCGATTTGTTATAGCCACCAATTGGACTCCAGTGAAATTTGTATAAATGAGCATACTTTTTGCAATGGTCGAACTGCTCAAATAAGCGATACAAATCCAGTCGTCAATGATTCTTCACATAGGTTTTTGGTTCGTTATGAAATACCTTTCTGATGTTGCGTACAGATGTGTAAGTTATATTTGGGTAAGAGTTGAAGGTAGACCGACTTTGTTCACTGACTATTTATAATTTTGTTGGATGAGAACTTTCATTACGTTCCTGTTTAGCAATGTTAAAATTTGGATCACAAATGAAAAAATAATTATCGCATCAAAATTTTTACTGTGAACATTACTATCCTGATAAAAGCAATACAAAGGTAATAATATGTCGATACATTTTTATCAATATAACTGACAGGAAAAGTGGATCACTTCATTACAACCAACCGCAAGTCTATTCAGAATAATCTTCCATTAAAATGCTGTCGCAGAGGCTGTAAGTGTAACAGGAAGAAATAAGTTTACGAAAGAATGATAACAAAAGAATCAACACCCAATATTATTCAAACATTCGTAGACCATTCAAGCAGAGAGGAATGCCGTATTAAATGATGATTTCTAACCAGCCGAAGACTCCATAGAGTGAACTTATTACTTGACAAATCTTTATAAAACTGCTAGCAGAAACGGAAGTTTCGCCGGCCTCCTCACGACGCCGCTGATTCCAGCTCCGACACCGGCGTCTCCGGTTCCTCGTCATTGTAAATATTTTCGGCCATTTGCCAGACCTAGTAGAAGAAAATTATGTTGACAATAAGACATGAAAAAATCACTATGGGATATCACGTGGTTCCAAAAATTTCATAAAATTCAGGTGCATATATTCTTCAGGAGTTCATCAGACGTGGCGAGTGGCTAAACGTACAATGAAAATTGATAGGGTAGAATATTTCTACAAGGAAATGAACGTTACGTTAATAAGTGTAACAATTACCATGCACGGTACATCAAATTAACTACTTGTGGGCAACTGATGCAACATGCTGGCAAATCGTCAAAAAAGCCACTTATTTAGTAATATACCAGGTCGCCCCCACTTGCTAATCCAACACAAAGGCTGCAATATTTCCTGTCACATTTCACTACCATCACCCAAGAACTGCAAAAATTCATGTCACGCACACCTCGACATTCCGAGACCAAAATCCGATCAATCGTAGACCGCTGTAATTGCTCGACGTTTGTGGCAATCGATGTGTCTTGCTAGTATTTTAAACGAAATATTTGACGCCCTTCACTCCACGCAACCAACAAGAACTCATACACGTACAAATTGCAAGGTCTCGAGCCATCCTACACTTAGTCAAACCATAGCTAAGACTTGAGGGAATTAATTTTTTTTGCTTATCGCTTCGAAGCTGTTCTACTTGTAACTGAATCATTGGACACCTTAACACCATGGAATAAAACTTCATTGGAGCAACCCCTGCAAATTTGTTACTTTATTTCTATAGCAAATACTTACAAGACTTAGAAATGGGATCACCGAACTGACCTGCATGATATTATCTTCGCTGACGGAGCAAACCACCCACGGCTCGTTCGGGTTCCATGAAAAATCGGAAATCTTGGCCGTGTGTCCGCCGTGGATGAACTGTGGAGTTCAACAAAATGAAACCGTGGCAAAAATCTATTATTCAAGTTGCACCAAATTAACAAATACTTTTTTTAATTCATCAATTCATCCATAGGCTACGAATTAGGTGTGGGTTATGGATGTTCTTCTAGTAAGCATGTCACTCAAAAATGTTATAAAAACAATTAAAAAACCAGAGAGTCGAGGGAAAAAAATTATTTTCCATCCATTGGTGGCTTGAATAAACAAGCCAGATATATATTTAGAAATGATGTGCTGTTGCAATGCTAGTCATGAAGTCAATGCCTGCACGCCGTATGAATCACGGATCATGTGAATAAATGAATAAAAGAATGCAAATACTGAGAATTAGGAATTACAAACGGGAACGAAAATAAGAATACGATACAAACAAAAGATGTAGGTAGTAAAAACTAAAAAAAAATTTCGAATCGAACTAAGGCACTTGAGCGTCAGGGGGCTTACAAGCAACTCGGGGGGGCCGTCCTCGGCATCCTCGGGACTTTGGTCCTCTCCGATTTTGCTGAGATCCCAGACGTGGAGGCGGCGATCAGTGCCGGAGCTCGCGAGAATAGTTTCGTTATGGGGGGACCATTGAACCTGCAGTATAAAATCACACAATTACTTAACGCTTAGAGTAATTGTTTAAACAAATTACATCGATAATTTCACTTTAGAACACTGGGTTGGCTACAAGAAAGCATTATCAGAGGTTATATATTTTTAGTTTTTCGGCATGCTGGAAGCTAAGTTGTAACATAAAATTAATAATCATCAGCATGTTTTACAGGTTTTCGAATGCAAACGCAGTTAAGAGCTCAAAGTGACAGAGCAATAAAAAAAGATTGTTACAAAAAGGTATGAATTTGTAATTAGATTCATGTAAACACATGAATATTCCACATAAGCGGTCCTATAATTTTTGGCAACTTTTTTCGCAGAAAATTTTGAGAAAAAATCAGCAAGTATTTAACCTGAAATCAAAAAGATTTTTTTCAAAAACTTATACCGCTTTCTGAAATTTACTGCTTTAGTTCTCCTACGAGCAACTGTTTCAGGATGCATCCTTTTTAATACAACAATTTCCCCTAACTTGATTTGAGGGATCCAAGTTTCAAATGAGTTGTTAGTTCGATAAAAGCATGAAAATTTCAATTAGTTAACAACTTTATAAAGAAACATCCAATGCAAACAGCCAGACACCGCGCTCAAGCTTTATTGTCATAATCTTACTGAGAACATAAGTATAAGAAGTTTGTGTACACTCACCTGGAAAATCTCATCTTTATGACTCTCAAAGGAATGCAGTTTGAGTTTAAGGTTGCGTAGATCCCATAAGGCCACAGTCTGGAATTAATAGGAAGAAATTGTGAACAATAGAATGGTAACAAAATTAAAGCAATATAAGAGTCTGGGAAACAGAAGATGTTCCCTACAAGTTGAAAAATAACAACTTAATTCACTTCATTACATAGAACTTGATAAAAGAATCTGATGAGCAAGAGAAAGTATTAAACTCATTGATTTTCTTTGTTCAAGTCACTCCAGTATCTGACTAAAATAAAAACAAGTTATGGGCGTCTTAAATTATTGTGTATTTATAATAGAATAATTTATAATAGTATAATAATAATATTATACTATTATTATATAATAATATTATACTATTTATAATAATATAATAATAATAATTTTATAATATAAAAGCAACTCATGGAGATGATTATACCTTGTCGGCACTGCCCGTAGCCAGGATGAACTCGGAATAAGGATTGAAGGAGAGACAGTTGACCTCAGCAGTGTGAGCGTCGACGGTGTGCGAGGGTTTGTTAGTGTTGTTGCTGCGAGTGTCCCAGATCATGAGCTTCTGATCATCGGCCACCGAACCAAAGAGCGAATCGTGGAGCAAGTGCCACGCGACGTCCTGTCAAATCAATCAGTATTAAATATTCATATATGTTTCATTCATTGAAATTTTTGTTTCGTAAAGCTGAGTTTATTAATAAACTACTTTTTGCTTTGAAAGCTGATTTTTAGACAGGAATTTTTCAAGTAACATTAGACTAGGGTAAGTAACAGGAAATACGTTTTACTCGAGATTTTACAACTAGCATCCTTGAATAATTTCTTAGAATCACAAAGTCACAGATCGCTAAGTAATTTCAATAATACCGTTATGTTAATGTATGAGAATCTATTATAGTGAAGTCTTGAAACAGAAAAATTTACTCTAACATAACTTTCTAAAGTCAAGAGATCTAAGTAAGAATCTAGCTAAGTCGCTCCATGAAATTTTTCAGTAAATCATGAAAGCCTTCAATGCCAAATCATACTTTTAATTTACTTTGTATAGTTCGTGATATGATGCTTTCAGCTTGTATAAAAACCGGACATGCATTTGCTCATAAATGTTTAATAAATTCAACTTTAAGTAAAGATTTTTTCCTTACTCAGTTGAAAATGTGTGTAAAAAATATGAGGACATGACAAATTCAAAATCACAATTTCAAAAGTTAAGTTGAAAGCAGTTAAGACCTTATTCTTTAGATTATATATACCTCTACGACCGCTGTGTGACCGGTAAAGATCGTCCTGGCATCAATAACTCGGTTTTCTTTAGGAGTTGCATTGATGTCCCACAAACAAATGGTGTGATCATCGGAGGCACTCAGCAAATATCCGTTCAGGTTGGGATTCCAAGATAAACCGTACCCTTCCTTCTGGTGACCGCGCAATCTGGTAACAAATGGATTAAGGTTTGGATGAATATCTAGAAAAACTTCTAAAGAACAGTCTAAGCAATACACCTACCAACCTGAAAATAAAAACTATAAAAAATGGCAAACTACGCAGTTGGCAATTTAAAGACTCCACCAACAACATTTCTGATTAATTACATGTTTTCACTGCAAAATTCTGCAAGTCTTGAATGCTTTAGACTACATATACAAACTTTAAAAATGAATGAATTCAGTTACAAATTCAATGGAGTCAAGAACCGCAGCAAGACTCACCTAAGGTCAGGATGACACTCGCCCGATGGGTCAGGTTTGCTGGGGTGTTTGGTGTAATCAAAAACAAGCACGTCACTTGAGGGAGTCTTGGTGGCAATCACGCAGGGATTTTGTGGCATGTAGCGAGCTCTGTTTACTTCACCTTCATGGTTTATCTTAATCTCGATCTCTATCTTACCGCTCACAGATCCAAAGCCACCAAACTCTGTGGAGTAAATAGGCTGATCAAACTGATTGCAGTTTGATCGTACAGACATCAAGTAAACCAAACTCTAGAATTAAGACACTTGCTAGCAGTACTGCTGTCAAACTGGAATAGTTTTAATGTCACCTCCTTTTTCATTGTCGTAATGCGCAGCATCAAACTGAGCATCTTCATTTGGCAGCTGAACTGAGGCAATAAGGAGGTGGTTCTGTTCATCACTTGTGTGAGTCCCAAGTATAAGGCGGTGAATACTGTAGTCCTTCCCTTCAGGCCTGAGAAATACAGAGAAATTTGACCTGATATACAAAAATGCTTGGAAAAATTTATGCATATATTTTTTTGAGACCAAGCGGATCAAAGTCATTGACCTGCTTTTGCAGTAGAGCATGTGAAACATGCACCGCACCCGAACATGCATTTTTACCTAAGAAAATTATTTTTTTTTTCTTTGTTAAAAAACCATAAATTCCTTCAGCTGAAGTTCACACACTCTACAATTTGCAATAAATTTGTTAAAAATGCAGTACATGAAAAAATTCCAGCTTCTCCTCAAAAACAGAAGCAAAAAATTAAAAAGTTAGTGAGTAGTAGAACTTTAATTTTAACATTCAACTCGAATGGCATCTCTCCCAAAAGATTAGTAAGCATTTAACTTTGTGTGCAAAGACCTTTCAGGTGCTGTGTAAAAAGTTCTGAAGTTATGAATGATTCACAGTCAATTTTTTTTGCTGGATAATAATATTCACAGCCCAATGCAACAATTAGCAACTGCTGCCATCCTACACCAGTTTGATCCACATCTCACCATTAATTGTAATAACAATTCACTTACTGGATGTGCTGAATCTTTTTTTTTTTTTTTTTTGTTATAGGATATTCTAGATGAAGCATATGAATAATTCTCATAATTGCTAATTTGTCTAATGAGCAAATATCTAATATCTAAAATCTAGCTACTCCAGAAATAGCACAAAAGCTCAAAAGTGGCAGTAGCTACTTTAATAAAGTATATCTCTCCGCTTCTCCTCAATGACACCCAATCTGGTATATCAGGCTGTATTTTTCCAAAAATTGTGAGTAAAAACTATTACTTTATAGGAAATGATCAGGAATCATGTGCAGTTTTAATGAAAAAGAATTTATGTGCAGTTTAACAAACAAAACTGATAAAAAGCTATAAAAAATGTAAAAAAGTCCTTTTCAAAGGAGTTTGACTCATTCAAGTTCTTCACATGAATTGTTGTGAAAGGGATGACATACAGAAGCCACTGTGCTGAATTAGGCACGTGTGTTCTAATATTTGGTTTTTAGACCTAAAGCATCACCAGTATCTTAGTGTTAGAGGTGTTCCACAACTGCCTGAACCTGCAATATTTCTCTCCAAAATTATGCATAATGAGATATTCAATGAGAAATGTCTTGGCAAGAATTAAGACATTTGCTCACTCTCTGCTCCTCAGTTTTGGAAATAATTTCAATAGTTGTGGAATCTTATAGCTCAATTGCACACTTTTGTCACAATTAGACACAAGATAATTTAAAGAGTGCCATAATAATAGTGGGTCTTTCAGGGAAATCAGGCAGAAGCTACCCATGGTTTAAACAAAAACTCCCATGCTTGCAGTAAATTTCACCCATTCATACAGCCCTTGCCTGATTTCTTTCATAGGTAAAAAGTAAGAAAATGGCACATTTTTGTCACTTTGCAAATCAAATTTTGATTTTTGGAAATTGCCTGCAAAATGGGCATTTACACTCTAATTTTGTAAAGTTCTGCTAGTTATTCCAGACTGGCTGGCAAGAACTTTGAGAACCTCAAAACTTGCAAGAAAGCTCCAGCCGTCACTAAAAATTAGATAGGGTAAACGCGGTATATTCCGACATCGTAGGTAATTCCGTCACTTCTCTAGTTTTTCCTTTATATTAAGCTTTGTTTTAGTTCCATGCGTTCATTGATGGTTGAAATGGTGACGTCATACATTTGTGTGTCGAAATACTGCAAAAACACTAGGTCTTGGCCATCTAGTGGGAAAATAACGGGATTGGATTTCAAACCACGCGCGATTTCGGAAGAGCGGCAGGCAGTTTCCAATGAGCTCAGTTTATATGATTTCACTGCAGTGGAAGGTGAGGTGGTGTAACGCGGTGGTAGGGTTGATTTTTCGATACGTTTTCATATATTAACATGAGAATATATTAACTATACAGAATTCCACACTGCGTGAGGGCAACAGAACTTACGTAGGCTAACGCATACGTTTTTTTTATAGTTTTTCATTTCTTGATGCGTCCTTAATGTGTCGGAATATACCACGTTTACCCTACTGTTAAGTGAGTAAACACCAGAGTGGCATCAATGCTAGATAAGAAAACTGATTTCAACTTTTTAATCAATATTTTAATATCATGAATAATAATTTATTTTACCTTGTGACATCAGGCAGCCACTGAGCAGTAAGAGATGGCCACTCCAGTGCATGGGTCATAACAAGATCATAAAGGAAAGGTGTGTTCTTCTTCCATATCTTGTATTCTTCATTGATGACTCTTTCCTCAACAGCATCATCAAATGTTTCAGCTCCTGACATGAAAGAAAAGATTATTCTAGAATAAAAATATGACAAAAGAACATAAAAATTGAATAGTATGAATATTAGGCATCTTAGAACTTATGAACTAGAGTAGAAATAAGTCAATAGGTACTTAATAGCAGTTTTGTAAATTGTCATCCACTTTACTTAGGAGGGTTCATACCTATTTTAAAATCACTTCCAAGTTCCAACAACTTTAAAACAATAAAGAAGTTATGAATCTTCAACTAATGATGTAAAAGATATGTGGCGTTAATATTTGCAAACATACATCCTTGTTTTTCCTCTGAAGAATTGTTTATTTATTTTTTCTAGATGCTAAGCTCAGAAAAAGAACGAATGTGCAACGATTTTGTTTGTGAATACTGATCAATTACCTACACGGAAAATTCGATTGAGTTATTGAAACAATAGTGAAAAAAGGCTAAAACATTTGATCATTACCTTTTGCGCTTCCTTCTTTATCACCCATGATTGCTTTGAAAATTTTCGCTCTTCCTATTTCAGAATTGCATTTTATACTTCGTCGATTTAAGAAATACACTCAGCCCTTCCAACACTTTATGGCGCCAACACCAAACTTCGGCGTTGAGAGAGAGAGAAAGGGAGCATGAGAGAGAAATGCGGCTAAAAATACCCTAACAGAAAATTTTATACCCCGGAAAGAATCATTCGCATTCCTATATCCTATTTCTAGATCTGTTGAAAAATACATGGCTTCATTACTTTAGCAGATAAATCAAACCTAAATTCAGGTCTCAAGTACCTGAAACTATAATTATGTTATATTGTGAGTTTTTTCTGTGCAATCCATCTGACACGAATAAAACGATGACGAACTAAAAATTTAAAACGTTTCTTTGTTTTTCCTAATTGAATATGGAGCATTATAAGAATTGTTGTAATGACTAAAGAATTTGTGATCAATTAGAGTTTCCATTCCGGGCTGAGTTTCGATTATGAGCGTTACCTTTTGATAAGCTTCTTCTTATACGTCCAATAATTGTTGTCCATCAGAATCGAAAGGATAGTCACCAAGACTAGAATGACACTCGGTTGATGCTCTGATGCTTATAGTGACGCTTGGACAATGATACTTGAACAGGTCAACGTTTCACTTCAGTCTGTGTGAAAACGTCTTAGGTATCGGAGGCGGACGAGAAGTGCGGAGCGGTGCTAAGTAGTGAGCGCGAATGCCACTTCGGTCTTCGTTGGTGTAGGTTGTTCTGCAAAGATTCTCCAATTCAACTTGAAGCTAATACAATTTCATTTGATGATACTCAATCATATCTTTCTGATCTACTACTTTTTGGCAAGTAGAATAAACATAAAAACGCGTGTAAAAGAAACCGTTGTGATAGTTTCGAAGTCACTATGACCTGTTCTTGGTGGAACTCAGGTAAGTAAACTGACTTTGATTATATTTTTCATAAAAAATTGAGCATATAATTCAGTTCTAATGTTTTTTTATGTAAATCGGCTTGCGTACACTGTAATTGTAAAATCAATGAAGCAATATTTAAGAAATTTAACTTGCAAGGCGCATTCGTCGATTACACACAACCACCTTTGGATTAACCGTTTTTTTCTGTAAGAGAAAGCCTCTCTCTAATGCCATGACAGTGTTATTTTTATCTTAGGTTGCATTGGAACAATTCTACGGTTGCATCATTTCTATTGATGTCCAGATGTTTTTAGAAGAGTGAAGGATTTGTCAATGAAATAATATTTTACTAACATAGAACGAAGGTTGTTCGTCGTTATGTTTTAAAAATCTAGGCAAAAACAATAAGCACAATTTGATTGAGAATTAGCGAAATTTTCTTCCAGATAAAAAAACTACCATATCATTGTAGTTATTAGAAAATTTATTATATTTTACAACTAAATGGCAAGCTTTATGCTATCTCAAACTCGACCGTGTTTCAATAGATCAAGAAGTCTAACATGTGATACAAAATGAGGTGCTAAGTTTTCGACTACTTTGAGAAAATGAATGCCTTGTAAATGAGAAAGATAGCTTATCTTGAAGGGTAGCGTATAGGTGTATTTTTTTCCTGTCTTGTCGAGTTGTAGACACGTGGTTCTTATCTTTTCCGGTCTTGATACGCTTCCTTGAAGAGCAGTAGACAGATGGTTTTTCCCTGTCTTGCTACGCTGCCTTGAATAGTAGTAGACAGATAGTTCTTTCCCTGTCTTGATGCCCCGTCTTGAGGGGTAGCAGACAGATGGTTCTTTTCCTGTCTGATACGCTGCCTTGAAGAGTAGTAAACAGATGGTTCTTTCCTTGTCTTTGATACGCTGCCTTGAAGAGCAGTAGACAGATTGTTCTTTCCCTGTCTTGATAGGCTGCCTTGAAGAGTAGTAGACAGATGGTTCTATCCCTGTCTTGATACGCTGCCTTGAAGAGTATTAGACAGATGGTTCTTTCCCTGTCTTGATGCCCTGTCTTGATGCACTGTCTTGAGGGGTAGCAGACAGATGGCTATGCCTCATGAAACTCGCTTCGATGTTAGTTGAAGCGAGCCAGGCAATGCGGAACTGGCAGCCGGATGTGCTCGGTAAGAACTGTGTCGAGAATCAGCAAGGTGACTCAGGAGGAGGAGCATGGGGCATGCGGCATCTGTATACTCAGCAGGTCCCTTTGTAACGTTCATCAAAATAGGCATTAATTTAGTCTATCTTGGGAGACATTACTTTACCGCCACCATGTCAGGTATTGACATGCAAGTACCACATACCATCTCAAGAAGGTGTGCTTTGAAATATAACGAAAACATTATATTCACTAAATGTCCATTATACGCCCGAAGAAATTATTTTCCATAGAATAATATCAGTGAATAAACACAAAAAACAATTTCGGTATGTCATTTGATCGTTTATTTACAATTCGATTAATTAAAAATGTGCGAGATAAAAAGTGTGCGTTATGTATTTTGGTTTCAACGTTCAAAAAGACAGTATAACTTAATAAAAGGACACTTCAGTATCAAAAGACACTTCAATAAGTCACTGCAGTATAACTTAAGTTTTAATCTCATCACAGGTTGGCTGCTGGGGTTGTTGCTGCTCGCGTTTGAGCTGCAGTTCATGGCCGCCACACCGTCACCAATGGTAAGTGTGATTAAATTGAACTCTTACTAACTTTATAACTTTTATCCATTGTAATTGAAAAATAAATCTGAGAGCAAACGAATCATTACAATTAAGCTCTTATAATTCTACATACTGTCATCTTCTATTTTCTCATGTGTGAGAATATGCGTAATTTTCAAGGTATAATGATGTAGCATCATCATTATACATTGATGATGGCTGCCGATGATTGATGTGTGCGAAATTATGTGCCATCGAAATCATGTGCCAGCACCTCGACCTGCGTACGGCTGTAAACCGGCTGTAAGCCGGCTATAAGCCGACCCTATATGGTAGGGTCGACTTGGACAACGCGCCCCAGTCGCGGAAGTGATTGCCAAAAATCTGCCCGAAATGTAATTAGCAAGAAGCATGTAGCGATCTGTGCGTCTCTAATGGGCGTATTCTAAGCTACGCACGAATGGGCGCATTCTGAGCTACGCAGTAATCGGCGTTTTTTTAATACGCCCAAAAGGCAATCCAGGCAATTACGCACACACTTTTTCTTGGTCATTACACGACGACGCTTGAACTCGCGTGACGATGTTGAGAGCTGCGTAGCTACGTTGACTTAAGGGTAGTTAAGATGGGCAGTTTCCCCTTGTTTGAGATGGTTTGACTTTACCAATTTTTACAATTACAACTTATTTAACCTGGAAATACAACTACGTGAATAATATTGAAACTTCCTAGCATTTTCAACTATGTAAATGAGGGGTGTACTTTAATTGTATTCTGCTTGCGGGGATGTATCGATCTATTCAATATAATTCTAATTTCAAAATTCTTAGATCAATATATTAATTATTGCACTTACAATGAACTCTGAGTTGCATTAAATTCATAGCAAAAAAAAGAAACGACTTTGACCAACTGCAGAACAATAGGTTGTGTTCTCCGTATGATCCCGAAAACAGATCATTCCTAGTATTAAAACATACACTCATACACTATTGATGTCTCTATAAAAGCAAGCCAAAATAATGACCACCTTCTTAAGTGTCCAACAATCACTGTAAGCAATAAAGGACTGCAGCAACATCCGTGTGAGTATTCGACTCGACCTTCCCACGCACATCTCTCATCACGGAGGAAATACCATGCAGCCATTGTGCCGTCCGCACCGAGTGTAGTTTATGGCGTCTTTCCAGTAACTGGGAATTCTTTTTCCTTGTTTATTCAATGTCTATATTTTGCGCTACTCAATGTCATGTTTGTTAGATCTTAAACGGAGGTGACGTAGAGGAGTTAATTGCAATCTCATTTAAAGGCAATTGACGGAAGATTAAGGAGGAGTAATAGGTTCAAATGAGATATTACGTGAATTTCGATTTGATAAAACTCAAATCTAATAATGTTGTATGAAACTTTCATTGAAAGACAGGAGTTTTTAACTTTGAAAGAAACTTCATTTGAGTAAATAATGTATTATTTGCTTCAAGATGTCTCTTCGAAATGATTTTGAAAAATCTGTGCCGAAGTTGAGCATAGTACATGATTTGAAGGAATGCGTTCGGTTTAGAACAGTGTCCCTTATAACATTTTAGCACGGATGCCAGTTTTTCAGAACGCAAAAAAGTAATTTAAATATATATTATTAACCTTATCCAGCGTAGCAATTCGACCCTATTGCCTTATTCTGCTATCTAGTGATCTGTGGAACACAAGATTCTTCATCATCGGTCTTATTTGCCGGTCTGGCAGCTGCCTCGTATCCTGAATCCGGCTTGAAAAACTGTCTCGATGGCCCTAATTTTTCTCGATTCTATCGCAAAATCGGACTAAAAAATGTTGCATAATTATCTTGTGGTTTACGCGCGATAGCTTGAGGTTTGTGTCTGCTGTTTTTGATAGCTCAGTAGATTAACTCAATTAACAAAGGGATATTGATCACCTTATTTGGAATTTTCGTTAACAACCACGAATTTCGCGCTGGATAAAAACCCGAGCTTGAAACTTTAAGCATCCGGCTCAAGCTTGTGCCAAAAACGAGCACGCGGCGAAGATACGAGGCGAGATGACTTGCATATTTCAGAACCGACCGAGTCGGTGGGAGTTCTCTTAACAGATTATTATCAATGCTGCAATTTTTCGCTTCTAACCGCTACCGACTCATCCTTGTCAGTACAATTCTCCAGAAAGGTACAATATAAATTTTGGCTTGCTCTATGCAGTTCAATATACTTGAGTCAAGTACACGCATAATATTCTGAAGATGAATAAATTCTTAGCTAAATATAGAGGCCGCTGTCGGCAGAGCCACTTACACTGCCCGGCAGCGCCTTTTCTTGTGCTTGGAATGCGCTGGAATGAGCCATACAAGTTCCAGCCTCTCGTCGGGAATGTGCATCCATGATACCTCCTGTGAACAATGCCATGTATAGGAGGAACGAGAGCAGGTTCCATGGAGAATGAAAGAAGTAACTCCTGCAACTTATAAGGTTTAACGACTGCTCGATCACCGCTCGGTATAGAGAACGAAGGAGAAATAAATTCGTCTCTGCCGCTGCGTGGTTTATACGGAGTAACATGACATGCCATCTTTTAGCTGAACCGCCACTCCAGTGCATAAATGATGAAGATTTAGATGCCAGCTCCTAAGGCTGGAAGTATGGAGGTTCATGCATGAGTGGGCGTGTCCAATTTGGGTTCATGAGTGGGTCGATTTTTTCGCCTCATATATTTTCGTGTTGTCAATAATTTATGAATTCAACGGGACACACGATTCAGATGATATGTCGTTAAGTTAAATTTTTATGGTTTTCAACATACCCTAAAACTGTACTGTAAATAAGATATCTAGCTTATTGAGGCTTTATTTACCTGAATTGTACTTCAACATGTAGTCTGATGCTTCATTCGATTCCTAGTTCCGGGATTGCGGACACACGTAACCGCCGCCGCTGCGCAGTGCCCGCGTGATGGACGTCATGCGCTGATGGATTTGTCAAGTGTCTTTTTATACACGGGTTGTCTCAGTTGTATGACATTTTATTTTTTAGTTTGAGTTTACATAAGGTCGACTACTTTTAAACACCTGCGTTAAATTCAAGCGGTTTACAAAAGATATAGCGTAGAAGACCAAGTTTATACATTTAAAGATCTGAAATTTAATGCACACTTGATTCATAAGAAAATTTGCGACTTTGGTTTCTAATGTGGAAAGCATGCAAGCATGCACTGCCAACCGATTGCGGATGCAGTCAGGTTTGCGGAAGTATTATCTCTCATACCGTCGCTGGGGTCAAACAGCCAACATTTTCTACGTAAATTCAAGTCCACTTAACATACGAAGCATGCAAGTTCGCCGCCCATTGACAGCATTTTTTCCACGTTTGCAGTGCCGCACGTCGTCATTTCAGATACAATTTTTGTCTTATTCTGAAGCTTTGATTTTTATAGCTGAATGCCGATCGAGGCTAAAATCACATTTGCGCAGTTCGATCAACTGCACCCATGCATTGTATGTTTTTCATAACATGATCGACGTACCCATTAAATAATATATTTTATATTTATCTGTCTCACCTAAAGCTGGGCATCGTCATCTTGTTTGCACGATGGGGGGTGGTCGTATGGCATCCCGATTTCAGGATCTCCAAGTTTTGTTGCCAAAAACTTTGGCTTTGCACCTTTTACGATCTTACTTTATGTGCAATGTTAATATCAAACTTTTAGACGTGCACGGCTACTCGGAGAAGCTTAGACCGAAATTATTCAATTATATTCGTGCGGTGAGTTTTTTTCATGTAAGTGATCTCAATCAGAGAGTTTTTTTAAACTTGCATTCATATCTGTTTTATATTTATACATAATTTGGTTGACAAGGGAAGTTACTTGTTCAGACGATGTTTCAAAATTTACAATAATTTTGGAATATTTCACTTCACCAAAGCTGATTCGTTAAAAACGAATCATTATTTATTTGATTCAATATTTTTATTGGATTTGAATATTTATTGGGTTATTTACTAATTTTTTTTATGAAAAATCTATAGCATAAAAAGATACACGTTATTAGCATGTACACTAACATGACTGAAGGGCACTTTTTGTACACCAAGTAATTCACGTGTCATGATCATTCATGTATTTGTTGTACCCGGTTGCTTGTTCCGCTTCACTTCAATGAAATTAAACTGATATGATATATATAAATTCTGAATTTGTTTACAGCTTCTAATAATCCCTCTGTTAGTTACCTATCTCTCGGAAAAAATTGACCGCAATTCGCGGCTTCGACAAGTTAGTCTTGAACTCGAAAACATAAGCATGAGAACATTCTTTAATCGATTTCGGCAGAAGCGATTCCAGAACTGGGCAAAATTTAAATGACCCGGAACATGGTCACGAATTATTTACATTAAATATACAAAATAGATGATAACTAATTACCTTTAAAGAAATAGGAAAATATTATTGTCAGAAAAAAACATGTTACTGCATAAAACTTTTGTAATCGATTCATCTATAGTAGATTACGAATCATTGGTTTGTGGTTGCTAGATTGGCGAATTGAGGTACGGATAAGTTAAGGATGCGTAAATAAATTTCTTTCTAATTAGACTGCATTTGCAATATACGCATCTTTCGGTAAAAATTTGGGTCCAATAACAAAATAGAAAAATTATTGCTGAACTCCAGTTCAGCATTTTTACCGCATTTTCCCTTTATAGAACAAATGCACTATTGTGCTCGCCATGTCCGTCTGTCTGTCTGTCCGTCTGTCCGTCCGGGACTTCACGTTTTCGTCGATTTTAAGAGGCGGGCATGCCTGTATCAAAGATACGACATCTCTAGCTCTAATGCACTGTACTAATCGCAATGAAAACTGATTTATGCACGAGAAAATGCGCTCTCTGTCACTCAATGCCGTGCATGAGTACCGAGTTATATTTTTTAATTCACTGACGTCCGCAATGCGAAGTCCTATCTTCGATTGCAATTTATTTTTTTCAAAACAATACCTCACCGATCCTAATCTTCAGAGTACTTCCTGCTTCCCCCTAAGCGACTAATACATTCAGTGCACAAACAGGAGGTAATAAATTGCAATTTTCGGCTGCCATGCTTCGTCTTGACTCACTCAGCAGACGATTTAAGCAGCATCGTCCCCGTTAAACTCTCTTGAGTCTCGTCTCGAGATTGCAGACTGTCTCGTGTCTGGAACGTATATTCTTCAGCTACCTGGAACAACTATGGCTTAAGGCGGCAGTTTCTTTCGACTCGTTGTTGAGGAATTAGTTCTTTGAAAGCTAAGTTAATTCTTGCATGTTGACTGGCAAATAAATAAAATTACAGAGTGAGGGGTTACGGAATGTATTTCCATCATAAATAGAAATGAGATGGAACCCGGCAAGCATTATGCAGTCCCTTCGAACGCCATAATGCTTTCGTGAGTTATGATACCTATGCAATATGCATTCATTATACTCCAGCCAAAGCTTGGATCGTGCCTCGAATAAGAAGTTCCAGGTTCCCAGCTCATGCGTATATACCTGGAATTGGGTTCCCTATAAAGCACCAGTTATGGTTCATACGAATATTTCGTAAGAATTATGTCATTAAATGGCGGCACAGAAATTTTCTAAGCACAATCTTAAATTAATAGAAGAGCTTGAATTATGTCGATACATATCATCATTGATAGAAAATAAAGGCTATATTATATGCAAAAATATCTATTTTACCCAAGTGTTTCATAACACGAGGCATGAATGAATATTATGCGTTTCTTTAACAGCAGAAAATTACTCAGATATTCATGTGTCTGAAGCGCAAGTTAAAATACAATCGATGAACCGCTTGACGGGGCTCACATCCTGCTCCTAATTGATCTTCAAATGCTGGTTTTTGCAATTTTTTTTAGGACCTGACTGGGCCGGTGGCGCCTAGGAAAAAATTTCAATGGACCTTCATTGGAACATCCGCTTGCCGCTCCGAATTAACAGTGTTACTGATATTTTTTTGTTGAGTACAATCCTATAATTTGTAGACTAGGTTTTTGGAACCCTGAGCTGTGGCTAAAATTGTTAATAGTTAAAATGCGTTAAGCCGCATTTTCATCGAATTTTTTTTTGGTAGTTTGGTTTTTGAAGCAACAAAAATTCTTTAACGGGGATATGTCACGTAGAAGAAATTCAGAGGAAAATTTCATCAAGGACTTTGCTTCAATCCAAGTTAAAGGATATTTTGAATTTTTAGTAAAATCATTTTAGTGTTCCGGTGCTTAATGTTGTTGGTAAAATCATCCTAGTACTTCAAATGCTATTAAGTTGATACGTGATTGAAACCTGAAAGCAAGTTGAGAAATATTAGCAGACTTGAGAACAGAAACTAGCTTTTGCCCAACAGGGAAAATTTTCTTCGTTCTTGTTTTTTTTTGAATGTTCTGCAAAGCTGCAAACCATGTAAAACGCACTGTTCTTATGCCCTGGGCTGCAGTTGTGCACTGTTGGTGCGCTAGGCTGTAACTGTGCAGTGTTGGTGCGCTAGGCTGTAACTGTGCAGTGTTGGTGCGCTAGGCTGTAACTGTGCAGTGTTGGTGAGTGTTGGTGCGCTAGGCTGCAACTGTGTAGTGTTGGTGCGCTAGGCTGCAACGTGCAGTGTTGGTGCGCTAGGCTGCAACTGTGCGTGTTGGTGCGCTAGGCTGCAACTGTGCAGTGTTGGTGCGCTAGGAGCCTAGGCTGCAACTGTGCAGTGTTGGTGCGCTAGGCTTCAGTTGTGCAGTGTTGGTTCACATATACGCACAGTTCCATGTACACCTTCACATTTTTTTTGTTTGTGCTGATTTCTTTGTCGAGCTTCTCTACATCGAGCATCCGGGTTCCCTGACTTCAATGGAGAAGGTCTTGAATGTTCGAAAGCGCTTGCGGTAAAAAGTTCAAATTCAAAATTTTTGTTTCAATTTTTGCATTGGCGTTTGTACTCGAAAAAATTGTCAATGAAACCGTACTTGATTGAAACACATTAGTTTAAGTTACTGTACCTACCAAGACTTTAAGTGAAAAAATTGTTTAGTGGAGCATTTTCAGATTCTTGATTGCACATATTAGCTCCCTTGGCAAACATATGCTGAAATCGGTTTGAGAGAGTAAAGAATGGTTTTCAAGTGAACTCGGGAAGCCTTAAGATTGATTATTGCTTTTAAGACAGTGAACATAAAGGGAGAACATACCTAATTAATTTTCTTCAAATATTTTCTAACTGTTATCAATTTCTAGATCATGATAATAAATGTAACAATTGGACATTGCAGAGCCTAGCCAATTTCCTCCTCGCCCTGCGAGAGGGCCCGGTGGTGCTGCCCCAGATGTCGCAGCTCAGTCACTTCAGGACGTTCTCCTGCACCAGCAGGCGAGACGGCGCCTACCCTGACCTACAGTCCTCCTGCACCGCCTACTTCAGGTACTAGCTAATTATGGTACTACAAACTACAGGCACAATATTCTTCTGGTACTTCCTAATTCAGGTAGTAGTTAATCAAGTAATGGCTAATTCAGGTACCACCAAATACAGATACCTTATTTTTCTCGTACTTATCAATTCAGGTAAATACCAACTTGAAGTTCTACCTACTACAGGTACAACCTACTTCAGGTACTACCTGCTTCATTTACTACCTACTTTAGGTACTAATCTATGAACCGGCATATTATAGTATATTTTTGTAACCCTACTTAAATTTGGACATTTACCTACTAGTAAATCGATGTAGGCCAAAGGATTTTAAGTGTACATTTTTTATTCATTTTAATTGCATAGTAAATTGATTATTCTCATACTTCGCAAAACTGAGAACCTTAATTCACTCGGTATTTTCATAAAAATCGTGCGTGCAAAACTCAAATACATTAATGTTTACATCAAAGTTCACGATTAAGAGTTGGCAAGAAAATTAGCTAGAGCATTCGTAGCAATAAGTCCATGCACTTGTGATGTAAGATGTCCAGTTCAGATTTGCCACAGTCGTTCGCAGTTAACATTAATATTTTGTTAATAGCTTTGCATGTCTAATTGCTCCATATGCTCCAGGTGCCTGGGAGGCAGCGTGTTCTCGTACGTGTGTCCAGTCGGTCAGAAATTTGACCGAGAAGAACAAGAATGCAAGCCCGCGCGGTCTGTGTCGTGTCCGGCGCTCTTTCCGCACACCCGGAAATGTCGCAATCAAACAGATGGATTTTATCCGGATTACGCGGATGGATGCAGATCCTACTATCGGTAAACCGAGCAACTGATCATTCATATCTATGTTCAGTTATTGTAAATTTTGTTCGAAATATCATAGAAATGATTGATTTTTCGAAAAAAAAAACAAGTACTTCAGTTAGTGCGAGGATACAATGAAGCAATTAATTATGATGTGATATTTATAATACTTACAGAAGGCATGATTTCATGTGGAGTATTACCATTCCTGATAATTCAACTATATCACGATTTTTGTAATCGCTAATTCTAAGCATCCCTTCGTAATGTTTAGTCGTAAATTATGGTTCTTCACTTTAAATTGAGTTCATATTTTTTATAATTCTATATGTTTCACTGATCGCATATGAGTCCTTGTGTTTTGAGTAATCGCTGGCATTGTTGATTATTCACAGCTTTCGCGTTGTCATGATCATAATCTGAATCATAAAGTTATCATAATTATGAATGTCAAGTTTCTTTGATAGCTTTTCCGTTGATTATAAAATTTTTTCTGAACGACTGATGACATTCAAGTTTGAAATTTTCTCCTGTTTATGTTACTCATACGATTGATTTTGAAATTATATTCACCATTATTATAGACTTGAATAACACTTCGTTGCTTAAAAAATTTTTATTCACGATAAAAGATCTTTGCTTAAGAAATTATTTTTCCATCATTGAAACTCGGCATCTTGCCAGGTGTCACGACGACGAAGTTGTGGCCACAGGCCGCTGTGACCGCGGGACGCTGTGGGACTTCGCCACATCCTCGTGTGGGTCGAGCCTGAGGACCACTTGCTCCCCCCCATCCTGCTGGGGACTGCCGGACGGTCCCCACCCGGTCGAGGGGTCGGGGTGCACGGCTTACTTCACCTGCAAGGATGGTCTCAGGACTGATAATATTTGTCCCAGTGGCACCATCTTCGATTACATGGAAAAGGTGGGAATTATTGTGTTGCATTGATGCTCTAAATATCGCGTAATAATAATAATAAAAATGTTGTTAAATATTATTATATAATCGGATTGTTACCAACAAGATGAACTTTCATTAACGTTCAAAACTCCTAATTTTGATATTTCAGAATTGGGTGGAGCTATGCCAGCTTATTTGGGCATGATAAATGCGAAATATTTATCAGTAAATTTGCTTCTGCTTCATGCGTCCAAAAATTAATTTACAAGCCCTGCAATTTAATAACTATATTTTTTTATTTACTTGCGATGAAATTCATTTATGATAACAATGTTACACTGAATCACATGCCTTCAACCGCTCCTGGCTCAGGTATGCGTGAGCAGCTCACGCAGCGTGTGCTACGAGCGCGTGTGCGAGGGCCGGCAGAACGGCAAGCATGCGATGCCACGAGCGCCATGCCACGCGTACTTCAGATGCTTCAACGCTGCCCTGGTCCAGGTCGAAGTGTGTCCAGCACGCCACATCTTTGATGGTTACGAGTGCGTCAGGGCAGGGAACTTCTCGTGCTGGACCGAGAACAACGTGTCGTGTGCCGAGAGACCGGATGGGGTTTACTCTGGGGACGACAAAGAATGTCGTGGGTTCTTCCTCTGCCGCCAAAATAGACTCGTCAAGAGTTTCAAGTGTGCTTCGGGACTGGTGTTTAATGGAGAAAATTGCGTTGACAGTCAGAACTACATTTGTTCGTCCAGACCCAAAGTTCCTGACTGCAGCAACAAGCTTGATGGCTACTACATAACTGATAAGTCTAACTGTCGGGCTTTTTACTACTGCAGGGAAGGTTCTAAACTCAGCGATCACAACTGCCCTGGAAATTATGTCTTCAATGGAGAGCATTGTACCGATCCTCAAAACTTCTCCTGTTAGCCACAGCATTTTACAAGTAATGGATTGAAATCAGGATGATGAGACTGAGGTCTCATTAGCGATAAGAAAATGCTTCTCAATCCCAGCCCTCATGAATTGATTTAGTCCAAAGTTATAAATTACTCACAGGGAAGATTCCTGAATTCGGAAGAATTACAGTACGCCGGCAGCAAAACGTTTGTTACTATCTTCCGAATTAGATCTTGAAGAAACGTTTACCCAACTTCGAACAAAAGAAGGTTTTTGGTAATGGTCTTTCGTTCCTCAAAATTTCGAAGTTTGACACCGCTTTTGCTTCTAACAAATTCTCGAATAATGGAATGTAGGTATATTTAGCTCTAATGATGGCGTACCATGATTGCTCGAGTTATCACTCGTATGTAACTGTAGAAATTTTTTGATTTCTCGTTTAGAGTTGTGTCCCTGTAAGGGAGTTATGTGGTTTAAAAACGAAAAATCAACCGTTGGATTTTCCTCACATATATTCTCATAATTAGTGCATAAGGAAATTGTTTTTACTCTGTTGGGTGCTTGGTTTTGACGGCCACGGCCACGGGTGTATGCAGTTAGCATACTCAGGTTAGTTTGTATAGTACAAGCTTTAAATTGTAGGCAGTTATTCTGCCAGTTGAGGCGTTAGAATTCCACTTATCTATGATACTTTGAATAGTACTTTCTATGAAAGTTACCTTAACTTGTGCAAATGTTCAAGTTATTTAGGCTTACATAGGAGGACATACTTAATTTCTGCTATTTTTATCCTTATTACATGTAATCAATAAGTTATAACACAATTAATCCAACTTAAATTTGTTTTGATTTACATACCTAAACATCATCGAACACCTGCAAGTGATTTTGATGGAAGATATTATAAATGTTCTGCAAATTTGTCAAACTCTCATTCAAAATTTATACTCCGCATTTAGCTGGTGCTGGCAACGGGCACATTAGAGGCAAAAAAATCAATTATAATTCATGACCAACTTTATTTTTGTCAGTGAAAATGTGAAATAACAGGAATTTATACACAACAAAGTTTTTCTCGTCTTTCTTGTAAAAATAAAACGCGGTGAGCTTTTCTGAACTGCTGTTGCATTGACCTCTTGGTCAACATTGGGTCCTTAGCAAGTGCAAAACTAAACGTCGAAATTTAATAACTAAGTAAAGCTCTACAGATTCGTTATTTATTCACTAGATTCTGGTTTCTGCATGCGACTGACAGCGCCCCTTGAGAGGACTGATCTGATTTACATCAGAGGTCCTGAATGTCCGTTAAATGACAGAGAAGTTGAGCTTGATCGTTTCAATGGAACTTCACGAAACAACGCTGTGCGCATCTTTTGAGACTGCAGAACAATGGGTAAATGTCTTACGAAAATGCGGATACATACGCATCCGTTCTAGGAGAACCAACAAAGAAGTTTCATCTCTTGTCAATTGGAAAGCCCAGTGGTTATGGCCCGATGGCCCAGTGGTTTCAGTTTAGAGTAAAAAGGATTTGATCAGAGAGGTGCGGGTTCGATCCCAGATATGTGCGCCAGTTTCTGGTCAGAATCGGCGAGGAGGCCGATTGTTACGTGTTCGAGACAGCAACAAGCTGTGAATACTCTGCGATGTTACGCATCGGCAACAGGCCTACGGCCTATTTAACGCTTACACCGTTATATAAGCCTGAACATGTACTTGTAATTAGGGAATTATATTTAACAACTAATTGCAGTATTGAAGTTACCTGCTATGGTTCGCGGTATCACAAACTGACCTTGAACGTAGTACAACGTACTAGTCGCTGAGCAAAACATGGTTTCACTTTATTTCTGAAAATATAATGTAAATTCCGATTGAGCGTTTTGAATGTGCAGCAACTGCAACATGTGCATGTACAAGTTCATTGCCTACATGCGCTATCGCGTAAATCTTAACAAAAATATAACTCAGTACTCACTGCAGTGAGTGACAGAGAGCGCATTTTCTCGTCGACGAAAACTTGAGGTCACGGACAGACGGACGGACAGACGGACAGACAGACAGACGGACGGACGGACATGGCGAGCACAATAATGCATTTTTTCCATAAATGGAAAAATGCGCTAAAAATGTTGGTAAAGTGCAGCATGTTTATACCTACACATAATTTACGGCATGCGTGCACTATCAATGAAAATCTTAACGGAAAACAGTAGCCAAGTTTCCCCATGTGCGCACCAGCATCGTGGTCGTTATTTCTGGCCTCCAATATAACGGCTCTAAGTGGCGGGGAAACCCCGGTCTGTAAATAAGAGCCCGCGCGCTGCCAGGTGGACTGGTCTCGTGCCAGGAATTATGTAACGGAAGAATTACAAGAAAAATAGGATAAGAAGAAAATATACAGGCACAACATGATTTATGTTGTTCAATGTTTAAATGAATTTGAATTATTTAGTCTTCACTTGTGCTGTTCTTCAAATATAGGAAAGATTACTGGTTATAAATTAGTTATGATGCAATTAATCATTCAGTGCTTCTATTTGTATAATTGTTATGCTATAACTGTGTATTTATTACTGGACAACAATTTGTATCAAGTTATTTGACATTTAAAAACAACACCTACTTTGCATTAACCTTTCTCAACATAAACGTATGAACGTGGAAAGGGAAATAAATATGATGCGTATCAACTCGCAAGTTTCAGTTCAAGTAAGAAGAATGCTTCCGTACCTGATTTCTAGTAGCGAAAAAATGCACCGAGAAAGAATTCTTCGTTGAGAATTAAATAGGTTAAGTGGGACGCAGTGCAGTTGCACACATGCAGCCCTTGGCTACGCACTTTACTGCAGTTGCCCACACGAAATGCGTAGAAAACGAACGAAACTCGCAACCGCCCAGTGTTGCGCAGATAACGAACGACACAATTGATGCTCAAGCCTGTGAATTTTGATCATTCGTAGACAGCCATTGCAACCATGTTTATGATCATACGTTCATTGATAGAAATCGCAATTCACGCCTGTTACGAGTACAACATACTTTAATACCAAATTTTCATTCTAATAAAATTGATCTATGTAAATATACCCGTTTAGCGTTCCTATCCTAACGCCCTGAACATTCAAACGAATTGCGATTTTTGATGGAAGACACTTCTAACTTCATTGATGAAGGCGTTTTCTAATTATAAAAATAAGCGCCATACACGAACCGACGAAATTATTGTAATCATTCACTACACATGACGACATGTCAGAACTTTTCTCTTAGAGTAACTTTTAACGAATATAAGCAATACAATTTTTCGTTTAGAGCAATTGTACTATTTGACATGCAATAAGATAAAAATACGGTTCTACTACCATAACAACGAACTTAAAGATTCTTTGATTGAAAGTGTACTGGGAATAATACAATTATAATGATAAATTATTAAATATTACCAATTATCAACTTTCTGACTTCTTCAATGATCTTGTCGGCTGCATTAAAACAAATTAATAACAACTTTTTTCTCTAAGACGGCTGATCGGCTCTCATTATTTACCGATCAAATGAACATATAACTTTCTCAAGTATACTGGCTACTTCCTTGTTACAAATTCCAAAACGCATTAGTGTGTTTAATAAAAATCAAATGTAACTTTCAAAAAGGAATATTATCAAAAGAAATGAAGAATTTGTTTACTTGTGTCCGAAATAGTTCGTAAACAACGTATGCAATAATGCACGACGTAATGACCCCGGTGGTCGTATGCTTGACTCACTGGGCGTCCCACTGTCACGTGACCACCGAACTTTGGCGGGAGGCCAACGATGGCGCGCCTGTGGTGAACCCACGTGTCCCGGTGCGGAATTTACAAGGGGATAGTTTTCATCAACTTTTAACGATCAGCGTAGAAATTTGTTGAGGATTGTTACGAGTTGCTTCATGATTTCAGTCAATGCTGTGAACACGAAAATGAAGGAATCCAAGAGATAACAGATTTTTGCCTGTATGATGTTAAGGTAGGTAACTGAGATATTTATTCTCGTGATGTCTTTAGCATTTACCCAAAATTTATTGTTTTATTTATTTAAAGTACCATTCCAATTCTGAAACTAAGTCACAGATAATAACTCGCGAGCACTCGAATAGAAAAAGGCGCTTGCTCCACTTTCTTTGCCAAATTATTTAGGCATTTCGATAGTATGTTCGCTGTCAGCCTATGACACCACGAAGTATACAGCAGCTGCAGCGTCAAATGACTAAAAAGATGTTAAAACATTATATTAATGTCATTTTGATAGCAACTGTACCGAAAAAAGAATAATCACACAAAAGAAATTTCACATGAATGATACAAAACATTCAAGTGCGATCTGAAATTTAGGTTTCAGGTACGCCAGTTGCTGATCAAGAAGAGTGGAGGGCTTTGAGACACCTGCCTGAAACACCTGTCTTGCTGTCACGCAGGTGCACATGACCTAGAAGACTTAAAAGCATAACACAATTCTTGCATCTATAATCTGTCCTTGCGGTTGTAAAGGTTGGAATATCAGGATTATTTAATGACAAAATATGATCACATGACACAAGTAACTCAAATCAGATGCACATTTTTAATAGTACGTGCAAGGTATCGATTTATATTGAAATAACTTCACAGAATTCGATTTTTTCTATCAAAGAACGAGACCATTTTAAGATTATAAGACAAACTGCTTGAATGCTTGCAAAGGAAGAAAAATTTTCCTATCAATATCCACCACTATACACAAACTCTACTATTCACTCACTGTTTTCGAACACTAAAATTTTAATAGGAAGAGAAATGATTCATATTTAAATAAATTGCGGTATAATGTTAAGGTACAAGCCTCAAAAATGAAGGTAAAGCAGTTCGGTGAACTCTGGTGGCTTCGGCGAACTGCGTCCAACGCAGCCTGTTTCTCCCTGAAAAAAATTATCAGATTTAAAATTTATCATAACTACTTGGTAGCCAAACGTTTATTTGGGGCAGATAATTCATGTGAATCGTGAATATAGTCTTATATGTCATTTTCTTGGTTGGCACCATAATATCCTTGCGAGAATAATTCTAATCAAATAAAGTGACTCCTTATTTGTAAACATCACAATTCCTGAATAAATTATTTAAAAATTTTAAACGCAAAATTTAATTGATATTGAAATAGGCTTCAATTACTTCATTCCTATTTGTTTGATACAATAAATACTTTTTTAATCCAGGTTAAGAGATGACAGAGATTGTATTGTAGATACGCACTCGAATAGCCCCTGTTTACATTACTGCAAAAAAAAAAAACATATGAACATTTTGAAATGTAAGATAAATCAAGCACAACTCTTTTCATTTATAGGAATACAATATTCATAGATAACTACACGGACGTAATTATTATATTAGTTTTAGATGTATGAATAATTCAGGGTTCAGTGTTATTCGGCGCAGTCAATAATTTGATAACAGCTAGTGCGATAAAATAACATCGCTATTAAAATATATTAAACATAGTATATGTTTATATATGACTGATATACCAATGTTGTAAAAGGTAAAGACACTAGAAGTGGCACTTCAATTAATAATCGATGTTTTTTTCACTAAATTACATTCAATAATGAACATTGCAGCTCAAATGCAACAATATAAGCTACCGAATCTCCGTCACACATATGAACCATTTTGCTGAACTAGAAAACCCAATGAAAGACGCTCGCGAATTTAACATTCCTTGCCAATTTGGCTCGCGTCCGACGGCGCAGAAGATGAGCGGCGTAAAGGCCTCCAGTGCACCATTAACTCAATTAACTTATCTTAATTTTTGCTTAACATAACTTTTACTTGCAACTTGTCATCAGTTACCTAAATATTCCAAACTTAGGGACTTTAGTTTTCAGGTGTGGCTGGGATACGTTCTGTTTTCAATGCCTCAGGTTCATTAATGCACAGAGTGACTCATGTTCTCACTGTCCCCAGTTAATTATCATGTCCACAAGTGCCACATATGTTCCAGTGTTAACACTCTCCTCAGTTTCCCACAAACTCTAGTATTCAAAACTTGCCCAGTTTATTAGTGCCCCAATGTAGCCGGTGTCCCGGTGCACTGTTTCCCAGTATGGCCAGCGTACTTCACGTAAATAAATTCATAATGTCAAATGTTGCTTATATACCCAAGGCCAGAGTGTTGTCAGCGTCACTCTTGTTCCAGTGATTCAGTTTCCTCACACTCCCAGTTTCGCCATTGACACCAGTTTAAAAATGTCCCAGTGTTGCTGATGTCCTTAGCGTCTCAGCGCCCACTCACTTTCCTCAAGGGTCTCTCTCAGTGGCAGCTAAGTGTCTCAGTGCCCGCTCACTTTCCTCAAGGGTCTCAGTGGCAGCTAAGTGTCTCAGTGCCCGCTCACTTTCCTCAAGGGTGTCAGTGACCGCTAAGTGTCTCAGTGCCCGCTCACTTTCCTCAAGGGTCTCAGTGGCCGCTAAGTGTCTCAGTGCCCGCTCACTTTCCTCAAGGGTCTCAGTGGCCGCTAAGTGTCTCAGTGCTCGCTCACTTTCCTCAAGGGTCTCAGTGGCCGCTAAGTGTCTCAGTGCCCGCTCACTTCCCTCAAGTGTCTCAGTGGCCGCTAAGTGTCTCAGTGCCCACTCACTTTCCTCAAGTGTCTCAGTGGCCGCTAAGTGTCTCAGTGCCCACTCAGTACCTCCCCTCATTTCTGTGTCTCAGTACCCATTCAGTGTGCATTCAGTGCCCACTCAGTGTCAGCGCAGTATCCCACAGTACCCCGGCTGCAGCTCGTACCCACTGCAGCTCATCCTCCGACGCAGTAGCGGTTGGCGCAGCGGGCGAGCGCTGCCCGCGCTGCGATCAGCTGACCTGTTCCACGTATTGATCCGGGGATCGAGGCTGAACGCATCTACGACAGGTTCTGTGACAGCTGGTGCTGGTACTTCTGCAGGTACTGGTTTTGGTACTACTTACAGGTTGTTCTGCTGGTAAAGGAATTTGTAATGATATTGGGTTACTAAGGCTACAAGTCATTGTACCAATCAATGTATGCAATGTAAGTTCTACAGCAAATTCTGCTTCTGGTAAACCTTCTGATGTTGAAATCCTACAATGTTTGACCTACAATAACAATGGTTGTTCTAAAAATTTTTGTTTAATGTAAAAACAATAGTTCGGTGTTAGTGACTACAAGGCACAGAGCAGAACAAAACAACAATGCCTGTGCGAATCTATGTCGCACTTTGCCCTCTATGCACAGACACAAGCCAACGTGTTCGATTTCTTTGCAGAGTCGACTGGAATCTCAAATTGAGTGTCGAATGTAGTTTATATCATAGACAGAAAGATACGACATCATTTATACAAATTAAAATTATTTAACATCGAAATTTCGAAGAAAATAAACAATATTAACACAACGAGAAAAAGTGAGTTCGTCGAACCATGAACAAAAGAACTTCGTGCTTCTGCGGGGCTGCGACGTCACAACCCACTGTAAATATCGAGCACGTGCGGCTATATAAAGGATGAGAAGTGCCTGCGCGCGCATTCATAGAGAGAACCTCGGTCGGTGTGGGGTGACTGGACTTAGCCCGTTCGCTTGGCTGCTTTGTGTTGCTATTGCGTCGTGATTCAAAGAGACTAGAAGAAACCTTAACACTGAGAACCGTACGGACGTGTACCTGCAGACTGTGATTCTTGGATTTGTGCATTATTTTGTAGTGAACTGACGAATTCGTGTCATTTATTATAGAATTTTGACACAGATTTTATCTGCGACAAATTTTTATTTTAAGACCATCGATCCGAAGGCCATAGTACGTAAAGTGCTTGGTCCGTCCGGGATTGTTTACTATCGATCACCAACTGAGACCTTCACGGGCTTCGTCGTAAGATTTCAATTCTGTTGAAAGCGGAAAAATCTATCAAGATACACGTATTTATAAGAGAGTAGGACACTTGAATTTGATAAGGAAACTTGAAAGAAGAAAGAAAGCAAGATGAAACCAGAGTTCGGAGCGGATTTAAGCAACGTGTTACTACGGCAATCGCAGATCATCCACACAAGGATGGCTGGCAGAGCGGTCATCCGTGTGGTCAACAGATGTAACGAAGCCATGGAAGACAGCAACCTTAGTAAGTTCCGTACAAATATTTTAAATCAGCTTTTCGCGGTGTGGAGTTTAAATTAGAATAACATTTGCAGATTTGACTATCGCAATCAAATTTTCGTACGAATCTCTATTGACCAAGACTAACAATTCCTGTCTCGTGGTGGGGAGTTTAAGTTTGAATAATGTTTGCTGATTTGACTATCACAATCATATTTTCGTACGAATATCTAATGACCAAGACTACAATTCCTGTGTAATCGATATCAGATAAAATAAATTTTCCGGATCATTGGCAAAAATGGAAGCATGTCATCCTCGTATCCACGCTACGAAATTTTCCCTAACGCGATCCATGTTCTCCGTGCTTTTCTTCACGTGAAACTTTCAAATTTCAAGTGGATAACTGGAGAAGCCTTTTACTCGTAGTGACAGATTGTGCCTATGAAAACATTGTAATTCTTCTATCATTCATAGCGGTAGCTGCGCCGCACTCGCCAACCCCAAGCTCTGTATAGTTCTTACCATAATTAAATGATGGGAGAAAATTACTTAAAAATTATGCCTCTGACGAATAGTTCTTTTCCGGAAATTAGGTCATGAAGGAGGAGTGCGCGATTTACCTACTTGTTTTAGACCTCTTATGTAATGTGGAAAACCTGATCGTGACAGTTTCATGCGTCATAATTTTTTTACAGTAATCACTATTACATAATATAATATATAATTCATATATATTACTAGTCATGAAACTTACCTTTTCGAAATTGAAACCGAAACTGACGTTGTGATCGGAATTCTCTGGTCTTCAGCTAGTTTTTTTGTAAGGACGCATAATTAAAAAGCTGCACATGACTCAAACTTTCGGTTCTACCAACTTTTGACTTGTTCTCAAAGTATTTCAGTGACGGTTCTTGCGTAACCAACTGTAAATTGGTTTTCAGTTTCATGTCCGTTATTCCTTACTTTAATTGCATTAACTGTTGAAAGTGATGCAACTCACATTTAAGGTCTCTATAATTATTAAAAATGTGACCATTTTGAAGTTTTTTAATTAGTATATAAGTACTAGCCTAAAAAATTCGAAGCAAATTGTTTCGACAGATTGAATTCGATTCCCCAGGTTAGATGGTTAATGACACAGTGCCGTCTCCTATCACCGCCTCGTGTATTAACACGTATCCACAATATTATGCTCTCGTAACTCAGAATTGCTGTGTGCATTTCTCTGCCTATTTCTGTTCATAATTAACTCCAATGTTGATTAACAATTACGTTGGAAGTGAAAGTTTAGTAAGAGGCTTTCATTATGACCTGCGCATTACAAAAAAGACACTTCAGGCGCTCGTGATTTATTCAATTCTTGTTTAATGTGCAAATGGCTGGAAATTTGAATAAAGTCGACGGCTCCAGTTCCCTGTTACTGAACAGAAAATTTAGAAATAACGAATTTATACCTGTATTCATGACTGGATAAAAAAAATAGTCGTCTGCTAGTACTTTCATCTTATGTGTTGTGATTCTTCAATCAAAAAGCATATAAGTTGGCATGATTCTTCAATCTCCTTCCCGGAAGATAATTTTACTTTCAAGGCTTGAGGCGAGCAGTTGCATAATAACAGATGCATCTGCTATGATTACTTGAAGTGTAAAGAGAGAGGGAAAGTCAAGAGTAGTGAGGTAACAGCGTCAGCTGGTTGGATGCGTGTAGCTCGTCGTACTCCGCCAACTTCAACGCTCTGTTTACTTTTTGATTAGACGCATGCGCGCGTGCTGTTGCGTGCAACCAATGATTAGGATTGTACTTTACCGACATACATGCGGATTAAAAACAGGCATTATTAACGTAAGATTACAAGTGAGATGAACCAAATAAAATTTGATGTGGGAGGAATAACGAACGAAAGAATGGAAGATGTGGGAATAACACAAGATTTGAACCGACGGGAATGACGATAACCTAAAGGTCATTTAGTTTAACTTGGTGACCGCAAAGGTACTTCGATGTCCTCTTCTGTTGCTCATTTGTGTATTTTATGCATTTATATTAAATCGGAAATTTTTCCTACGCTTAATCTTTCCAATCGCTCGGTAAAGCCTATTATGCAATCGAGATAATCGATATTATAGCAAATTGCACGATCATCGTGCGATCTAAGATCAATATTTTCGCTATTATGGACGTTTTATTAGGAGGGAATCTGCTGACGCGGGATGTCGGAACTTTCTTTTCCCGACTTCGAAGGTGAGTTGCTCAAAGTTGTTTCTCCCCTTGGACTAATTTCTTCCCTCCACAGTACCTTTTCTTGAACCATCCGGCCGCCCCGCACTAAATGTCACGGGTAAAAATACCGCCACTTGACGTACGTAGTTCTTTGTTCAGATGCTGTCAGGCTCTGCGTCGTGTCATCGATTTGCAGGAGTTCAGAGGCTGCTTGGGTATTCCTATCTCGACACGGTATTAGCTGCAGTAGCATCAGCTGCCAAAATTTGTACAACAGACTTTGAGAACCGCGTACTCTGTCATTTGTAGTTGGTTCGATTTAAACCTTTCCTACTTCTTGGAGTCCAAGATAAGTAGACGAGACAATGGACCGCGGGCCTTTTTTAAAGCCTATTTTTTTCTGATACGTATGCGGTTTAGTTTGTTTAAAATTTGTTTCTGGGAATAAATTGGAGCATGGAAGTTCTTGAAATGCGCTACGATCTAAGCGGCGTTATTATTTGTTATAGAGTTAGCTTATCTCTACTAAATACTGATTGTACCTGAGGGATTGTACTTGGGGCGCTACCAGTGTCGCTGAAACCATGGCAAGGGAATGTGCTGCTGTGATAGCTCGCTGTTTGAGTGCCCAGGAAAATAATGGCCATCTTGGTAGGTCAGGGAAAGTGGATACTTTCATGAGAGTTCAATAATTATTGAAGACGAAATGTGTCGCTTGGTCGATTTAAGAAAAAATCGTGTCACTATTTAAGAGATTCTTCGGCATTATAGCAGTTTTCCTTGAAAACGTGCAGCGAGTTTAGGGTACCGAAGGGCTTGCCAAACTCGCCGCGGTTGGTCCTGTTTTAGCCGAGGCAGTAACCGGGCACATCTTTGCTGGTCTTCCCGATCAGCTGCCGAGTGCGTAGTGGTCGCCTGAGCGAGCGAGTTCAATGAGCTCATAATCAGAAACGGATTAGCAGGCTTTTAATTACCTAATTGTCGTGCATAATGCCAAAAATTTTTGGTATGAGATCAGTTCTTTAAATTGTTGGATAGAGCTCCTCATGACTCGTAGGTGATTTCATTGCTCTGGAAAATTTAGAATTAAATTTAGGCAACTTAAGAAAAAAATAACTTTAAAATGCTGAAACGTCGAGTTGATGGATGCATAAAATGACCTCCTATGTTGATAATTTTGAAAGTCGTTTATTCTCAAACGAAATGTTACAGTGCGCAGAACCATTCCTAGAGTAGAGCACAGAATATAACCTAATATATACGTAACCCTGCCGGCGGCTATTCCAAGAAGCTCTTTACGCTCCCTCAAGGCAGCAGCCGTAGAACCTTGCGCATAGCGTTGTGAAGCAAGTGCAACTTGCATCAGCTTGCTGTACAGTGACTTCAAAAAGAGAACCTTGCAGCGCACATTGGCTACAAAAAGAGCAATTTGCTGTGCAGTGGCTCCAAAATGAGTACCCCACTGCACATTTCTTATGCGGAAGCTTTATATTTTAATGCATGTACTAGCCGTGTTCATAGTCTCCTAGTTACCTTAGTTTAGCCCGCGAGTCCCATGATAAATCATTGACGTCTGTACTTTAAATTAAGCTGTTTTATATGCTTTACTATACACTGTTTACCAGTGGCCGACGTGCACGGACCTGCCGTCCTAACCTTGCGACGAGTAATAATAAGCAACAGAATATCCTTCATACGCGTAACCTTCAAACCTCCGTCGGCAGTCCACTTCTTTACCTCTGGCTTCAATATTTTGGTATTAAGTCTAACTACCGTCATTGCCGATTAACTCGCCACATCGCTTGAGTCGCCGTCCTTCCATAGAAACGATCTATTTTATAAACGATTTTATACTTACATTTTCTGAACCACAGCTTTCTGGCGTGATCCAAACAGCTTCGTAGACATCATGTGGTTATCGAACCCTACAAATCATAGTTCTGACCAATATTATACAGTTTTTACTGACGAGTGGCGACGTATGAGAAGGTTCGGCGACTTTGGTCATTGACGGTACTCCAATTAGAAATGTATAAAAATCGCGCAAGTTTTCGGTATAATTTTAGTGTTTACTGTCTGTTCTTAACCGTTTTTACGCTCGTTCAACAGATTGTGGACTGTTAGTAAATCCTAAAACGCTGTTAGTAAAACCTGATACGCTTCTGCAAATAGTACGATTGGTTTCTTTATCACTATTACAGTCATTTTATTAATCTTATTTTCATCATCATTGATAGCGGCAAAATGATCATTCAATATGCGTTCCGTGCGCCTAATTATCTATACACATTTCATGAAATTTGCTTTTGATTCTCTCTTGGACGTGAAATCCTTGGCTGGAAGTTTCATTTTTTTTGATTACTCATTCCTGCACTTCGTTTATTAGCATGAAGTTCTTTACTGAAGGCATAAAATTATACATAGGTGGAGTGATGTTACAAAAAAATCTAGTAAAAACCAACTACAATTCTCATTTGCTTCACTTAGTTTGATCGTAATCACAGTCTAGTTTTTGCGGGAGTCACGCGTGTGAAGCTCGTGTCACAGCTCATGGTCAGGAGGAGGGAGTCCTTGAGACGCTCTATCCCATCCTCGATGCTCGGTCCGTTACTCTTCGACTTGTAGGAGAATGCGTTCAGAAATTGTCTAGTGAATAAGGGACGAATGCAAGTTGGTTGTTTTGAACTTCCCTGGCATTTACGTGATTTTCGTAAAGTTTATGATTTGATTTAGTTAACTGGCTTGTGCCATTAATTGTATTAGTACGGTCGAGTTAATCGGTATATAAAAACAACTTGTACCCTTACACCGTAGAATATTATTGCACTTCTTTCCTGTAGCAAAAAGTATCACTTATATTCGTTCCGTGGCGCAGTGCTGCTGAAAGAGTTACGTTGCGTATGGGCAGAGCATAAAGACGAAACCTTCTACCCTCCTTCATCCCTGCCTCCTCTTTACCAAGGTCCTACCTTGGTCATCCCAGGGCCAACTGCAGTCCCGAACAGCTGGCCCGTCTGGTCCTTAAAACGATATTGCGTCGCTTGGAATTGTTGCAGCAGTCCCCTTGCTGCCATGATCTACATTATTAGATCAAATAAATATATACATATATCAGAATGGATCATCTTTGCTCATTACTAACACCTGTAGGTTTCGCGTTTCAATTTTTCTATCGTCGTACGAATATGTTGAAAATCAGACCCCACATGTTCAAAGGCTCTCGTGTATATATGTAACGGGTAATATAAAAATGAGTTATGTTTGTTTGTAGGCTTGACATTTGTCGAATAGTTAAATGAAGCGTTTCATTCGCTGAATATCTGTGAAATCTGAAGTGAACTGACTAACCTCAATGATGATTGAATATTGACTACTTAAGATCATGCATCGGAGGTACGTGTCCCGCGATGCCGTGTTGGAACATTCAGTTTGAGCTTTTGATGCGATGTGCTATGATATTAGCACAGCATGTAAGAATATACTGAAGCGTGTATTACTTGTGAAACGTTGTCGAGCAGTTTTAGATGGCCATTAATTGTATATACCGAGGCTTGAATAATGTTAATGTAACGAAAGCAGCATGCATCACTACCTCGCGATGTCGAGTGTTTCAACTGATGCAAAACGAAAACGGTGAACGCAAGTGTGATTCAAGTCAGAGAGAAAATGAGATATCGTTTGCACGGCAATGCAGATGATTGTGAAAGTGTAAAAGAGATCAAATAAAATTACATAAACCAGTATGTTGATGTCACTTGTTTGCTTAAATCGAAAGTTAACTAAAAATTTAAAAGCAAAGAATAATCCACAAATATTTCATATCTTTATAGAAAACATTTCGGAGTCCAGCTCCATCGTCAGTTCGTAGAATCAGTAAAACGTGGTAAAGGGAACAGTGAATATGTTCAACCAGTATGTTCTTAAGTTCAAAGCATGTATGACTATTAAATGACAGTTTTTGATAATTGGAGTTAGCGAACAGATCGAGTTCTCTTAATTAAGTCGGGGATCATGAATAATTTATTTGGATTTGGAATATAAATTAATTACGCATTTACTTCCATTATATTTCACTCTGAAAAGTTTAGATGTTGAAAATTACATTTTACTGCCTTGTACAGTCAGCAATACGATTGAAATGTGTCTTCTCCATTTGAAGTTCGTAATGGTCGGTTGACAAGTCGGCTTTGTGCGCGGTGTTGGTTTTACTTCGCTCACGCAGTTCGAGGTTGCGGTTATGTTTTCCTTTGGAAACTTTCCCAGACTTCGGTCGGTTGGAGGCCTTGGATCCTGGAGTGGAGCAATCGCTCTTTGTGTTGCGATGCTTCTTTTCAATAGATCGGCTGCAAACGCAGCCTTCGTGCTCAGTGCAATGAACATAAGTTGCGGGTTACTCACAAGTACCTATAGGTAAAATTTTGCAAATCACGTTTCGTTTTGATTGATCACCAGCATGATTTTCCGGGATTCTTTCTTGAAATTTCATAATATTAATTTATATTTTTTGAAGTATTTTTCACTCACTATATTTCCTGAGCAAACTGAATTTTGTTTAATCAATCAACAGTAGATTAAACACAAAGGGTCCAAAGATCATGGGTCCAAAGCTAAGAACAAACAGGTGCGCCTAGCTCGCGTTATCGTATGCATGCGCGTCATGTCCTTATTCAGGCACTCCGCCCTGGGATGATGAACCGCGAGCAAAATTTTTTTCCCTTGTAAGCAAATTTCCTTACGCGATATTGCGTGTATAGACTTTCGAGTGTAAAGACTGAGGAGTCATGTATAGTGATTATCTTTACTGAAGAGATCTATTCACGTGAAATTTATAACCGCAAATTCTCCATTGACGTAAAATTTTCCCCATTTTTCCGCGCGCATAACAAGCGAGTTGTTGTGTTACGACGTCTTCGTTTCATTTTCTAGAGAGTGAAGATTTCAATTTTTGATTGGAGGGTGGGGGTCGGAATGTTAACTGGTTGACATGACATCCATGATCACTTATGTCGCTGATGAACAGTTGACGAATTTCGGTAAACGCTTAACACATTTAGAATCAATCAACCTAGAAATAATTGGACTTTTATCCTCAACCATGTAAATTACTGAAATTAATATTTCACTATTCACTGTGATGGTTCTTCTAATCTTCATGCCTATTTAGATATGAAAATTATTAACGCGAAGGTTCGTTACATTTCAATACAATCAAATTACGGCCTCTTTTCCTAGCAAAATTCACTTAATTGTTGATTGTGCGTAGATTGTCACGAATTAAATATTCTTATACGGTTCCTCTGATATTTCCAGACGAAGGCATGACTACAATATCCATTTTGTCCTTTTTTCCGTATTTGTCTTTAATATTTTTCGGTCGCAATTGAGCAAGAATAGTATTTTATTCATGTCTTTATTTTATGAGCTTAGCAAGTTCACATGCAGGACGTAGGTAGAGTCGAGGCCTGCTGATGATCAAGGATTTCCGGCCGTGTTCTCCGTACAACGATGTGTCAGCAGCGATTATTTTCCCTTCTTTGTTCCGTCGTGTGCACGATGCCTTTGTGCCTGAATTTGATTTATTGTACTCGCGGTTTACTGACAGAATTAGGGTACTTTTGATCCTTGTTATTATTGTGCTTGAATTACAGTAAGCTAGCGCAGCGATAATTTGTATTTGATCTCTTAGATGAACTATCTGATGAAATTGACTCGTTTCTGCTGGCAACCGTAACACCAAAATTAAATAAGCATACAGTTTGTAATTGCTGAATGATTCCGGGAGTATTTAGATAGTGGTTAAAACTTATAGCTTGGACACCAGCAGCCTTAACGTGCTTGTCTCTTTGTTATAATTAATATAAACTCTGATAATGAATACAAATCTCCACCCTAATTCATTGATTTTTTGTCCAGATTTATCAGAGTGTCAGCTGGTGACGGTGCCAGACGCCGTATACCACCTGCTACGCAACACGACGCTCGTCTCCTGTAACCTCGCCTGCAACGTCATCTCCAAGATCTCCCCAAAATTCGCCACCAAGTTTTCCTGTATCACAGGTCCGTTCCGTTATATCTAGTGCAGATTTTTTATTAATTGTCATTTTTCAAATTAATTGTCTATTTCTGTCGCTTATATTGTGAAATTGTAAGACGATGATGCCAGTGCTTATTGTGTGTTTGATTTATTAAATCTAAAGCATGATGACGTTTTTCACTGTTCATGCTTGAAAATGCTTAGGAAATTGACTTCTTATGGTTTTGGAAAGGAATGCGTCATTAAAAGTGAAGGTATACTGACAAAATGTTTGCAAATGCAACGTATTTTATTACGCAACTGTTTTTTGAGGTGACAGCACAAATTTCCTCATTTTGTGTGGAATTTCTTGAATTTTTCTAGAGGAGTTTCTAGAACTTTGTGTTGTGGTTTGCTCTTTAAACTTGATGGAAATCACCCACTTGCTATGTATGGAAGTCTGAACTTTCGTGAATTCTTATTAACCTATGATATTTATTTCAGAATTGAACTTATCGAACAACAAAATGTCGAGGCTGCCTGACGAGATGTCCGAGTGCGGTCAGCTCGAGAAGCTGGACGTGAGCCACAACTCTTTCGTCGACATCCCGCAAGTGGTTTTCAGGCTTCCTAAGATCCGAGTCTTGCTTGTCAACAATAATTATATTATAGGTTTGTAGAAATACGTCTTCAAATTTATATTTATTATAGATAATAGTAAATGTGCTCGATTCAATTGCTATGAGGTTTGATTTAAATGAACTCGATGAGTCATGGGTATACATCATATCTATGTATTTTCACGTTGTAAATGCTCACTTTGCTGGTTTAATTTTATAAAAATAGACAATATTTAGAGCTTTTAGATGCAGAATATAATGTTAAATCGAATCAAAATACTCACGGGTCACAATTTTATAGTTTCTGAATGATGAGAATGAATAGGTTTGCATTTGTTCACAGACGTTGACGTGAAGCAGCTACCGAAGGACAGCCCCATTGAGGAGGTGGACCTGAGAGAGAATCCTTTGCTGCCAGACTGCCACGAGATGCTATCCCAGGTCACGTCAGTTAAAGTTTTACTCTCACCAAGAGTTAAGGAAGATTGGGAAGACCTTGACGTATAGTTTCTTCTAACTGTTCTTAAGTCAAGGAGTATAAATTGTATCTATTAATAATCTTCCTAGATCTAATGGGCTGATGGATACGTTGATTGTATATAGCTATACGTAGCTGTGCTTGAATTGTTGGCTTACTGTAAACGATGGCTTGATATTAAAATTAGTTTCTGTTCACGTTAAAATGCGTAATATTTTGGTTTCTTGAAATTTATTTTGTTTTTCATGGATCCGGGACTTGTTAATTGCAACTAATTGTACACTTCGATTGAAATGCAAAATATACAGAAAGGATACGTCTCTATCAAGAATTGGCATGTATTATGAAAGACAATCGTTTCTCCTATGAAAAACCTAAGAAGAAGCTATTTCGAGATGAATGAGCACGTGAACGGTAAAAAATCAACTATGTATATTTTTATAATGTTAGCCTTCCTGATGAAACCAGAATTTTAGGAATAGAAATTCAACAATTTCTATGAAGAACCTGCTTGCGATCAACACAAGCATGTGGGAGAACAGTTGTTCATTGAAGGAAACCCTGTTATTTTGCAGCTCAAAAGCTGGGTTGCGTGTGCATGATTTCTTCAGAGTTGTTTTATTCTGAGACGAGGTCCCGGGTATAAGAGGTGGCTTTTTCAAACAACTCTTGTGATTAGCTTTAAGTTGTACATAGTAACACCTCCTGGTATATCTTTCTTAGCGTGCACATGACTTCGACGAGGAGAATCCGTACAACGAAAATTCTTTCGGTAATTATTTAAAAAAAATGACGAGAGGGAAACCAAAATGCGTTTTATTTTCGAGTTTATAATTAGAAAATTTAAGATTTAAAAACTATCAATATGATGTATATTGAATCTCGTACGCTATAATTGCTCTATGAATTTATTGCGATGGATGTTCTAATGAATGTTTAACTATTATCAGATATGCCATATTTTTCGTCTCAAAACTCTATCTGAATTTATTGAAGTATTAAATTTATAGTATTAGTTAATTTTATGGATTAGTAATAGAAAGATCTGTGCACGAATAGAAGTGTGCCTTTTAGAACGATATCTACGCACACTTCTATAGCAGCTGCTTCCTATGGAAGTCCATCATCAATCCTGCCATGCTGTTTCTTCAAAAATAATTTTTCGCTGCCGAAGATGTGACAATTTTTGTATTAAGTCCCAACGTTACCGATGCCACGAACTCCTCGTAATACTAAGTCTTACTTGTAAGATTTTGTATACTCTCAGCGGACTTATGCCTTGTTGTTTTTAAAAGTATGACGTAAGATTTGTTGATTTCTGCAAGTGTATAATGTCTCTTGACTTCGTTCTACGCAGAATGTTTGAACTCTTCTGACGTGGGCATTTGCTTGCTTACATCATGTGTTGGGACAAAGGCAGCAATATCTCCGCACAGAATTTATTTTTGAACTGGCAAATAAATGCTCAGTATATTTTCGTTCATCATCCTTACTCCAAGACAACTTTATTTACGTGTGACCAAAAAATCGAGATTAGGCCTATTCACTATGTGAGCCTTCACTTAGCCATCTCAGACATGATGTTTGTGTTAATCTATGTTATTTACGAGGTTTAGAGAAATTCCTGATCTTCAGGATACAAGTATGTCAAATTTCAATTGTGTTAGTAGGCAATTCTTCTTTATCAAATTCTCGGTGGTTACATTTTTTGAAAATTATGTGCTAATCGTTGTGATTAGACAGTTGAGTGATTAGAAAATCGTTGTGTCTAATCACAGTTGTGTGATTAGAAAATTTTTCTATTTGACGTTGGGGTGATTTGGTTTGCAGTCAATCTCGTGTTTTGAACTAAAAAATGTCCAAAACTCACAACTGTTATAGTTTGTTATGATGTTAGTGTTAGGTGGAACATGAGGTAGCTATAAGCCGAGTGTAAAATCCTTTGTATTTCAGGCTGCGCTTCGTAGTTTTCTATTTTTGTAAGTTTTGTATATTTAAGGTAGACTCTGTTAATTTCTTGTTAACGGTTGCTCTTGAGTATTTTTTTTAACGAACAACAATATTTTAACGTTAACTCTGTGTCATTGCAATCGCAATTAAATGATGTGTAAGAAATTTTTTTCAAGTACTTACCGTGTGTAAATTGCACACTAGCGAAATTTTAGGTAAAATAATTTATTTTTCAAATCTGAATGTAATTGATATTTCCTAGTCATTTCTCTGCATCGCTTATGAACTTATTATGTAAATTGTAAGTAATGAGAGCTGATCTAGGGAGAGAGGCTTGTGAGCCATTATAGTGAAATTTATAAAACTTTGCAAAAAAATATAAGCTTGGCGTCATTTTCCTTGACTACATAGACGAGAAAACATGTTATTCATTTAATTATTATTAATATATCCAACTGCATTCTTGCGAAATCCGTTCTCTCGAACGAAGAATATCCGAACCACAAATTATTTAGTTAGCTATTCGTCGTTCGCTTCATTCTGCTGTATCGAACTTGCGAGCTCTTCAGTTTTCAGAGCATCTAATAATTAACAGAAAATTAATATCGCCTATTGATAATATTTTCTCACATCACTTGCAGCGACAACCGCTCCTCATTTGCTTCAACATTCGGTTTTCACGATTCGAGGGGGCACTTACCGAGAGTTCCTAAATGCGCGTTTTGAATTTCATGAACACCGAGAATATATTTGGCTTTTAAAACAAAAAATTCAACATGAAGATTTTTGCTACTCATTCATCATATAACTTTGATATTTTTAATCGATTGTACCATCTCGTTGAGTTCGGAAAGCAGATCTCGAAGATGTCTGACCAATTACGCCATTTGCGAGATCGAGATGGGTCAGACTTCGTGAACTTCTACCGAGAGATCTCTGATCGATCAAACCTCGTGAACTTCGACCGAAAGATCTCTGATCGATCAAACCTCGTGAACTTCGACCGAAAGATCTCTGATCGATCAAACCTCGTGAACTTCGACCGAAAGATCTCTGATCGATCAGACCTCGTGAACTTCGACCGAGAGATCGCTGATCGACCACACCTTTTGTGAGGCCAAGATCGATCAGATTTTCGCCGCGGCCGAGAGATCTGCGACCGATCTCCTCATTCGTGAGGCTGAGATCGATCAGATCTTGATCGGGAGATCTCGCGTGTCGGTGACTCTGAGTACCGGCGCTCGGTACTGCGGATGTGAGGGCGTCGAGGGTCGGAGTTTGAGGGCTGCGGCATGAGGGACTCAGCACGCAGTCCAAGCCCTCGTTGAGGGTCAACAAAAACTGCGGCGCTGACGACCTCTTCACGTCATCGTCCACGTAATCTCTGAGCGTCTGTACACCGTAACAATTAATCAATTAATGCAAATTAATTAATTAATTACTTAATGTAAATTAATTTAATAATGTAAGTAATTTACAGAATAATGTAAATTCATTCATTGATTAATATAAATTAATAATTTAACGTAAATTAATATATGCACATTAAATAATTGATGGACGTAAATTAATTAATTATTATAAGTAGACCGTAACAATTAATGCAGATCTTTTAGTTTATTCAGTCATTTTTTTTCTGTCCGACCGGAACTCAAAAGTCTATTCAATGTCTTCGATGGTCAGTGAATTTGGAGAGGGTTCCTTAACCAATTATTTCCGTTGAAAACGTTGGTAGAAATCGAAACGTTTGTAAAAGGAAAAAAATGCGAGTCAATCAAAAAAGATAATTTTCAAGAAGTTACAACTGCAACATCGCTGATATTTGAAGAATGCTTCCAATGAATTTGATGTAGTAGAATATTGATTGACGATGGGTCGCTGGAGTTAAATGGTAGACAAGATGAAACAAATAAGTAAGAGTCACTTGTGAAGTGAAAGATGGATTATAATTTCGTCAATAAGGTCCTGAATCGTTCCACAGTTGACCATTCATGGCTCCCATTGTAAATAATTCAGGACGCCACCAGGAGACCAACAATTAATACAATTACATTTATAGAATAGAATAAAAGTGTCGGCACTGAAGAAATAGGCCCATTTAGCTATTACTCTTGTCCAGAGTCAACCATCCTCGTTTCAAAGAAGCTGTAATTATCTCAACTGTGCAATTTAGCTTAAAAAAATGAAGTATTTAACAAGCGTAGGCCCATCCATACTGAGCTAAATAATGTCTTGCAACAACTAACCTTTTCCGCTGCAACGGCTGAGAAGAGTCGTCCGTCTCCGGCGTGTAGGTATAGCAGCACAGCCGGTAAGTAGTGGATTCTGCACAATCGCGACGTCATCAATTAGCAAAAATAGCTATCATTACATATTTTCCTAATGACTATGGTAAGTTATGAAGACCTTATGTCAGTTCATAATGTATATGAAGCCATTTTGATAATCAGATTCCATCTTCCACTGGATACTAATCTTTAAGATTTTTTTTTCTGCAACCATTGAGCCGTAATTCTGTCGTCGTTGAGTGAACATACTAATCAACATTTGCATTCATCTAATATCATAACACAATGCTATAAATACGAGGAATCAACATCAAAGCAACACAAGCGATATATTTGCCAGTAAAATAGAGGATATTCTCTTGGTTCTCACCTCTCCTGATCCCTGATGATTCTATGGAACTCGATGACGACGAGCAACGGACGTCGCAGGAGCACGTGCTTCAGCGCCACCCAACCCAGCCCACAGGCCTGAGGTTAGGATCAATTAGTTAATTATTATTTATTTATTATTTATTTATCAAGTATTAATCAATTATTTATCAATTATTAATAATTAATCAATTATTAATTAATTTATTCATTATTTATCAATTATTAGTTTTTATTTATATGAACTTTTCATACATCAATTTATAAGGCTTACACACAAGACCTCTGCATATCTCAGCCTGAGCAAGTTGTTAAACTTCATAGAATAAAATAGTGATTTACTTATATTATGAACTCTGCACACGAGCCATCATTAAGCCTAGGCTGGGGAAATTATTAAACATATTAGAATTATAACGGGTATAAACCCAGGATATAAATGTGTAAATATGATATACATGTATTAAAAATTGAGAAAAATTATACCACGCGTGCAAAACCGAGCGAGAAAATAAGACACAATTTATTCGCAAATGAAGTAGAATCTAGAAACCACACGGGATTCAATGAAATTTCACAAAAAATTAGTTCATGTTTAGCTAAAAGAATCATAAAATACATGTTTATACTGGAAAAAAATAAATAATAACTATCAAGAACTCACATTCAGCATCACTTCATCGGAACCAATCCAAGACTCGACAGCGCCGCTCAAGCATTCCTGGGCTTCGATCTTCCTGTGGGTACGACGTAATAATAAGAAATAATATACGTTTAAAAATTACTTTTGAAAGACAACACTTCTAAAGAATCCAGTGTTTCCAATGTTACAGATGTACAATGAATTTCTAATTTTATTTTTGAATATTAAAGAATATAATTTGTCAATTTTTTTAATATATAATTTTTTCAAAATTATTTATTCTGTCTATTAATTCATGCATTGCCTCTAACTTCACACAAGTGTGCAAAATTTCATATCAATTCGACAGGTAAAAGTGTGTCAAATATCAATTATAAGATTTGTAGCTGACAAAATTATTTTTTCAGTTTTTTATTATTAAAAAAAAAATTATTCATAAAATTATTTATTTTGTCATTTGATTCATGCATTGTTTCCAACTTTACGCAAGTGTGCAAAATTTCAGATCGATAGGATAAGTAGAAGTGTATTAAATTTCGATTACAAGATTTGTAGCAGACAGACAGACAGACAAGAAGTGAAGTTAAAGAGAAGTGTTGTAATAATTATGAAGTCGTAACTCCATCAATCACTGTCGACAAATCAAGCTAAACCATTGAGCTACATTCGCCTGTTCAGCGGAACCATTTAAGAGAGAAACGCAAGATACAGCGATATATTTTCTCGCTAAAGTTTATGCATCAGCAGCATGACAAAGGACTAGAATTCTGTATTAATAAATGAGGCCGCTACATTCATCTATTAGATGAGGTAAATAAATAATGATATTAGATGAGATAAATGTTTCGAGTCCGATTAAGAGAATTAATTACAAGACATGAATTAACTATAAAATATAATGTGCTAAATTATTCAATGTCATGGTAAGGCATCCAACTGTATTAAAGATTGATATCATGATGGAGATTTTACATTGAACTATGAATACAAAATGACGTAATGGACTTTAGTATTATTGTTACGAATTACAACATGATTGATATTTTACTGTAGATGTAGTGGTAAATAAAGAATGTAAATAAAGAATTTACTGAAGTTTCACCGATAGGAATTATCTCTTCAATTAAATACAGTGAGAAAGATTAACTGTTATTCTTATCTTACGATACCCGAAGTAGTAAAAAATCATGAATAAATTAGCCTTATCATTGCAATTTTACGTATAATTATTATTATACGAGGGACACACAATAATTATTCTTATCAGTTATTATTATTATTCCACACTATAATTATAATCACTACTAATTATCATTTAAATGTAATCAACTCACAAGTTTTCTACGTGCTTGTGATCAAGCAATATCGAGGCAGAATCCCGAGCTCGCGCCGTGTTGCCCGCGACGAAGACAAATTCTGGCACCGCAGGTTCGGGGGGAGCGGGGCTGGTCGGGGGGACCAGTGTTGGGGAGAACTCGGTAGTGGGGATGTCTGTATGGATAAATATTACTAAAATATTCCCCTTCAGTTGAAAACACTTTTGAGTTTCAAACATTGAACACGAGTTATTAATAATCAAGAGGCATAAATGGAAAAATCATGATGTTACTCGTAGAAATGTCAGTGGCATTGAAGTGTGCGTGAAGAAGTTGTTTGAACACTAAATTAATGTTGATTAATACGGTGATAATTGGAAGCAATTTTCATGAAATCTCTTCTATCTGGCAATCATAAGATTGTAAGTGATTGTACTACAAGATTTTACAACCTGTGCTTATTACATTTATACGCTAAGCTGTTCATACGGAGGACTGATGAACGAAATGCATACAAAAGTCGTAATTTAAAAGTGTAGTTTTAACCATCAGATTCTACCGTGAAAAAATGTTTGATAGAACAACATCCAAGGCTCACAAATAATGACGATAATCTTTGGAGTAAATTTTATGAAGAAATACATATCTCACACTTTGCAATTTGGCATACAGTGTAGCTCAGTATTAACACATCCTCTCACATCTTCGTGTTAGTGCAGACAATTATCCCAACATACCTTCTATGAGAGACACAGTGTAGCTGTGTATGGGCACATCTTCCCACGTCTCCACATTAATAACAAAGCACGTGAATGTTTTAGGCAGGAGGTCGCTGAGAGCGCTGGCCCTTATCACGAGATGACCAGCCTCCGTGACGGTCATTCCTTCAATGCCGGCCAGGTCAATGGAGCCTATGAAGAGGATCTCGCTGGCGTCACTCTCTACCGGACTCTGAGCCCACGTGACCTAACAAACACCATTTACATTTGGTATGTATGTATTTGATTTATGGGATATTACATATTTAGTAGTCGAAATTTGAGCCTATGTTTTAAGCCTGACATCACAAATATAAATAAGGCGCGTATCCACAATACTAATCCGCTAGCAGATATAAATATGTTAAGGGAAGACCCCTGTTCAGACTACTAGAAGGTAAATAATATTTTCATGTCACTGGGGAAGGTTCGGTGAACAAGATTCAAACCCCATGGGAACACAACAGCACGTTATTCACTATCTCTGTCATCGCAGTTAATTAATGATAGAATGCCTTTATTTAAATTAAAAAAAACAATGGATGCAGTGCATTTATCTCACGGGATAATCTTATTAATTTAATTATTCCAAAACTTTACTAGAAAATTTTAGCTCATGGACAAACTAAATGATTTGATATTCATAATTATTCAACAAGTTGAGCATAGTTTTTTTTTGTGACTAAAAAGCGTTTTAAACTAAGTTGATGCACAGACAGTCAAACTTAACCTACAAGTCTCGTCCAAACTCAAGATACAGACAGTTAAAATCAACCTGCTGGTCTGGCAAAAACTGAAATGCTTAGATCACCTCTGAGAGCACGGAATACGGAGAGCAATGCAAGTCGACATTTTGGGTTTTATCTATGCGGATGAAATGCTGCTGAATTTCCGTCTCATTCACGATGAATCCAACGAAGTCTTCGTTTAAATCAGGGACTTCTATGCTCTCTTTTTGAGACATAACCTCACTTTCAGAAGTAGAAGATATGTCAGGCAATGGAGTAGAAGACATTACAGGTGGTAAAGTATAAAACATATCTGGTGGTGAAGTGCTAGGCGTGAACGGGAAGGAAGGAGTAGAAATGGAAGGAATTGTTGTAGTAGTTATGTTCGCAGTAGTCCTCGTGGATGTTGGTTGCGATGACGACGATAAAAGTTCTTCCGTGGTGGCCATCGTGTCAGGGGACGTGGTTGGGGGCTCCCAATGCGAAGTCGATACTTCAGGGGTCTCAGTGAGAGCATCTACTCTGTCAGGGTGTAACTTGCAATTAACAATTACAACGAATATCTCCAGTCAAAAGGGAAATAATAAATAGCTGAAAACACAAATTTAACATTATGAAACAATGCATGGAGACACGTTTATTTCGTTAAAGTTTTAGGCGATGAAAGCCAATGTTATACCTGCTGCAGTCAAATATTAGTGTAATGGCCTTGACAACGTCGTTCATCTATTTAAAAATAACAGTCGGTGTCTAAGGAACGATAAATAAACATAGTGATAACGTTAAAAAATTATAAAGTAAAGGGACAACCGGCTATACATACAAATAAACTCCTATGGAAATCTCACACCCATTGGAAATGCGCGGCTATATACTTTACTAACAGAGCTCACAAAAAAGGATTGATACGATGACTTAGAGTTTGCTGGTAGCACTTTACTTGACTGATCTCTTTTTCATGCAGAATACTATCATTTTGCGGAACTAAGCCGTGTCATAGTTCATGTGAACATGAAAATAGTACAGGAAGTCATTTGGCAGACTTGTGACGACTGCATGAGTGACATTTTCACGGCAGTGACGTGAATATGATCGGCTAGTTGGGTAGGCTCATAATATGCTTACATTTATCGCCGCGTTAGGACTTATTTGTAATTTTAAGTGCGAGGTTACATTATAAAACTTTCATTCTAAAGTCATTGAAAGTTTGAAGTTTATTCTATGAGTAAATTCTGAGGTTTTACAGAAAACCAAGTCCAGTTACCACAACATTTCCAGAACCATATTACAGTTAATAAAAGAATTCCAATAATTATGACTGGATTCAAATAGTGAGCTTCTAGACCCTCACCGTCCGTATAATCGTATTCACCGCTGTGCTCGGGCCAGTTCTCTGGAGCAGCTGACTCTGTAGAGACAGAAACTTGGGTCGTCACGACGAAAATTGGTAATGTCGTGACGTTTACAGAGTCTTCCGACACATCTGCACTGGACGTATAAGGAAACTTAGTTGAAATAGGAACTTCTGACGTCAACTCGAATATTTCTTCTTCAGTAAACCTAATGGGTGGCGTTGTGGGAAGAAGTTGGCTGTTTCTGAAATCAGGCGCTTGGGTGGTGGGCAAATCTTGCAGGACATTTTCTGTTGAAAAAATTGTCTCTGGATTAAACTTATTACATTATAATTAAAAGCTCTAAAGCTAAAATTGCCTTGATTGCCGACGCAACGAAAAAACATATGGATTCTTTTCATTAACACCAAGCATATAAGCATATTCATTAGAAACAAACTATAAATACTTTCATTAATCTGTCTTAGGATAATTAATGAAAAAATTGAATACCAACCAAAGTCATGATCCATAACCACTTTGAGTTGAGTAGAAGATTTGACGGTGATGTTCAACACGGTAGCCGCGCAGTCGTACAGATCATCTTCAGTGGCCGGGTCCAAAATCAACGTTGCCTGGCCCACACCGTCCTTTGCGGTGTAATTCAACTAATTAATACCGTTGAAAATAAAACTGGTTCAATATTCAATAACTGATCTCTTCTTCAAACCGGGGCAGATCCACAGAAATTTCCTTCTTTGTTGCATTGCTTTCCGCGTGAAAATGTTCGAAAGCTATTTAGGCTTGTAACTCGTCAATCCGCAATCTATTTCATTAATTTAAACAAATGCTATTAAAACCGAAATTGAGTGTTTCGGAGAAACTAATACAAAAAATCACAGCCCTCGTATGCTCATGGCGTTACGAGTGAATACAAACTTCGACTATATATACATTTAATCTACGATCCGAAGGCTTAGTGACCTAGGTCATGGATAAGCATTGGCGATCTCAAGGTGTTTGATGAGGAGCTTCCTTGTGAAAAAATATCTTACTCGTCTTATTATCATCATAGAATCGCATTAGATAAATTATTGCACAAAATAATCAACTCTAGAGCCTTGATTGAAGTCGTAGCAACCGTGTGGGTGGCTGCATAATTAACGTAAATAAATTAATAAACCATTTTTATTAAATAGAAGTGCAGCAAACTTCCTGGCTGCACCAGGCCGGTTTCGCCGAGCTGATTTTAAATGCTGGATGGCAAATGCGGCGCTAGATCGAGCCGCTCTGAGAAGAGACAGCTTCTCATGCATGACATTATAGAATCGCGCAGTGATATGGTGATACAATGTCGCGCAGTGATATTGTGAAACAATGTCACGCAGTGATACGGTAAAACAATGTCGCGCAGTGATATGGTGAAACAATGTCGCGCTGTGATATGGTAAAACAACGTCGCGCAGTGATATGGTGAAACAACGTCGCGCAGTGATATGGTGAAACAACGTCGCGCAGTGATATGGTGCAACAATGTCGCGCAGTGATATGGTGAAACAATGTCGCGTAGTGATATGGTGAAACAACGTCGCGCAGTGATATGGTGAAACAATGTCGCGCAGTGACGCAGTGAAACTCACTGCAAGGACGGTGTTGGGACGATGATGTGAGGTCCAGGTGACGTGTGGTGCAGGGGAACCTGACGATGCACACTCCAGCACCACAACTTGCCCCTTCGTCACCACCAAACTGGGCCCGGGTGATGACACGATCACAGGCGCCACTGAAATAATAAATGAAATTAAGATAACCCCTCAGGAAACTCATACCTAGGATTAGCATGACAAGTGACATGCGATTGTCGGCCATGTGTTGTGCAGTATCTTTAAGAATTAAGGTTCACGGAAGTTTTGTTTCGGAACAAGTTTTATTTCCCCCAACCTACTCTTCCTTTGTAGATAAAAATTTTACCCCAACTTACGTTTTCTTTGCTATATATAAAATTTTCCGCTAATTTACTCTTCCTTTGTTATATATAAATTTTCCCTCAACTTACTCACCATAAACTGTCAAGTTGACGAACTCGTTGGCCATCCACTCAATGCCGTTCCATCTGGCCAAGCATCCCCAAACTCCCGCTGATCCCTCATCCACCGGCTCCACTGTCTGGTGGTAGCTCCACTGCACGGTGGATGACGCGTGGATGCAGCTGCCATTTGCATCCAGTATTTGATTGGATGCGTCGTGGGGCATTTGATTTTGGTCATAAATACTATCGTCGGAAGGTGGCTGCTCTGTGCCAGCCACACAAGGGGAGTTTTTTGCTGGCGTCTGAGGGTCGTTGTCCACCAGCAGTCCCACGGGTGAGCCGTTGTGCAGAAGCTCCACCTCCTAAATGATGGAGGAAAAGTCTTCATAAATTTATTTTTTATAATAAAAGCATATTTGAGAAGATTTAAAGCTCACGAAGGTAACTTTTAAGGTTGTGGAAGAAGATCATTGAAGTTTTATTATGGATTAATTATGAATTTTTCGTGGTGTTGGAATTTTTTAGCAACATAATGCAAAAAAGGATACTTAGATAAGCTGTGCCGTGGTCTTGTCGGTTCATAGAAGTTCAGGTCCGGGCTATTTCGATCTGGCGTTTTCTCAAAGTGTAAACACAAAACTGGTATAAGTTTATATATGGAAAAATTGTGTATTTCTATCATGAATAAAAAGCCTACATTCCGACTTCAGACGTATGCGTTTGATCGGTCTGTGATCGACTTATATGGATCTCGCCAATGCAAAAATTTTTTCGTCTACGAACATGTAACGAATTTTGGTGTAATTGCCAGTAATCTCACTCACCAAGTAAGGTAATAATCCTACTCACCAAGTAAGGTAATAATCCTACTCACCAAGTAAGGTAATAATGCTACTCACCAAGTAAGGTATTAATGCTACTCACCAAGTAAGGTATTAATGCTACTCACCAAGTAAGGTATTAATCCTACTCACCAAGTAAGGTAATTCTGGTCCCTGCACCTGGCACCGGAATACCACAGAATCTCCGCTCCACGCAGCTGGCGCTTTACCAACCGAACTGAACTCCACCAAGACTTCTGCAAAGTTACCCATTTACAAAAACCTTTTTCATCATCGACATCTGAATTGAATATTATTCGGGTTCACTAATATTTACTTATTTGCACAGTTAAATTCATGGATGAAGTAAGAACGGATGCACATTTCCGACGTCTGTAGTTTCATAAATGAATATTATTCAGGCTCGATATTGTTAATTTTGCTCACTTAAAATCCAGAATGAAGTAAAAACGGATGCAAAGTATCAGTGCGGATTATTAGTGGTTTCAAGCCATCTATTCAGAGAAAATTTTGTAAGCTATTTAAACTCACCGTGAACCAACACTTCTATACTTCGGCCTGGTGATGCTTGAGTCCGGCAAGTATAGACACCAGAATGAGCAGACGTGATGTTGAGCAGAAGCAGCTGGTGAGTGGTGGTGAAGAGACGCGGGTCACCACCACCACCATCACCATCGGTCGGCACCATTTCATCACCCGCGGTGTTTTGAATCTCGGTCCCGTTGTGTAAAAATGTTACCTGGTATCGAAGAAATGAGGTTTTGTTAGGAATATAAATTGCCTAGAAAGCAATCGTGTTTTGGTTTACCAGCTCAAATTTAGATGAAAATATTTCAATATTTCATCAACGTAAAAGCGTCCGTTTGATTTAAAACATTCAGAAGAAAATCAATTGCAAAAAAGAAATCGATATAGCACGGAAAATCAAGTGAAAACACGATACCATTCGATGTTAAACGCAAACTTATTTACATGCAATAGCTTAACATAATAATTTTAAAGCGAAGGAAGAATAAGCGAAGGAAGAATGAAAAGAGGGCTAACCTCGCCCAGCCAGCCAATCAGAGCGCTTACCTCGCCCTGCTGGCCAATCACACGGCAGGAAAGCAGCAGCTCCCCTCCCTGCACAGCCAATGGCGTCGCAGAGATGCTCACCACCGCCTCAACAGCTGAAGGCCGAACAGAAGCGTCAAATTTTATCATCAAATTTTAAATAATTAAGAGTAACATAATATAAGTACAAATTACGTTACGAAATGAAAGTAATGATCTTCTTGCTGATTTATTTGGAAAGTCTCCATAGATGAAAAAAATACTTGTACTAATGCTTTTTAATTTATTATTATGTTTCCTTTTTATACCCTTTTTAGTTATAAGGAATGCCACTCGTATTTTACGATAGTGGAGTTCAAACTTACGTTGAACAACAAGATTTATGCCTTCGGATTGTTCCTTATCGAAGCCACAGGAGTACAGGCCGCTGCCATGAACTTCAGCGTCTTTCACAAGCAGAAGTTGACGAGAAATGATGTCATATTCATGCCTGATTGACGGATTTATTTCATTATCCTCTAATTCTTCCCAAACATTATCCGGTATTGAATGGTCGTTTTTCTGCCTGCCAGCGGTCAAGGAGATTCTCTCATAGCGACTTTGTTCGCCATGGAAGCTGATGAGAGTCCCGTTGTGGTAGAAATTTACCTGTGATTACGAATATTTTATTAAAATTTGAAATACAACACTTAAGTTGATATTAGATGATTGATGGTGATTCAAGAAGTAAGTTGAATGTGAGATCTAATATCCGTAGAGTTTCAAGCAAAAATGAAATAATCCGTGAACAATTTCACATTGTTCCTGCATCGCTCATGAAGCTGCGAGAGTAATGATGAATTTAACAGCAATATAATCGTAAAAATATTACCTTAATTCATCACCACAGCACCTGCTTGTTCCTAGCATTAGCTAGAATGCAGATGACGGCTACATGTTGCTGATGAGGGGCGCCGTCGTGAGGCATCCGGTGCTGCGGAGCGACGGTCTTGACGAACACCGCGCCGCGCGTCCCCACCACGTATGGCGCGCGCGCTACCGAAATTGAATATCGAAGTGTATAAAATAATAAAAATAAATTCAATTAAATTTATAAAAGTAGACAGAAGAATAGTGACACGAGAGAAATACTAAAACAAATTTTCTGTGAGATGTGATGCCTAGTAACATACAAAACTGTTTAGAAATATTTGTTCGCATTAACATTTCTTTCACGTAGTTAATGAATGCTCGAAGGTATGAACATAAGAAAACAACTACGATGTTTGAAATAAATGAGTAGAATATAAAGACTTCATGTGCTTGTTTTTAACGCTAAAGTGGCAACGGCTATATTTGTTATTGAGAACTACGTACGTTTTACGACGATAGGAAGCGACGCCTGTGCTCCGTTTGGCCCAGCGTGACAAGTGTACACGCCGTTGTCCTGAGCGGTGGCGCGCGACACCCGTAGAGTGTACGCGAAAAGCAGGTCACCCGCTCTGCGAACCTGGGACGCTGCGTCAGCTTCCTCACCAATTTGAACGGAGTCCATTAATTCAGAGTCAGCTGATCTAGCGATTTCGTCTTGAAAGTTTACGATATTATCAGTTTTTGTGCGTTGGCCGGTTTCATCTCCTTCTATAGATTGATGAAGGCTTTTAGAAACGGCTACTTTTTCAATGGAATATCGGGATCCGTTTTCACCATCGGGACGAAGAGCTTTTTTCCCAGATACAAAATCCACCTTTCCACGACGAAGAAAATAGAGAAATAAAAGAGATTTGAGGCATTACAAACGCTTAATAAAAAGATAATTTGCCAGCACGTTATTTGTTAAATTGTGGCTTGAAAATTTCAAGTACATTCATCTCCCCGCGAGAATTCAACAAAACTTCAAACAAATTGAGCAGTTTAGCTTACAAGAGATAGCTTTGATAGCGCAATTTCTGGGTAATCTAAAATACCTATTTCTATCATAAGGTAACTCGTCAGTTCATGAATAACATAATCAAGGCGAGTAAAAGAGTATATATGATACTCACGAAACCATCCCAGTCTTGCACCACGCACGTGATAACCAGGTCTTCTCCCTCGACCACGTCTGACGCAACCATCGATACAACCTTCGGCTTCGGGGCTTACGAATATAGAGGTTGATAAATAATTAAAATGTCTCGCCTCATCTTTTGGGGAAACTTAACCAAATTAATAGCTCATTGAACAAGTAAAAGGTTCTATAGGTTGAGATTAGTTGTACAAATAATAAAGACCAGCTACCAATCACTCGAGCCGACAAACTACCAATCGACGACGATGAAAATTTGTACGTAAGTTAGAAAATAATGTCCCAGAGTACTTTAAAAAATAATTATTTCCTAATAAATAACTCACAAATGACAGAGATTTGCGTGGTAGAGTTTACACGGCCTGCAGTATTAACGGCCGAACACATGTAGAGACCAGCATCGTGCAGATCCACCGCCTTCATCGTCAGCGCGGACTTCTTGTCCAGCTCATGCCAGTGACCATCCTCTGGACGCGACAGGATATCGTATTGAGTATTACCGACACTTAAAAGCCTAATGACTGTATTAAATTCTATACATTTTTTGAACTGATGATGGAGCAGGTCTCCGAAAATTTTTTTATTGAAGATATGGTGAATTTCTTTGGCGTTTTTTTAGCGTTTAAATAACTTACGATTTAAGCAGAGTAATGACACAAGTACTGAAAACCTTCTGTGAATAGAGTGGCTCAGTATTTTGTCTGTAAACTTAGCTTGTAACTTCTTCTGTGTTTTTTTTTCAATAGCGACTGCACTACCAGTAGAATGTACCTGTATTCTAGAATTTTCGAACTGACGATGGAGCTGGACTCCAAAAAGAGAGCTGGCGAATTTTCATGTGATTTTAGTTGCGTTTAAATCTCTACTAAAGATCTTACTTGGAGACGTTGATAGCATCTCATGGTCATTACAGGGGCCCAATTTATTGATTGTTGCACACAGAATGAATAGTTAGCTGCTTATTTGTTACTTGGGCCCTATCACTCATGAACACGGTTATCGGATATAAGGTAAAAATTGCTAAAATATTATTTAATTAATTTAAATTATGTAATTAATTAAAAACATATAAATTACCAGAGAAGCAAAAATCACCAGGGAACCCATTTTCTCACGATTAAATATGCACTGATATTGAATATTATGGGGCGTTCCTGATAAGATCGATGGTCCCGATAGAAATGTACAAGATATTTTTCTCGTACTTACGGTCAGCTCTGAACCACACGACCCTAGGCGGTGGGATCCCAGACGCGGTACACGGCACCGAGAAGTCAGCACCGACCTCCACTACCAGCGACGGCGGCACCGCCGGGCTGATGACTGGCAGTTCTGAGGGTAATAAGGTTAAAAATGGAAGTAATACTTCTAGAAATTTTTTAACTTTGTGCTAAATTGTAATTATTGGATTAGTTAACGACAAGGGCCATTTCCGAGGGTCAGGGGGTTACTTTACGACTAGAAAAGTAAAATTTATGGTGAAGCAAACGAGGGGAAATGTTTAAAAAAAGGAGGCTGAACAATGAAACAAAATAGACGATGAAAAAGTAGATTTACGATTAAATATATATGCTTAAGAGAAAGTAAAATTAATTTCACTCAGAGAAGCAATTATCAAACATTTAGTCCTAAATTTGTATAAATATTAAACTTCGGCCTTCAACTTTGTATCGCTAATGAAACTATCATGATATCAAGACTTGGTAACCAAACGTGGTGTCGGCAACCAAACATGGTTTCGTTAACCAAACGTGGTTTCGTTAACCAAACGTGGTTTCGTTAACCAAACGTGGTTTCGGTAACCAAACGTGGTGTCGGCAACCAAACGTGTTTTCGTTAACCAAACTTGGTTTCGTTAACCAAACGCTGTTTCGTTAACCAAACGTGGTTTCGACAACCAAACATTGTTTCGGCAACCAAACGTTGTTTCNCCCCTCCCTGACTCACCCCATGTCCACCTAACCTCCATATCCCCTCCCTGACTCACTCCATGTCCACCTAACCTCCACATCCCCCTCCCTGACTCACCCCATGTCCACCTAACCACCACATCCCTCTCCCCCCCCCCTCACCTCGTGGTCGCGCGTGTACTGCGTACGACACGTCAGCTCTAAGGGGCGACCCACGATGAACGGTGAGGCCTCCAGCCCCAGCAGCTGACTAAGACGACCTGACAGCGATGGCTTTTAATGATATAAATGACATCGAAAAATGTGACTAATTCATCTAAAAGATATTCGCACATATCTAAGCAGTTACAAATGAACGAAGTCTCGAGGATAGCGAAAAGTTCGAGGAGAGCAATTTGATGAGAAAAGTTTTATGTATTTATTAATGATATGTATTTATTAATAACTTTATATGTGAGTATATAGCAAAAATTTTGCGAAGAAACTTTTCCGGTAGTAAGTAGCTAAAGCTGTAACTGACAACGAGATGCAGAATGATAGGCAACAAGATTTATCGTGAATAGAATTGGAAAATTTATCTGCCATTCTACTTGAAATCTGTCCAAATGCCCATCTCAGGCGTTTTATTTTAACCACAGCGAGAAAATTACAAATTATATGTAGTTATTGTACTTCAACCCAGATTTGACCACTTCTTGCATTTATTCCCTGTTCAAATCCCTCAAATGAATAATTGGTACAGACATTTATTTTGGAAAAAAACATCAGCATCACATTATTAATAATCAGAATAATTGTCTGCAAAACTTCTTTCGATGAAAAGCTTGCTTTTTCAAAATATCTATGGATAAAATTAGTGTCAGTCTCACCCTCGATGTTGATAAGCAAGGCTCTGGATGCACCTCCGTAGTAGCACACATACTGGCCGTTATCATGCATATCAAAAGACTTGATATTAACTGTAGACTGGACGCTGTCCACGTCCACCAACACCTGTGAGATCTCGCGTTCGACAGATGCTCTCAATATCGCCCCATCTTTCAGCCACACCACCTGAGTAGTTAGAAAATATGAAGCTCTTGGTTCCGGCAGATAAAAACACTCAATATTCTTGTCACGAGTGCCCGAGAAATTATATTTATTACTCATGTCCTTATAGCAATTTCTAGGGGATTCTGAAAAAAGGTATTTAACGAGTATACTTATGTTTGCACAGGTTTTATATGAATAATCTTTGTGTAATAAAACTATGACTTCATGTGTGAATAATGCATAATCAGCTCTTAGTGAGAGCCTTAGTAAAAAATTTAAAATAATCATTAACAATGATTGTATCAGGATACGAAAAAAATGAAAATGTTAACAGCAAAAATAATTTACTTGTCCAGGATGACCAGATGCTGTACAGGAGAGGGACACAAGCTGTCCGTACTGCACCGCGTCCGGAGACGGAGTGGCAGTCAAGGCATCAACGCTGTCGACTGAATCGTAGATGTTGAAAAATCGTTGATGCGAATTGAAACAAATTCACGAGTAACGTCAGAGAAGAATTATCCCAAGAAACATTAGAAATCCAGTTATTATTTGCAGGGCTGTAAACCTGCAAAAGTACTAACCTGACTTTTATACATATATTCTATAACTTACTAAGCTTGTTAAGAATTACAGTATACGACTATATAAGCTTGAAAATTAATTATATTAAGAAAAAATTTAAGACATCTCAGGAATCGGATGTAGGCTAATTCAATTTTTAGTAAAATTATACGCTTAATATATAATGTTTTGAATAGTTCAACAACTAAATGTATTTAGACCCGACGCTGACTAACCAGGGACTCTAACAAGCCAATCTTTGCGAGAGTGCGGGGCGGCAGGCAGGAAGCAAGAGAAGGTAGCGTCCTCCCTCAGCGACGCCACCTGGATACTGAACGTGAGCTCCGTGTCTGAGGTGAAGAACGTGTGGCCGTACGCGGGGTCCGACAGCGAGATGCGCTTACCGTCCCTCAGCCAGCTCACCTGGGGCCATTCATATAATAGAATATTTCATAATCGAATATTATAATCGAATATTTCTTAATCGAATATTAAAATCGAATATTTCTTAATCGAATATTATAATCAAATATTTCATAATCGAATATTATAATAGAATATTTCATAATCGAATATTGTAATCGAAGATTTCAGAATCGAATATTATAATAGAATATTTCATAATCGAATATTATAATTGAATATTTCATTCATATAATGAAATACTGCAATGTTGATAAGCTAAGTTTAATATATTTTACCAATATCACGAATGAGACCCACCTGCGTAGAGCGCGCAGGCTGTATGGTGCAGTTGAGCACAAGAGGGGCGCCGAAGGGCACAGTGGCTGGGCCTGTCAATGCGGTTACCCTCTGCTCAGGCTCCGAACTGCGCGGGTCTGTGCAGTTATGTTCATTAGAAAATTTCGAAGATAGCAGAATGTTTAGAGTAGGATAGAGAGAATATCTAGCCCGATGCTATTAACACGTTGACTCAGAAGTGGTACATACAGTATATGCGTACTACAAAATGTATTTCTCCAGGACGTAGTGGCACATAATTCAGGTTGTCTAAAATCAGCCAAATCCGAGAACATAAAAGGCCAAATAAGGCCGATAACTCAATATATACCAGTTTATTCGTACGTTCCGCTAGAAAAATTCCAATTATTTTCTTTTTGTACTATTTAGACTGTAATTAGGAAGTATCCCTATCATAAATTTTAGCTGGCCAACGCAATTGAGAAAAACTAAATCACGGAATTTGTCCGGAAAAAATGACCGCCTGGCAACCCTGTTTGAAAACAGTACAAAAATGAAATAATAGTACAAGATGAAGCAATCGGAGTCGAAGTGTTAAAATTTAAAATAAGATCTCGCGCTCGCTCCTGGATTGTTTTCTCAAGCCGAAGGAAAATTCGGGGAGAGTTATTGCGAGTCTCGGGAAAGATTACAGTCTATTTTGCTATTATAATTTTGCCTGGAATAATAACTAAAAAAGTTTTGGCTATATGTCTGAATACATTTTAAAGTTAAACAAGAGACAAGCAAACCTGCAGGGTTCAGGAAAAATACAGCAAATTACATGTCCACTATGACATGTAATTCTACATGTAAAAATTAAATGTAATCATGATAAAATAAAATGTAAGCATGTAAAAACAAAAAGTAAACATGTACAAATAAATAAAAACCAAAAAAAATTGTAATAGTAATTTGCTAAATCAACTTTCTCGAAATTTTAGGTCGCCGCAGCACTAATGCCGTCAGCTCTTACGAGAAGCGATTAATTCTAAAAGCACTTTGATCTATAACATATTCAAGCGATATTAAAACCGCTTCGTAGATGTATGGTAATCGAGACCTACAAATATATTTGATAAGAGGGTTTGAACCCTACAGCGATCTTAACAAACAGCGATATCTGAGGGAAGGGTTCAGTGAGCCCCGTCAGCTCACAAAAGACAGTCAGCGATATCAGTCAGCCCCGTTATCTCAGAGATAACAGTCAGCAATATCTGAGACTAGTATTTAGTCAGCCCCGTTATCTCAGAGATAACAGTCAGCGATATCAGTCAGCCCCGTTATCTCAGAGATAACAGTAAGCAATATCTGAGGGAAGTATTCAGTCAGCCCCGTTATCACACCGATAACAGTCAGCGATATCTGAGGGAAGTGTTCAGTCAGCCCCGTTATCTCACCGATAACAGTCAGCGATATCTGAGGGAAGGGTCTCTTCCTCTGACGCCAGCACATGTAGATGCCGCTGTCGCTCTCACGCACCGATGTCAGCGTCAGCACGAGGCTAACGTCAGGAGCGGGGTTCTGACGAGGCATGTCTGACGGCCTGAAATCCAAAGCCTGAAGCATCCAAGATCGACTTGAGAGCTAAGTTCATTTATACATAATTCTATGGCGTGAAACGGTCAATATATTTTCGATTTAACAATATTCAGTTTATTACAACGAAATAGCAGCGGTAGCAGCATCAGTAACCGTAGCAATGGCTGTGGCATCAGTAATAAGTAGCACAAGCACCAATTATTTTGTCAGTAAAAATTAGTTATTAACTTATTCAAGAAACTTTTTATTCTTTATAAGTCATTGTAGCAGTCAAATTTTCAGTTTAACAATAATCAGTTTATTGGGTGCACAAGTTTTACAATTAAAATTAGTATATATAAAATAAACTTGTATTTAATTGGAAGTTAAGGTAGCAATTAATTTTCAATTTAACTATAATCAACTCATCCCTTTCACACGATTAATAATTAAAAAGTTAATTCAATAAACTTATTAAATAATCTTTCATTAGCCGATAAGCCAAAAAAGACACCCGCCTGCTGGGTGATGCTGAAGCGAGGTTCCCCCACCATGACCCGCACCCCCGCTGTGATCACCCGCGGCTTCCGTACTTCGGTGCCCACGACCACCCATCGGTACTGATAAATTCAAGTACAGTTACTTCCCCCCTCGAGAAAAACGATTAAGAAAATTTCAGCACAGTTATTTCAAACAAAAATTACGTCTCAGGTATCAAATTCATGAAATTAATTCCGATATTGCTGCTGAAACAATGATTCAATAATTGTACGAGTCAATTTTATTGTACATAATTCTGTCCATTGGGTACCAAGATTTGAAATATAGCAGGTTGATTATTCTACAATATTTTAGGTTATATCCACGCAGTGAATTAATTTCAGTTATTGTTCGGTACAAATATTTTTTCGCCTATTCGATAGAATATTGAAATAAAACAGCAGTTATAGACCTGTTGCTTCCGGAGGTCATTAATAACCAAGTTGCAGGAAACGATCCTAAAAGAAATACATGACTCCACGTGATAAGTAAGGAAGCCAAGTCTTATATCGTCATTCAAAACAGCATCCTAGCTCCTTTTCCTTCAGAAACTTCAGCAATCGCCAGACAGTGAAGCATTCCAACTCTTCTCATTCAATTTTCACATCCACCCATTCAGCTCAGCCGTCTACTCTTGTTGCTCCATGGGGAAAAATCATCT